AGTGTAAACCAGCTTTTTAGGATTTGATACTGTGTGAGCTGTGATATGCAATTATCAGTGGTGCGCCGTGCCAAATTCCAGTCTCATACCTGAGTTAGTGGGAAACTAATGGTTTTTTTCTTCCTTTGCTCATTGAGGATGTTGTCGATTTTCTGTCGGAGTTCCTTCCATGACTTTGGGCAGGATTTTGGAACAGTGGGAGTGATATCGTCCATCAATTCCTCCATTTCCTCATCATCAATTTCGCCGTTCCCGTCCTCTCCCTCATCTAATATCTCATTGTTGGATTGTCCCGCAGGCAGGGTGCGTCGTCTTTTCTTATTGTCTAATGGGGGATCCTGAGGCGATGTGACTGGGAGGCCCATGAGGTGAGCTGGCCTTTTGCGCTTTGCCCGATGTGTTGACAGTTGATTGTTATCACTTATTTCGATTGGGTATGAGCCAGCATCAGCAGACGGGGTTGAACACTGGGATGTTTGGGGGAGAACTGTTTCAGAGGATGGGGAAGGGTTATGGAAAAGGTCGGTGAGTCGGACTTGTTTCATCCCTTCTTTTCGTGCTTTTGCCGCGTAAAATTGTTTTGTTCTTTCAGCTTTATTTGTCATATCCGTGCATACCCGACCCCGACCCGACTTCCGGACCTCCACCCTCTTCACCTCCGGAGTCATAACCTACCGCTGCCGTTCCGATACTCACCTTCGGTCCTGGCAACACACCTCCTCCTTACCTCTCCGACCCTATCTCCGTCCGCTCTGATACTCACCTCGGACCGAACACCGCCCCTCTCGCCACCCTCCTACTACTCCGCTCCCCCTTCACAAGACCTCCACCCTCCCGTCATCCTCCTACGCTTCCCCCGTCCGCTCCGATACTCACCTTCGGACCTGACTACACTCCTTCTCCCTTACCTTTCCCCTCTCTCCTCCCTCTGTTACTCCTCCGCCACCCTTCCGCCAAGTTACGACCTTCCACTGCTGTCCCGTACTTCGCACTTGGACACCGCTCGTACCTTGCTCCGAGCCTCCGTCATAGTCCCTACCTCAGACTTTGACTCCACCTCGGTCTTAGTCCATTGCATTGGTGACCTCATACTACGTAAACACCATTGCCAATATCCCTCGGACTTTCAACCCCGCCTCCGTAACCTCCGTAACCTCCGCAACCCCCGAGCTTCATGGATCGCCTTCGGCACTCTCGCCGCTTGTAATGTATTTCTCGTGTTTTCCCCTCATCCCTATTTGGACTACTGCTTCTTCCTATTCTAGCCAGTTAGTCATCATCCCCACTTCCCCTCATCCTCCTGCCCCTCTGGGCCTCGCCCTCCCTACCTCCTTTCGGACGTATCACAGGTCCTGCCTTATGACCTTCAGTACTGCTCCGCTCCTTCTACCCTTTGTTCCCGTTCGGACGTCTTCGTTCCGATTCGGTTACCCTTTGTTCTCCTTGTGCTTTTGCCCCTTCCATTATATATATCGGCGCTTGTACATACTCGTTTTGGTTTAGTCCGAAATCGACTTGAATTCCCCCCAAGAGACTTTCCCTCTGCTAGATCTGAAATTAGGGACCCCTAGGACAACCAGCAATGGCACAGCACTCCGCCTGAGTCGCTGAGGCCGAGGTCCTTCCATGCTAAGTCTCCGATTCCATTCCGGAGTCGTCCGAATCCGCACCATTCTAACATTATTGGCAATTACAGGCCCTATTGCATATCTGCCTCTTGCCGCGCACTTCCCTATGAGATCATAGGTGAGTTTATACAGGAACTATGAATTAGAATTAATATTAGTTTACTCACCTTCCCCCTTCTTTTGCGTCTCAATCCGCTTTTTTGCCGTTGCATAACTCATTCCATCCTTTGTGTCATATCCGTGCATACCCGACCCCGACCCGACTTCCGGACCTCCACCCTCTTCACCTCCGGAGTCATAACCTACCGCTGCCTTTCCGATACTCACCTTCGGTCTCGGCAACACACCCCTCCTCTTACCTCTCCGACCCCTATCTCCGTCCGTTCCGATACTCATCTCGGACCGAACATCTCCCTACTCGCCACCCTTCCTACAACTCCGCTCCCCCCTCACCACACCTCCACCCTCCCGTCATCCCCTACGCTATCTCCGTCCGTTCCGATATCCACCTTCGGACCTGACTACTCTTCCTTGCCTTCCCCTCTCTCATTCCTCCGCCACCCTTCCGCCAAGTTACGACCATCCACCGCTGTTCCGTACTTCACACTCGGACACCGTTCGTACCTTACTCCGAGCCTCCGTCATAGTCCATACCTCGGACTTTGACTCCACCTCGGTCTTAGTCCATTGCATTGGTGACCTCATACTACGTGAACACCATTGCCAATATTCCTCGGACTTCCAACCCCGCCTCCGTAACCTCTGTAAGCTCTGCAACCCCCGAGCTTTGCGGACCGCCTCCGGCACTCTCGCCGTTTGTAATGTATTTCTCGCAATTCCCCCTCATCCCTATTTGGACTACTGCTTCTTTCTATTCTAGCCAGTTAGTCATCACCCCCACTTCCCCTCATCCTCCTGCCCCTCTGGGCCTCGCCCACTCTACCTCCTTTCGGATGTATCACAGGTCTTGCCCTATGACCTTCGGTACCGCTCCGCTCCCTCTAACCCTTTGTTCCCGTTTGGACGTCTTCGTTCCGATTCGGTCACCCTTTGTTTCTCCTTGTGCTTTTGCCCCTTCCTTATATATCGGCGCTTGTACATACTCGTCTGTTTCAGTCCGAAATCGACCTGAAATGCCCCCAAGAGACTTCCTGCTCACCTACTGTGAAATTAAGGACCAAATGGACAAACAGCAATGGCACAGCGCTCCGCTTGAGTCGCTGAGGCCAAGGTCCCTCCACGCTAAGTCTCCGATTCCACTCAGGAGTCGTCCGTTCCCGCCCATCTCTAACACTTTGGACGGTATGTTAGCTCATCAACAAGAGTTGCCGCAATACTAATTTTCCTTGAGAATTCCTCCAGCATGTCATTGTTCAAGTTTTCTTCGGATTCCTCATCCTCAGATGCCAAGAATGGGACACCTGAATGCGCAGCACTGCGACGGAGGTAAGGGCTCCAGGTGTCTTCCTCACTTGAGTCTGAAACATACTGCACATCCTCAGTAGGATGTCTCAGATACTTGAGGATTGACATGTCACCTGCTATAGGGAGTATGCGCATCGGCGCTTGTAGTCGGGTCGGAAGCAAATTGGCCCGTCATCGTTCATCCCCATTTTTACGCCCCAATTTGACTTCCCATCTTTCTGTTTGCTCAAAATCATCATCCCCACCATCAAAACTATCAAATGAGCCTAAGATCGAGTCCCAGCGCTTATTTTTTAGCCACCCGCAAAATTTTCGTACCTCACAAAAAATTAAAAACTCAATTTATGGACTTCTGGACATGGAGAATGATTGCAATCAATGAATTATGACAATTTAACAAGAAACGGGGCTTTTATCGTGAGAATTCATGGTCTAGAAATTTCTTCTTGTGTTTGCTTGTCCGCAACTGTACACTTTTCTGCTCCATGTGATTACATAAGCGGAACACGGAACCAACCTACATTGCCCACCCCCCCACTACTACTGTACTGGTGCGACCAACTACCGGGTCACGTGCCAGCGTGGGAAAAAGGCTCGAGTTTTGTCAAACCGGCAACCCAGCGTGACGCGTGACATCAAACCGGTTGTAGCGGGGTTGTCCGCATTTATTGTTACATTGTTATATTCAATCTGGCTGGCAATTGACCTGGGTCATTGAACATGAATGCGGGTCCGTAGACACTCCGGAAGATAAACATAGAGGTTGACAAATTATTGTTGGAATCTACAAGTCACCGGAATCTGCCGGAATATTCTGGATTGTCGTGGGAAATCCCCAGTATATTCATGCGCGCTTGCAGAGTCACTTATTTTACTTGTAATATCTTTCCTCTGTATTACTTCTGGACTGCAAATGATAGAGGCTGGAGTCCTGCCTAGATGCGGGTTGCTGTTGCCATATTTGGGATGGCGGGTTTGCAACAATTAGCTGATGTCAAGGACATTGGCTCCCCTCATCTAATCAGCTCAGCTGTGCTGTAATTTAGAGCGATTTTCCGTTTTTGAGTGTCAATACGATCCCAAAAAGGATAATTTGAATTGGTTTTACACAGCCACCTCGGCGCCCGTGGACCTGCGTGACACCAGACACCAAACCGGCTGCCTTGCGTGACGCGTGACGGACCTCCAACCCCGGCCGGACCGGCTGGTCAGCGTGACGCGTGACCGGTAGTTGGTCGTGCCAGTACAGTAATAGGAGAATTGAGTGATCGATTATATAAACTCGGCTCGCTTAATTGGAACTGGCGGCGTTTTTAGGACTCAATCGATTGAGTTTGTTTTGACACAACTCTGGGCTATGGCACCAAAAGGGTACTCGTACTCAGCCTCTCGCTATGGCAGTACGGTCTGCAGTGTTTGGCGAGCTCAGCTGTTTCTAGGGAGTCTTTTTCCGTCTTACTATGGGTTGGTCGGGCTAGAATAGACTCGCCACAGCATTCTAGATCCCTCGGGATGCCACTTTTGTTTTACTCGTACAGCGGTAATCACATCTCTTCTGATTACCTCAAAGGCCATGTCACACTGACCATTTCCATGAGTGTGTGTGGATGGATCTATCGGATGATCCATACGATGATTTCCAACCGTAACGTTCAAAGCGAAAAATTTCCATCGCTTGGCATTCGATATCCCGCCTCGGTACGATTTTTTGCGACATTTTCATTTTACGTGTGTGCAGGGACCCCCTGAATCATCCGCCCCGGGTTGAATAGCGCAGATCTCTGGGCGCCAATTCTGGGCGCTTCTGCCAAGTGGCAGTAGAACGCGCTTAGCATCGAGTCGTTGAACAACCCGACACGTCGTCGGAGAGATGCATCCCGAGAGTGTAAGTGAATAGTCTCGTCACCGTGGTATTTTTCGGTTGCTTTACATGGATCTGCAGGATTAAATAGTAGATCTTTTCTTATATCTTGATCGGCAATGAGTCGATTAGGTCTGGTTATCGATAGCATGCAGCTCACGCGTAGGATCAATGCCGGTGGCCCATTCTTCCCTCGGATTTCTTTCGTTACAGATGATAAAGCAATGTTAGAGGAGCGACGGAAACGGATCCAGTGGCTCTCATTGAATTTAACCGACCGCGCGCCTCGTGTCTTCCTTTGCTTCGCATTAATGTCACAACTCAATATTCATACTTGTATGTTCTGTATATGGGTCGAAAGAGCCACGCCAGCAGCTTTTAGAACTACATGCACTCCTTGCGGCTCAAGCTGGACCGGGCTCCTACATTATTCGGGTTCATCAAACATCATTTGTGCCGAACCTACTTACTTATCATATGCTATGGGGAATGATGCGTTTCGGCGTGGCTTACAATTCAGCTGCGGTGGATAAAAAGGTACGTCGGAAACCCGTCTATCAAGTCGAAATGCCTCGCAACAAAAACAACGAAGGATGCTTGACTTGTCGAATCAGAAAGAAAGTTCGACCTCATCCTCTTCTCATTCCTGACTTTCTTAGTCACCCACCACGATTCCCATAGAAATGTCCCCTTGAAAGGGCTCCCGACAGTACATGTTTGGAATGCCATCGACTTCAGTTACTCTGCGGAGGATTCGGATCCGTCATTCCTCCTGTTCTAAAGGTGTGTGTGTGTGTGCCGAAATATCTGGCTCATGAATTATTGGCGCTAATAGACGGCTCAAGGACAAGCGGATGCTTGAGTTGTTCAAAGCTAGCCTTCGACGTGATCAACTTCACTCTGGCTCAGGTCAGTTGTCGATCGGTCTCTTATGGCCACCATCTACTATAGCTGAAACATTCACTCTGAAGGTTTTGCAGCAACCTTGCTGTTTCCTGGGCCGATGGGGTTTCTTTCCGTTACAAATGAAGCTGGCATGCCTCCGCCACCAGTCCAATCGACCGCTGATGAAGGCTCACATCAACTCGTACTACAAATGCCTCCGTTTATGTGATTCACCTCTCAGATTGTAGTACCCATACGGCTCATTTCATTCCGTCTTGTCTGATCATCCTCGACTCCATCAGGCTTCACCAGGGGTGCACCATTTTATGGCACATCCACATTTATTCAGCTTATCTGGGACACATTTCTCCTCCGCTCACTTTTTCCGTCCGAGGGGCATGTTTGGTTTTGCGTTTGTTTTGGCTCATGATGATCCTGTTTTCTGGGTTTTTTTTTTTTGTTCGATGGCCTGGATCGGTTTGACGAGGGCTCGACTCATTTATGTAGTCTAATGGACTCGTCGCGCCGGCATCAAAATAATACGTATTCATTTCCGCTTATATAGCGAATGAGGAGCCCGAAACAAGCGGCTCGTGCGTCATATTGATCATCGGCTGAGGGCTCGGCTCCGGCACAGCGTGGTCTTTGTGCGCCGGAGAAACCAGACTCACAACCGATAACTCTATTAGAGTTTAAGTAAGATTGCTGTTGTGCCGGTTCAATTCCGTCAAAAAGGAATGTCCTCCTCGGCATTCGGAATACGGCCAAAGGGGAAAATCCGGTTGCTGTTTGCACGAACAACACAGCGTCCTCAAGCAAGAAAAAAAAAAAAAAAAGAGCTGCAGAACGAAGAGTTTCCTATGCCACTGCCTAATTAAGCGTGGTCCCTTCTTTGCTCGCGGTATATAAAATCGAACAAGATGCAATCCAGCCCGAACTGTGCAGAACCCAACAAAAAAAAAGAGGCTCGCAACGATTGAAAGGCGGGTGACTTCAGTGCGACAATTGCAAGAGGAAACTCTTTAAAAAAAGAAAAAGACGCCAAGCCGAAAAGAGTTGCGAATCCATCGACATCTCCAAACGGACGAAACGGATATCCTCTTCATGAAGATTACTTAAAGGTTCAAGCTGCAGTGCGTTCTGGCCAAGATATAGCCTGTGTTTGAAGAGCTTCAATCCCGGGGAAACGCGACATCATCATGCCTTATTGGTGAGATACCGGCCATCTTTGGGAAATGACACCTTTCAACTGCAGCAACCATGGCCCTCCCTGATTGGGACCTACATAGATGGGCATGGTACTTTGGACTTTGGTACTAGACATGCAGTCCACCACCCAGGTGAGTTAACATCAACCCGTCCAGCCTGAGCGGCCACACTGTTGCTAACCGATCCTTGGTTTCAGACAATGTTTCGTTCCCACTTTCACGGATGTTCACATTTGGGAATGGGTGTCAGATAAGTAGATAAGAGTAGCGGGTAATGCCGCTTGCAGGCACCGGCGGCGTGATCATGTGGACATTCGCTAGGCAGGACTCCGGCCTCTATGACTTCGACATTCGCTCCTTTGTCTTGCTCTCCGCTTCGAAAGAATGACGTATAGGGAATTACTATGTACTATGCCATCGAACTTGGATGTTTGACTGAATACCCGCATGAACCTTGATTGTGATTTCAGTCCAACTTCCTTCATATGATGAGCATTGCCGTGCGTATGTATTAGCTCGCGGGCATGTATTCTCCGTGAACACATATGCAATTATGTATGTCGCAAATCCCGGTCTTAGGATCACGGAATCGTGTCACTTGCTAGGTTGACCATCGCCTTCTTGATGTCCTCTCTCCAACAAACTATTGTCATAATCGTCTGGATAACGGGTTCATGTCGAGGCTCGTTCTGCTTGTAATCAGTACGTCCAAACGACGATTTTGGTCGTAGAATTGTTTGACAGTACGGGGTTCTCATGATGGGGGTGTCCTCTAGCTGAGCGGGTTCTTTTGGATATCCACCAGCGGAGAACTTGGGCATGCCCTACGGCTTTAGGGTGTGAGAGCATTTCGTCTCCGTGGAAGGTGAGGTTGAACAGCACGATCCGATTACATACTCATGTGTCTACATTTGGCGAACGCTGTGCAGGATAACTAGTACATACATAGATGGTCATATCAGCGAGAAAGGGACATACACGTTGCATCTATAAATAGTGCATCAACCAGATCCAGTATTCCAGGTTCAATAAACACTCCCCAAAATGGATGGGACAATAGCCCTCCCGATGTTCCAGCCCTATAAAGCACGCCCTCTTTCCTCGGACTCCCCTCTCTCTCCTCAGCGAACCGGTCCCAACGCTTCGAGCCCACTATCCGCAAATATAACCCGGGTTTTATAATAATTCAGCCATGGTAAGTAGCGATTGTCGGCTCCGTGGGGCCGATCTCGACTCCACTCCCTTATCTTCACGGTCTCTGACGCGTCTTCATGATATTTTCCAGAGCGGATTCCTTGGCCAAGCTAAAGACTTTTTTAGCAAGGGAAACCATGTACGCCTTATCGATCCTCCTTCTAATGTGTCCTTCTTTTGACCACCGATAGCAGAAACAGCTCGTCACCGATGCTAAAAACGTTCTGAAGGGGGGTGGGAAGACCGTAAGATTGCCTCGTGTGCATCGTTCTGCCTTTTAACGTTTCACATCTCCTCAGGGCGATCTCACCAAGCTTGCCAAGGATGGGTACAGCGCTTATCAAAAGTCCCAGCCCTCTGGCAAGGGGAACCAGAACAACAACAACCACGGATCCGCCAACAATGACAGCTATGGTGGCAGCTCGAACAACGATTCATATGGCAGCGGCAACAACAATTATGGCAGCTCCAATAACGATCCGTACCGTAACCACAAGAACAAGAACAACAACGACCCTTATGGCAGCTCCAATAATGATTTGTATGGTGGCCGCAACGACAACGGCAACAGCTATGGTAGTTCGAATAATGATTCGTACTATGGTAGCCGCCAGTACGACAACAACAACTACAGCAGCTCCAATTACAATGATTCGTACTATGGTAGCCGCCAGTACGACAACAACGCCTACAGCAACCCCAATTACAATGATTCGTATGGTAGCCGCCAGTACGACAACAACAACTACAGCAGCTCCAATAACAATGATTCGTATGGTAGTAGCAACAACGGCAACAACACCTACAGCAGCTCCAATAACAGTGATTCGTATGGTAGTAGCAACAACAGCAACAGCTATGGCAGCTCGAACGATAACTCGAACAGCAGCAGCAGCTACGGGACCGACAGTTGTAAGTCCTTGATTTTCCAAAAGTGTTTGTGCCTAACCACCTTCGGATAGGTGGGTCTGGTTACTAGTCATCGATTGTCCCCCTTCATTCCGCCATATTCTTCCTGTCTCCTGACTGCGGACGTGTGGCTTGTACCTTGCCAATGTGGAAAGATACTACTGTATTGTATGTGGAATGTCGTAACTGGGCTCCCAATTCCCGCTTCTCTGTAGCGGGTCTTGAATGCGTGAACTGAATGCCTGTGCAAGAGGTCCTCTATCATTGCAAATTCCCTCGCTAACCAGCAAAGTTCCTGGGTCAGGCTTCTCTTCTGTACTACATCGTGGACTACAATTACTAAAGCCCCTTCAAAACCCATGTTGCTTATACTGTATAGCGTTGCAAGCCGCGGTCTCCGAAACCAAACACAGCCGATCACGTCCCGAGACTACGCTATAAGTACGTTTGCCAATCTTTAATCGCAAAACAAGAGCTCAGTGCTAGGCAGGGTTCCCAGCCTCTACTAAAGGCTCAGTACCCCACAGGTCGCTTCCTATCTGCTTGGTGTTATGATGATTGCTTCACAACCGGCCACCAGTTCCACTCTCCAAACTTTTGGAACATTCAAAATCGTTATCCTTTGAATCACGTTGCCATGTCTCGCGACCAGCTCTGCAGAGCTCACTGTTTGCCCACGTGCCAGTGTCCGACATTCCGTGTAACTTCGGTGTCAAAGAACACGGTGAGTAATGAATTTCACACACATTGCGCTCAAGCCCCAATCGCTGATGATGAAAGGAGCCTGAACTGTGCCCATCTGATACGATGGATCATCTCCACCGATGTCCGTGAACGAGTGCTTGTTATCTTACTGTTCGACTCCACAGCAAATTTGTCCCACTTTATCTCACACCTTCCGTCTCTACACCGACGAGCGCGGTACTAAGCTTTGCTTTTGGTAGACAGCCCTCCCCCGGCCCAGCAGCCACAGTGTTGCTAACCGATCCTTGGTCTCAGACATTGGTTAATTCGTTCCTACTTCCAGGGACATTCACGTCTGGGTGCCCCGCTGCGGAATGACAACGAAGGGCAGCTGAATTTACGACTGCGCTGTAACTTACAAAGTTGGATTCAATGCGGCCGTCCTGCATGGCCTTCACAGGTCAGCATCGTGTTCAGGTTTTGCGAGATTGTAAGTAACCACACGAGAACCGATAAGGGTAGCGGGTAGTGCGGCAGCAGGCGGAGTTATTTGATTTTCCTCTATTCTTGGCGGCTGCGACATTCACATAGATGTAGTTGTGCACAGTCAGTGGGTCACAAATGGGTTTGTGTCCGCCGCTCCAATCGAGAAATCGGTTCTTCGAGTGGCGAGAGGGAATCCCCGTGTTTCTAGTCAACACAATCCATCGAGGCGATCTGGTTCGAATGAGAACCCCTGGACTCTGAGATAGAAACATAACGCACTTAAGGTCTCATGGTGACTACCAAATACGATGCGCTCCTGATGGGCAGTGCCCATGAAGTTGAAACCCTTTGAATTCACGTTCAGCAAACTCCAGCCCTCGGAGTCGAGGCTCATTCGGCCCCGTTTCGCCATGCCCGCGATGCGAAGGCAAAGTTTCAACTAGTGCCCGTTAACGAGCGCAGTGAGGTCCTAAGCAGGGACGGCCCCTGCATAAAACCTTGATGATTGTCGGTGCTTGTTAGCATCTAGTACAGTCGTTGCAAAGGGTTGGACCCCCGACGACGAACCGGAAAGCTGCGCAGCGGACTTCTGATTTAAGCCTTGTCAGTTCAGGAGCTGACGAGTACCGAGTTGGGAACACGACATCAGAAGGGGATAGTTTGCAGGAATTCTCATTTTCGATATGGCTAAATGTGTGGGCAGCCTATTGTATTGCGCCTGAGCCGTGGTTGGACGGGCTTGCTGAACGTGCACCGATTAGCATAAGTAGATGGGGAATGCGGAAGGCAGCAATGGACCAAATGAGCGCAAAGAAGCGCAAGGACGCATTGGATCGCGGTGGCATCCCAGTGGTTGGTAAGTTGTTCGCTAACATATAATACGAGTCCCCGAACGTGTAATGCATTTCTTCGAATTAAATAGGAAAGCATGAGGTTGTGTACCTGATGGGACAGCCGGCGATGCCAACGAGATATCGCAAGTGCAGAGGGCGCGAACACGAAAGAGTATTAAACACAGATTTGATGACTATGTTCAAGAAGGGGAAAGGGCACGTTGGGATTGAGCAGCAAGACGCAGGGCGGCGGCAGATATGATAATAATACCGAGTGTTGAAGGCGCCTATATGCAAGTAGTTCGATGCAAGCACAGGATTCAATATTGCTGTAACGTGGCATCACCAATATCCCAGCCAGCCCCGGAGGCTCTGCAGAATTCCCATAGGTGACCTTGGATTTTTGCTGGGGCATCTGCCGGCCTCTATTGCAGTAGACGCTCTCGCCGATGCGGTGCAGCTCGACATCGACGACGTCAGTGCAGGAGTTGTTGGGATTTCAACGGCGACCAACGGCGCTCAACCTGGCTTCGGCGTGGAATCGAGCACTGGCTGTAGCATTTGTTACGGGAGTTGCACTCCGGCGGGATTCCACTGTAACCTTTGGGCGAATTAATAGCCCATTCCCCTGTGCACAAATGTCCTCGGTTCTGCCGCACTCTATAGAAGAGCATCAAGCCACTGACACAAAAGAATTAAGGCATCAGATATCTTAAAAAGGGGCGTCTTAAGGCACAATACACTCATCCGGACATACCAATAATGTCACCGAGGTCGCAACTTAAGTTGACCAAAAGACCGAGAGATTCTGCGTGAGAAGTTTTCTCCTGCCATCCGAGCTGCAGGCAGCAACAGACAGGCGCACCTGGGGAACCCAGTCGAGAGAAGGGTGAACGAAATCCTGTCTGCACTGAAACCTATTTTCGACGAGGCCAAGCTAAAGGTAAGGCAAGGTACCCACTCGCGTGGTTTTGCACATATCGAGGCTACATGACGTGAACCTTTGAATGCACTGCCGGGCTATTGCCTCGAAACACATGAGACTCGGTCGGTGCTATGTGTCAATTACCCCAGCAGGTGAGTCGACTTGTGAAGGATCTCTGCTCTCCGCGTCTGGGGGAAGCATGCGGGAATTCATTAGCGGGAGCACCTTCAGTGCACATGCAACGGGCAGGGGAAGATAGAAATGAAGTGAGAACGTAAATAATGGATGGACAAAAAGTAACTTCCACGTCCCAAGTGGCTTCAGAAATACCGTCCGCAATTTCCCCGCTCACTCTGTCATACCAAGAGGCCATTTTAAACCCACATTTCGCGTCTCAATCGCACGGCAAGGGCAGGTCACGACATCAGATTAAAGAATGAATCCGCAAGCAACATCATCCAAAGCAGTCACCCACAAGTGGGCAGAGTCGACGAAATTCCGAGTGAGGCGAGGACTAATTTTTGAAGAAACTGGGCTAGGTGTAGGGCTAGTCGCTCGCTAGGAGAATATACGGCCCCTGATCCAGAAGCACCCGGGCCTAGGGACTCACTTAACCGTAATTGCGGAGTAATAATTGGAGGGCGCAGTAAGGACAACAAAAGCGATTTTGAGAAGTGCACGGCCTCCCTTTGGAGGCGGGATGTTTTGCTGGTACAAGGAGAAAGCCATCGTTATTGTATTGGGCTGACTGGGAGAGTCGCTGTAAGCCTACTACTTTAGTAGAGGCTGGGACCCTGCCTACTGTAAGCCCTAGTTTTTCCATTTGACAGTTTCCACCTCACCGCGTGCCAAGGCCAGCAGGACCCCAGCCTCTACTTTAGTAGAGGCTGACATAGGAAGTGGATGGACATTAGTTTTGGGCACGTGCTGCGAAGAATTGGTCAGTCACCTCTGACCATCAGACGGCCAAGCATGTTCTCCTCGCTCTTTTCGTAAGATCGCGTCTCGTTATACCATACACACGGGATAAGCGTTGACGAAAAAATTGTGATGAAGCGGATCCACACATCCTCACGCACCCAATTTCCATCCTACTGTTAGAACCTCTGATCCCACTGAATTATTTGGCGAGCTCGAACCAAAAGATTTAGAATGGACGATTGGAAGCGGCATTGTCACTGAGACTCAGACGTGGTACCATAGCTTGAAGGATGGGACTTTCTTGCTTTGTCAAATTATTCACTCTTCCGTTGGGTAAATCGTTATATCCAACAATTCTTTAAAACGCTGAACAGCAGCCGGTTTTCAGGATGTGGTATCCTACCGTTCAGTTTACATGCAAGATATGGAATCCGGTTACGGAAGAGAAAACATGGAAATCGATCAACGTCGCGAATTTCGTCACTCCTCCCCCATCTGCTGGCACGGTGAAGTATGACAAACGCTCATCCAGATCCGACCAATTCACCATAATTCATAAGTCAACCACAACCGACCCAGGGTTTTCCGAATCATATACCATTTCCGCTAATGTTGATGCCGAGCTGCAAATAACTCTCGTGGTTTCCCGCCCAGCATTGATCCCAGGATTCAAGCTTGGAAAAGGCCCCAAAGGTGGCTTCTCCTATTTCGGAGCGGATGAGAACTCTCCCGAGGGATACGTTGTTCATCGCTTCTGGCCAAGGACATCCTGCAGTGGAATCGTTGTCCACAAGGGTCAAGCGATCGAGGTCGAAGGCACAGGAATGTTCGTTCACGCCATTCAGGGAATGCGTCCCGATCTTATCGCAGCGAGCTGGAATTTCTGCGACTTCCAAAGTGACGAACTTGGCGGGACCTCTGCTATTCAGATGGAATTTTCTACTATTGATACTTACGGACGTAAGGGCGCAGGTTCTGGCGGCGTCACCGTAAATGTTGGTTCAGTCGTTATTGGAGGGAAGCTTGCTTCTGTCACTGGAGAGGTCGTATTACCCGAGGAGAAGAAAGCGGGCATACGTGATGACCTTCCTATTCAATCGCGCGCTCGGCACCTGGAACCCGTGCATGATCCTAAGACTAGTTATAATCAGCCTACCAAGGTCGCTTTCAGTTGGAAAGGTGTTTCTTGTGTACCTGATGTGAAGGGAGACGTTGCCGCTTCGATCGTGGTTGATGTCGGGGGACCAGCTGAACCCAGAGGACTTATAGAGAAGGTAGACGTCCTTGCGGAAATCCCTTATGTGATCAAAGCATTTGTAAATTATGTGGCGGGAACGAAGCCGTACGTTTATCAGGTAGGCTCCTACACAGAGATTCACGAACTTGTGCTCACCACTCCTCTATAGTGGTTGAATCCTGCTGAACTCACAGTCACGGCTCCGGCAGCCGTCATTGATGGTTCAGGTGAAGGCGAGAAGACCATCACGGCCAAAGGCACGCTCTTCAATGAAGCAACTTTTATCTCTTAACACTTAATGGGCTGTAATCATTCCTAAATTCCTTCAAGCATTCCTTGTACTATTACGCCAGAAACCCAGAATCATCATTGTTACATTATGAGCTCCAAGTAAAATACATGAGAAGGGGCCTGAAGGAAGTTTATATACAGAGATCGCAACCTGATGAGATCCTTAGATAGCAAAGAATTGATACAGTGATACATTGATAATCAAGCAAAGCAATGCTAAATCTTCTCTTCCACATTGAGTGACTCTGAGCGCAGTTTCGACTTCTCCGCCTCATTCCTCCACCGCTGCAGCTCAGCTTTCAGCTTTCTAACTCGTTCACTCCCAACGGGGTGGCTAGTTGGGCCGCTGCCTAGAGCAGAATGATGGGGACTCCAGAAAGACTCCGTCGAATACTGGCTAGAGACATTTGACGTCCCAACGCTCGAATCGGCATCGAGAGCCCTGAAATCGTCCAGCTTGCGTTCCCAGAAATCTACGGCTTTGCGCGGATCGAATCCTGCATATCTCATCAGCCTGATACTCACTTCGTCCGCTTCTAATTCAAGCATGTGACTGCTACATGCTTCGCTTTGTTTGCGAACTTCGCCCATGCCTACTTTGCCAAAGTCGGTTAAAGCGTCGCCGACGAAAGGTCCAAAAAGGAAAGTGATTGGGAAGAGAATTACCCGCGCAAAGTCCAACACGATCGAAGTTATTGTAGGTACGAAGATAGTTCCGGACGACAGAGTTTCGAGGTGGTGAGAAAGAAGTAGGTGAGCAAGTTCATGTGAGAGAAGCGTGGCGAGACTGGCTGTTTGCTCAGGGGTAGGTTCACCGCTAGGCCGTGAAATAGTGGGGGAGGGCGGCGTCGAAAGGCCGAAAAGCCTGAGAAGAAAGGGGGGATTCCCCTGAGGAGACGGGATCAGATGACCGGAACGGGATTGCTGGAGGACTTCGTCCAAAAAACCAGAGTATAGAACGATCCCACCAGCGCCTTCGGCACCAAATCCATAAGAGAACGCGTTTCGCTCTGGATTCTCGACAATCACAAAAGAGTAAGGAGGTCCCAGTTGTGTGTGAGGATTTTCGACTGAGTGGGAGCGGTTGGGATCGTCCGTAGGAATGCCATGAACCACAGTAAACGCCCTGGGACGGGGGTTCAGAGGGTGATGCAATGGAGGAGGGATGGGTACATCGTCGTCTTCTGTGACGGGAAGTAAGATTGCATCTTGGTCGAGCTCATTTGACTGGTAAATGCGATATATCCCTATTTCCAGCCGGCGAAGAGTTTCTTCAACCCATTTCCAACGCCAGTCCGAAGTTGGAATTATGGTGGGAGGAGTCTTCCCATCGGGTGATTGCGAGGTCAAAACATCATACACTTGGGCATACCAGCCGTTTCCCGTCAACTGGCTGTGGATCGTTTCTTCCTCCTCGGGTGATAAGAGAATAAGACGATGACGTCCTGTGATGGGCGTTTTCTCGGTGCTCGCGATGATTGTTAACGATAGTAATGCCAAAGGCGTAAAGAACATGGCGAGCAAAGCCTTGTTCAATATTCGAATACGACGGATAGCGTTGTCCCGCTTCACCATAAAAATCTCGTCAACATCCTGGCGCCTAAGACTCTTTCGCAGCCACTTAACGATCTGAATATGAAGTCAGACGATTGCTGACAAACAATGTGAATGAGTGACTCACCTTGAATTTCTTGATCAAGAAAACGGGGAGTAGAGACAGTGTCACACGGGCAACTGCAAGGCAAGTGAATGACTTGCCTTCCGAAATTTAAGGTGCTTGGTGGTCGCCTACCTGTTTTTATGCCGCTCAGAGCAGTCGAAGATTTCAGGAATCCCAAGAGGAGGACGACAGGATGAAGAGCCCTGTTGATTTGGGTTGAGTGAAATGACCGAACTTGTGAGTCCCTCCCTTGCGAATGCTGCGAAAGAACCGCAGACCGAAACTGAGCCGGGCGCTGCTGCCTTGGCAGGCCGAACAGTTGGTGGGCTCGTAGTTGTGCGTAGCTCGTCGAATTTCGGATACTTGCCAAGGGAGATTCAGTTTTATTGCGTTGCTCTGGGTCAATGCGATAAGCGACGCTCTGGGAGGAGGAAGAGCAATGTCTAGAAATGGTCGGCTCGGGAACAGTGATGGAGTGGAAGGGACTCAAGGTTGAGCTGCAGGCACGCAGTATCCTCTGATGTGGTATTACACCATCATAAGCTCCAGGATGAAAAATAGTAGAATTCCTCGCCCTCGTCAACAGTTTGTGCATCATTAACACGCAAAATGAGGGTTAACGTCGGAAGCGAGAGTCACAAGACCTGCACGCACAGCCTCCGCAGTCATCATACGGCACCGAAATGCAGATTAACCTAATTAGGGAATACGCCGCCCAATAGAATTGTCTAACCCATTTCGACATCACTTCCTTCCTCTTCTTCTGATTCCCAGCTCTCATCACCATCCTCATCCTCCTCGCTCTTTTTTGAGGGATGAATTCCGGCGGCATCTAACTCTTTGATCAACTGATCAACGTGCTCCATTATTTCTCCATCGTCGCCTCTGAGCTGGTTGTGGAGTTGAAGGTGGGTGTGTTGATATTCTTGGGATCTATCGATATGCAACTTACCGCTAAACATGTGTCCAAACAATCCCGGGCATCCTGAAGTAATTCTTCACGGCTAAGATCTTCAAAAATTTCCCCCGTTTTTTGAGTTTGCATAGCCATCAGATACAGACACCATCCTTGTAAATACCAAGCATCCATCTCTTCATCGTCTGCGGCGATAACCCCCTGAAGCAACACCAGAGCCGGTGAGAACAGCGAGAGTTCGAGGAACCGGCGGGTGAGAGAGAGCCTCGTTGAGATTGGCGGGAGATTGGGGTCCTCTGTTTTGGGTGGGAGAAATAAATGATGATAAAAATACCGCAGAGGGGGGGTACGAACCCGGGTCCAGATCCTTTATGAGAACCCATGCACGTTCCAATGCGGACCTCGCATCATCGGGCTTATTTTGCGACATTCTAACTGAAGCCAAACATTCCAATGCCTCCAGGTTATCTGGATCCGATTGGATAGCTAAAGACACTAGATTATCGCATGTCTGTTCTGCTTCTGGCTCGAAGCTGCGGCAACACGTGTGAACCAATCCCTCGTACACAAAAGGTGGAAATTGGCACAAACCAGAGATCTGACGACATCCAAATTTCTACCATCCCAACTAGCGCACTTATTGTAGTTAGCTTCAATTTAAAAACATCTTCATTTTTTTCGCTGGCTTGTGGTTGATTATTTCCCCTTTCTGTTTCCTTGAGAAGTAGATCAACGGCTGACTGGTAATAAGCAAGCGCCTCCCTCGGGTCGTCGTCTGTGAGTTGGGCAAGATAGAGGTAGGCAGAATATGGAGGGGGTGATGGAGACGTGGGAGATGGGGGAATGAGAGAACTGAATGCCTAAAACGCAATACTTTTAGTGCGCATGGGGGATCGTTATTTGGGGGGGTTAGATCACACCTTGCGTGCAGCGTCGATGTTGCCATCTTCAATTTCTATCAAGCCTAGCATTTCCCTCCCTTTTGAATTGGCTGGATCACGCTCTAATATCCTATCGACGAATCTTCGGGCCGATTCGAAGTTCATCTGGTCCATCAGGCTCTGTGCGCTTCCCAAAAGATCTGGTATGCTTGGTGGAGCTTTCTGTAAGGACCGGGTTGTCTCGCTATTCTTCCCCCGGATTCCTTTCTTTGACGGAGCATTTCTGGAACGGCCCATTATAAGAGCTAAGCACAACTGTCCAGAGGTCGTGTCGAATTGAGATTGAAGGCGCTTGGAGTCACACAATCGTCTTGGCCACAATTCAATTCATGGCATTGCTTTATTTGGTCACTTTCGATGGTTGATAAGCGCCCACCCCCAACGCCCTTCCACATTGGGCGTTTGCACGCATCTAAGAGCCAATCTCAAGTAAATGCCTTGTTCTTTTCAGAGGATAATGAGAGGGTCTTCTCAGGCGATGGAAAAGGCTACGTGGCATGCACATCGACAAGAACATTTCGACCGATTGCTGTATGGCAGGCGCATAAAGATACTATATTGGCGCTTTGCGAATGGGATGGGAAGATTTTGACGCGAGTATTCCCCATATAAGCACACTCTCCCTTTCTTACGTCATATCCGCCCTAGACATGGCCGGGACAATAAGCTTCATGTCTGGTCACCAATCTCAGCGTTACCTATAGCCGTTGCGGAGTCTGCTTCGACTCCCTCTCAGGATTCCACTCAGCCTAAGATATTGTACTCTTTGGACGTTAATTCTCTTAATTTTTGTCGTTTTTCTCTCTTGCCACTACCGGCTTCATTGCAGAGAGAGAACGAGGGGCTCGAGGCTCTTGTCGCCGTTCCGAACCTCGCCGAGTCTGAATTTGTGAGTCTCGCTTCTTCAGAGGATCTTGGACTCATCAAATATCATGCTCCACATCTCCAAACAGACGGATGTCTGGTCTCTCCCTGGTTTGAATCGCATACATGCTGCAATCGGGAAGGAGTATGATTCCCTGGGGACATTCTCAGGGAGAGCACGGGATAGTGCATCCAAGTTTGGTATGGCGTGGGTAACTGCTGTTGAGGCACGCAGGGATTCATGCCAGTTTTAGGAATCATAATGGCTCAGCACCTATACCACGAAGATGTCGAGATTAAGGGGAAATCTCAGAAGCAGCTGCGGGTGGTATCCGCATACGAAGATGGCTCCGTTTCGTTGTTTGCACGAACGGATACTTTTTTTTCGAGGTCAGTTGAGGGTCAAGGATGGACGAGGTTATGGAACATTAAAGCACATGTCGAGTCAGGTTCGCAATTCTTCAATACTGTAGCTCCGTTCGTGCTCAGGATCCCCTCCTATTTTTAGTGATGGCCATTTGTGTTTCAAGCGATTCTTCGTTTGTTTTGACGGTTTCGGCAGACCATCTGATCGGTAAAATACTCCTCACTGTGAGCTTCGCTCTTGTTTTTGACAATTTCCGTTACTGGAGACTACATCAACCCAGGATAACTTACCCGAAAACGTGGAGAGGACTGACACTTATAGAACAAAACATCCGGGAAATGCCTGCATCTCGCTTCGGTGCGACGATCGAATATGTGCAGTCGGAGGTTGGGACGGAAAGTATGCGCCATTTAAGACGCCCTAGTTGTCATCCCCTTGATTCACCCATGCTTCAGGATTCGCCTTTACAGTGTGAAGACGTTCAAGTCATTAGGAACATTGTCTTACCATCCTGAAGCCATTCACGCGCTGTGCTTTGCACATTCCAACTCCAACAATCGTATTCAGCCTGGTGAGCTTTTCCGTCTGATGCCAAAGTTTTTTTGACCCCAATCCGCACTCAGTATCAATGGATGAGGATGGTGATGAGGATGATGAATACACAAAATCCGATCTCGAAGCTCGGACTCGTTGGTTGGTTAGCGGAGGCAAGGAAGGGCGAATAGCTTTCTGGAGACTTGACTCATTTGAAAGAGGCAAACATTAGTTCGGTGCATAAGTTTATCCTTCCCCCAAATCCTGACGACTGTGCTTTGGTATATGCATAAATTTTGAGCGTGCACACTCAACTTCAATTTGGACAATGAGTTGATTTCGAACCGTGCCTGTCCGTAACTCAACTTAGAAAAGCCTTTCGTCAACTGACAGCCAGCAGCCCACATATGTGGGGACCCCTTCCGACGGAGTCGAACTCTAACACGCCACCCCTGATTCAGATATCGCATGGGCACAAAATACTGCTGTGAAAATCAAGTTCTGTTGGAACTGCTTGCTGAACTTACCCCGCAGTGACCCCGCACTCATGAGACATTGATTCATCGGAACACATCGTCTTACCGCTACATTTTGCGTTTTCCAAGCCCTCGTCTTTGAAGGCAAGAATCAAAGAAGCTTCGACACTTACCTTGTCCAAAATCACCAGACCCGTTCAACATCTGACGAACGTCCATACGCTCGGCTGCGGGGTTGTTTCGTAGGCCTGCGCTGTACTTTCCTATCAGATCATAGATAGAAGCAGAGATAAACACTCCTGCCGGGACTCGAAATCCAGACTACCCGGCCTGTCTATGGGGCGACACTGTTTCAAGCTTCACCGTTGCCAGTGATCCTCAGAGAAAGCGCACACAGACACGATCAAAGGTAACTACCGTGACATGGCATTCGAAGCAAAGGTTCGAGTTTTCATCTCCGCAAGAACAAGTGAGGAAAATTTGCAGACTTGACCTCTTGGGGCACTGCCCCCCCAGCCATGATCGGAGGGGGGTCCCGCCCACATGGCCATTGAAAGTGGGAGAATCTAGGAGCGCGTAAGGCGTTGAATTACCCAACTGAGCTGCCTCAGGTATAACTCACCCTCCACGACTGCGCCTGCGAAGCAGGAATCATTCCCCTCTGACTGCCGGTACAACCCCACTAACCCACCCCACAACCCGCGGGTGAGGCCGTTGGCATAACCACTCTAGTGTCACCCGGCCAGATCCACCTTTGCACCCTCACTCTATGGGTGCCATACTCGTATAGGCTAGGTCCAGGACCAAATCCACTCCATGGGCACCTACACCCGCTCCTGGAGCCAGGCAGGACGGGTACCAAGCACCAATGGACGATGCGGAGCTTGAGATCTGCGCTGTTTGCAGTTTAGCCTCGAAAGCTGATTGCATTCGCGCGAGCCGGAAACTCATAATCCCAGCGTGACCAAGTCCGGCTCTAGAAATCCTTCCACCGGCCTACGACACTCCAGTGATATGTCAAGAACGCAGGTTCAGTGCAGGCCATAATAATTACAACGTGGGATCTTGTCATTGAACAGTCAAAAGCGGATAAGTTAAGCCCCTAAAGGTACGGTAGTCACAGCCGAAGGAATTCCAAACCAAAGAATCCCTATTATAATTGAGGGGCTGGTGATCCCATCGATATACTTACATTTCTAGTCAAATTTCAAGAGACTGAAAGCAGCCTGCCAAGGCTGGCGAGGCAACTCCGTGTACCGTTCGTTAATCATGAAGGTACCAGAAAGCGCACACGGTGCACTATTGAAACGTGCTTCATGCCTTCTGTTGCACAAAATACTGGTTTGCAAAGAAGTGTGCGTAATTCTAAATTGCGATCGGGAGTAAATCCTAATAGGCAGAAATGCGCCATCGGGGGAATGCTCGAGTTTGATGGAAGCGGTAATGAAGGTATCAGCGAAGAGGTGTTGTGCATGAGAGTTGGAATGAAGTGGGAAAACCCCACCTGCAAGGATGCGGGGTGATGGAAGTTCATTTTCATCTGACCCTGCAATAGCATCGACGAATAACGAGGCTCGGCCCCCAGCGTTGTCACGGCGTGTATGTACGCGAACCTGATGTATCTGACCAGACGGGGGCCTGCAGAGACCGACGACACTGTGGCTAGAGTAGAGCGGATCATCGAACAGGACGGGGAAGGAATGGACTTGTGAGGAGAGGGAATGAACCACCGGTGGTTCATCGATGCTATTTAAAGGTGGTAATGGGAAGACAAGTATTCCCGCAGCCTTCTTCATAAGGACAAAAACTGATTCGTTCTGGATCCAGCCGTCCGAGTTTCCAGTGTTCTAGTAGGAAGTGAGAATTTAAAAAAGACATGCTGCAAACGTTATACCTCATCAAAGTCCATGACCTCTTGCCCGACTGTGTCAATAGCACCCCATTGATTGATTCTCCAATTCCAGACGTATACCAGTCTTGGGGTGACACAAAGCACGTACTCCCCGAATAGGCTGCTCTGTTCCGCCAGAAAATCGTCCGCAGCGACAGGGGGAATCCTCTCGCATCGTGCCAAGTTGGAGAATTTTGGAGCAGTGTACGGGGACGCACACCAAGTAAGCTCTATAATTTCCCACAATAAACTGATAATATAAGAACATCAATGAGCCGAATTGGAGAGCATCAGACACACATTACTTACAAGGATCGAATACCATTTGGATCCTCGGCAACTTTCACCAGAAGTATCATATAACTGTTCGTTTCCGGAAATGACTGGGCGGTCCATGACACGATTTCCCATCCAAAGGTGTCGAGTTGTATTTTAGCTGCAGGCTCCAAAACAGGTTCTTCAAAAAGCAACGTCGACAAATCCCAACAAAACATGTGGACATCCTCGGAGTCAAAGGCGTAATTGATAAGCCACCGACCGCCAGGTAGCAGGATCGGGGACTGATGCTTCCACGCCCATCCTCTATGAGCAGGAGGCTCTCCGTAGTCCAGCTCAAACTGCACCTCTCGGGACTCGGGGCTTTCCTCATTAAATAGGGCGGCACAGAGCCTAAAAGGGCGTGTGGCAAACTGGCGGATGGCGGCACAATCCATAGTTTCCAAGCTAATGCTGTGGGGAGCAATGCATTCCATTTGAATCATGCTTTTGGCTGCGTCCAACCATATCTGACGGCTGCTTTCGATTTTTGCGAGCAATATCCTCGATACCTAAGAGGGGAAAGGGAAATTGTAAGGCTAGGTAGCACACTACTCACATGCAATGCACACAGTGCTTAAGTGAACTATACTTTTCACATCAATGTACTTGCAAATGATGAACAGAATGTCGAAAGGCAACTCGACTAGGCCCATGCCGAATGGCTTCAAGCACTGTGACTCGACAACGAAGCTGTTTGGATTTGTTTATTTCGACCTCGAAATGGCATTTCCTCAAGCGCTCCTCGAGAAATTGAAGCAAGCTTATCCCAAGCCCTCCATTGACGAGGTGGGGACTGCTGTAGGAAAATAAGGAATTACCACTCACTTACAGCCCACCAGCGCTGGTTGAAAGATTGCTATGATTGGGTCAAGGAAGAGTTCCATCTCGGCGACCACCAAGTCGATAACATCTATCGCCACGTAAATACCCAGGTAAATTTTCATGGAGCCTCATATCATTTGTGGGATGATTAATTGTGCAAAGTACTTATCTTCCGATTTGTCCGATTCTACTATTCCTCACAGTGGAATACCTACTGCGATCACAGATGAGACAAAGAAAGCGGTCATCGGGACACTGGCCACGGGTGGACCAGTACTGGTCCAAATCAATGCCATGACGGAAATTGGGCATAGTGCGTTCAATCTCCGGAATGTGCGACAGACGCGTATAGACAAAGTAGACATGGCTGGCTTGGCCGAGGAGATCGATGAGAAAGAGGATGGCCCTAGCATCCATGAGGGTGAAGACTTTGGGGTACCAGACTACCCTCACTCCATGCTGCGTATGGCTCTTAGTGACGGGTCTCGGACCTTGCAAGCTATGGAGTATAGAAAGATATCCGCGTTACAACTTGGCACTACGCCCCTGGGTTGCAAGGTCAGCTTTATCAACAATCATCAGCGGAAAGCTGAAGGTTCCGCGGTCCTCAGCTTCTGTTGAAGAACGTCACGGTACGCCGTGGGATAGCACTCCTTGAACCGAAGAACACTACAGTTTTCGCTGGTTCGCGCGTCGAAGAGCTCGATGTCCAACAGGATATTCTATTCAATCGCGGTTTACGTCTCAGGATGGGGTATGCTATTTCATTTTTCATTTCCCCTCCATTAACCATCCGTGTCAGGTTACAGGAAATTGATCCTGAGGAGGAAGAGTTGGCTCGCAGGGCCCTGGTCCGGGAATCGTCTCCCCCAAACATCCCTCGTCACGAAGGTTCCAGACCTCAGTCCGCACACGTTCCTATCTCTCGACGCCCCTCCATTCATACGCCTGCTTCAACATCGATCGGTCAGACGAAATCGCAAAGGTTGAAAGCCATTCAGCAAGCTTTGAATGTGGAGGTGCAGCGGACACCTTATTTGGGGATATTGCCAAATAGGCAGCTGCCCAAATCCACCGAAGGAAATATTAGTTTTGATGACGAATTCAATTTTGACGAGGCTGCGCTCATGCAAATTGACGAGGTGGTCGCTCAAGCCCGTATGTTACTCACGGGTCCTGCACTCTTCAATATGATGATGCTCAAGATGATTGTAGTTACCAGCGACCCCACCTCTCGCACTCGAGGGGAGAAAGCACGCCAAGATGTATCTGTCATTGACATAAGTTCAGACGAAGATGAGGGCATTTTGAACGTGTCGGACTGAATGACAGCATCAAAACACCGCAATACATGTTGTCGTTAATGTTACACCATTACGTCGCTCAAGCCCATGACGCACTATCCAATGATCTCGACTTTGTTCTTCTTTTTCTTCTTTGAGGGTCCGGTTGATTGGAAACTACGCCAGCCTTCGACTCGCTTGTCCCGGTTAGCTGCATCGACAGACTGTTAGCCATGAAAGAGACTCGTTCGCGAAAATTTGCACCTTCCCAATTGGCATCCTCATCAGCCTTTCGCTTTTTGGCCGCAACTTCTTCCTCCTTCCTTTTGGCTTCCAAGCCCTCGTTCGCTAAACTCATCTTCAAAGCTCTTCATGAATGGGTAAGGGGTTTGGGGCCTTGATGAAGCGTGTGCACTTACCGGCGCTTCCGCAGCTCATCATCAATAAGCAATTCTTTCACTTTGAGCCCCAGTTGTTCCACAAATGGTGGCAGAAGGGTTTGTATACGATAGTCCGAGTCCTCTACGGAAGATGGTATGCCATGAGACTTAAGTACCTGCGTCCTAGCGTATGCAACCACAGAGTCAATTTCGGCGCGTTTGTCCTTGTCCGACAGCTCAGACTCCGCCTAACTATTTCATCAGTATCTGGAAAAAAAAAAGCTTAGTCCTCCACCTTCTTCAACAAGTCAAATGCATCTGGCGCTTTCTCGTGTTTGGCCTTATCAGGGTGGATGACTGGGGGAGGCGAAGTCAGTATGCAACAGCGTTTGGTAGTGATGCCTCAACTTACAGAGTGACAATTGTTTGTACTTCTTTTTGATATCTGCTTCAGTGGCGTGATATTGAAGGCCTAAAACGTTGTAAGGACTGTGAGATGATTAACAGACGCGCCATCGGTAGGCAGGATGGATGCGATAGGTACTTCAGCTTAAAGGCCTTTAATATTCGCTCTACCTGTATCAACGTCGACAAGGAAAGGTGAGGAGGAATCAAAACAATGCAGTGCACAAGGACAGACCTCCAAGTCACGCTGGAAGGCGGTAGCCTCCAGGCCCAGTAACCTATCTACTTCCTCTACGCTGGAGTCCTTGGCATTTTCAGACCCCTGAGAGAGCCCCGGCGCGGAAGATGAAGAAGCGTTAGTCATCAGACGAATAATGTGTCCAAGTGCGTTATGTAGACTGTTGGGGACATCACGTGCTCGCCCTGCACACGAATTTTTATCGTGATTTATTGTTTCTGGCGCTTAATGTCAGGCAGGATTCCAGCACCCACAGGTTATATGTGAATAGCTCGATGTGTTGCGCAGGCTGATGGCCGCGTGTGGGGCGTGGGTTTGGGTTTTGTTCGAGGGCGATCATTCCTTGCTTCAATTTACTTATTTCATTCCGAAGACCAGCTTGAAGTTTTGCAGGAAAACAAACAAGCGAACGTTGATGGCCTCTATCCTTCATGAAGCGAAACCTATCTCCGTCTTTTGAGGGTGTCACCACCCAAATACAGCCAACCAAACGAAAGCGAAAACCAGTGCCTGTTAATTTGGCTGCCTTGGCGCCAACTGGGGACAAATCCACTCACTCGATCACCCAAGGCTCAAACAAATTCGAACAAGTTTCGAGAGACTTCCTCATAGGGTCTGGGAAGAACTGGAGACTGTTTACAGAAGAAGAGCTCCCTGGTGCCGAGGTTTTCTATCTGCCGGATTTCATCGATGTGGCCACTGCTATGACGTGGAGGGCAGAATTAGACAAACTCGATACATGTTAGTGAACTTTCCGATATGTAGTGATTTGAGTAAAGCGGGTCTGACCAGCCGTGTTCCAGGGCACCGTCCGACACTCAAAGTGTACGGACGCGAGGTTATTCAGAGTCGCTTGACAGCTGTGTACGCAACAACACCCGAGCTTACTATGAAGTACTCGGGCCAAGTTGTTAAAATGCATTACCCGTATCCAAACTTAGTCTCGGAGATCCAACGTTTGCTTGAGAAAACCTTGGGATTCGGCCTCGAAGACATGGCCGAAGGTGAAGGAAATAATTTGACCGGCTTCAACCACGTCATGCTGAACAAATACGACGATGGAAGTGTCTACATCGGTCAACATAGTGATAGCAGGGAAAATAAAGTTGAGCTTGATTCCTGCCGCTCATTTCTCTTTGGGGCCACAGGACTCAAGCCATTTGGTCAAGGTGATTGCAAGTCTCAGCCTCGGGGCCCCCAGAACCTTCATAATGACCCCGCGGAAGGGATCTCCAGGGGAAAAGTTGAAATGGACACTGGACAATGGGAGCCTCATGATAATGCAAGGAGATACTCAGCTGAATTGGAAGGTGTGTGAATAAGCTGTTCTGGGAGCACGAACGTTTAATGTTCAAACTCCCCGCACTCCCAAACGTGTAGCATAAGATTCCGAAGGAGCCAAAGGTGAAGGAAGGGAGGATATCATTGACATTCCGGCAACTGGTGTATGAAAATCATCGTCCAGCGGGTTAATGTTCATTGCGAAGTAGGGTGTGCTGAGTTGTACATATATGGCGGCGAAACAATAATTATGAGGTTTGTTCTATGTGGCAGGAATAAACATGGGGATGTGAACGTGCCTGCACCAAGTGCGCGAAAAACTCTCATCTTCGACGACCGTTTTCTGACCGTTCGAGCAAGTCTTTTGCTTCGTTGATCTTGCTTGCAAGGTACGGAGAACCTCCCCGATCAGGATGGTTGGCAATCATAATGCCGCGGTGGGCGTCTTTTATCTTCGTTTTCATTGTAGGGCCATCCCTTCAACATGCAATCAACTGGAGTTCATTTAAGAACACCTGGATACAGAACATACCTTAGTCCAAGAATCTGTATGGCTTCATTCCGATCCATCTTCGCCTGAAAGCCGCCACGTACCCATTGCTCCGCACCACGCAGAGCCCGCTGACGAAGATAGTGCCTGGCACCGAGGGCAGCTGCAAGAGAACCTAAACCAATAATCAAAGGCGTAGCCATTCTGAGTCGATCAGTCGGCCTATATTAGTGCTATTATCGAGATTACGTGGGCGAACTGGCGCACAGCACACGAAGGGGCAACTGCTGAAGGTCGGGATAGGAATTGTATTGGGTCGGGATCTGCCGTTGCACTTTGGCTCAGATACCAACGATGAATGTCCTTAGGGCGCGTCTCTTAGCTAACGGGCGCCTGGTAAACGCTGTCCCAGCAACACCAGCAACTCGCGCGGCGGTTGTATTCCCACATTCGTTTGTGCGGAGACATGTTTCTGGTCCTCCTGTCTCATGGGAGGATCCTGAGGTCGACCCCCAACTCAACGGATACCCTCAGCTTCCCGCCGTCTCGCATCAACATCGTCCCCCATATGGCTGGGATGACGCCCAGGAGCGTAGGAATATCGGGGAGCCAGTGAGCCGATGTCCTGCTTCAATTCGCCGCACAACACTGACATTGCGACAGCTTCACGAAGATTACGATGTTCTGAGTGTGTGGGCGTACGATCACTACAGGATTCCTGGATCTACCGCCCTTCGTGAAATAGGAATTGCTGCCATTTTTTTCAGTCTCTTTGCTGCTGCAGTCTACGCTGTTACACCAGAGCGACCCGCCTTACCGCGAACCTATCCATATTCTGGTCTTGTTAAAGAGTTAGGCGGTGTGGAGGAGAATAAGGTACGTGTAACAAGGTTTCTTTTGTGAGGCGATATCATATACATACTGTCAGGCTCTGGAGGAATCCCTGGAAGAAGATTAAACAATTCGGGTAGATAGTATATAGTGATTAAATCGAAAGAATAATGTGGCGTAGGTGAACGAGATGACAGAAGTCACAATTTTATTCTGTCGATGAGGGTTCATTTTCGTGGGGTATTGGCCTCGGCTTGGGTTTCGGCCTGGGCCTTAGTTTCACTTTCATCGGTCGATCAGGTACTTCGGTCACCTCAGGTGCGCCATCTTCGTTCGGAGTACTCTCAACTTCGTCGGAGCTGTGGGCAGCCCTTCGTTTCTTTGGAACGACTTTGCTCGTTGGTGCTTTCTTCCGCTTCGACGATGACGAAGTAGTCTTCCCACGCCCCCTGCCTCTGCCACGGCTATGGCTTCGTGTCGAGGGTCCTGCCAATGCTTCACTATCTGGGGCGCGGATTGCGATTTCGGGTGTTGGACCGTCACTGGATTCTGCGGGGGACACTCTTCTGGCTTTTTGTTCTCTCCGGAACTCATTGACCACGTTCTGTAACCGTTTAGAGGCGTAGGCTTGCCTCTTGCGTGGTGCATATGTTCCGGAACCAATTGATGCATCAAAGAAGGTTTCTAAGGTGTTTTGCTTGTTGACTCCTCCGGGCTATCAAATCGGAATGAGCGTGGGCTCGACGCCCGAAATCCAAACTGGAGGCTCACCTTGCCTCGTTGCCCGACTTTGCGGATTATTGGAAGCAGCGTTTCATCCACTTTCCCTGCAGACCATGATAATTCTGAATTTAAGAACCTTCCAAATAATGGAATCAGATACACATGGTCGGGCGTATCAAAACTGTAACTTGCTCTCGTAGCCCGTCTAGGTCCGGAAGTCCCCATTTGAATGGTTCATCCGACACATCCACAGTTGGGGTGAAATATGCTTCTTGCTGCCAGCAATCATTAATTAATTGGAGCTGGACCACAATAAGTTGTACATACCACAGCTTCAGATGGCCAGTCCCTCGTAAGATGCAAGTGTTTGAATCGTTTCTTCTAAAGGGGGAGGGTTAACAATTGTCTGCCCTGAGAAAGCACGACGTACGAAGCGTTTTCGGAAGGTTGATGTGTTGTCTTCGGCTTCGTCGCGTCCCGATTGCACCTTCATCCACCAGTCCCTGAAATGCTTCAGTCCATCTCTCCCAGAAAACTCTTTGAGCAGTTCCATCGCAAGCACTGGCCCGACGCCAGGCAGACCTTCCGTATAGTCACTTCCCAGAAGATGTGCCAGGCGGACCAGTGTATCCCTGTCCAGCCCTAGCTCCCTGTCCAAATCCTGAAGCAAGAAGCACTCAACAGTTTTGGACTGGTTGAACATGTTTCGGAACACCCGCTGACCACCAAACAAGAATACATCTGAGTCATCAGTGATGATGCCTTCGACGAGGCCGAGCGAGACAAGCGTGGCACACTGTGCTTCCGCTTCCATAGGCGCTGTAACATACGGTATGCCGAATAATCTTAGCAGGAGCTTCAAGAAAGCGATCAATATATTGTAGGAGTACCACTCGTCATTGATCACTCACTTGGATTTGGGCAACCATTTGATGTGTGATATCTTCGGAATCACGCATTGCTGCCTTCTTTTGTCGATGTAATGCTTTGATCTCCTCATCAATCTCCTCGCGAACGGCGGCTAAATCTCGACCCTTGATCTGCGATATGAACTGAGCAAATTCGCCTTCCTCTGCTACCGGATCCATCTCATCTGCCGCATCCCATGTCTCCAAATGATCTGCCTTTCCGTCCGAAATGGGTATGTGCGCTTCATCATCTGGGATCACAACAACTGCTGCAGGATGTACCTGTGCAACTGGGTCTACATCCTCACTGGCGTCATCAATGCTATCCATGGAGCTCGGAGTAAGCACCTTCGACCTGGACCCGGGTTGCCATGTGGACTGCTCGACCACATTTAATCTATTCCATCGCTGAACCGTATCCTCATGACTCGAACCGTCATTATCCGTCTTTGGCGAGCCGGACAGTTGTGGTTCGGGTGTCGCCTCATTGGACTTGGGCGCCACAATCCCTTTGTTCGGCGAATTACATAGGCCTGGCTGCGGGATTTGTTCGTTCCCATCAGGAACAACTGTATCGAGTGGTTTATCCCCAACTGCTTCTGTTGCTTGGGGCATTTTAAAGGCCAGTGGGCGTTTCCGCCGTGACGACGGCGAAGGAGTATTTAGGGATAGAGGCGGGGATTCCAGAAGAGATGGATTCATCGTTTTGCCAGGCGAGTCCGGATGGTGCAGACCCGGATGTTCCCGAGGTAGGGGGTGCGACATTCCAGGGCTCATTGAGGACTCTCTTGGTGACGGGTGGGATCGAACACTTGTACTCTGGGATGATTTCCGAGGCCTTTCAGGAGTTGTGGTTTTGGCTATGTTGTCGGAGGGTTGAGCACTGGTAGAAGGGGTGGGACGGACATGCTCAGTCACAACTGAGCTCCGTACAGCTGCCAGTTTCGCTGCGTGGTCGCTCACGCGACTCATTAGTGTAACGTAAGTGGATCCAGCTTCCTGAGCTGTGCGCGAGACTTGGAACTGTCGCATTCGTTCCATTTCTTCGTGCTGGGATGCCTCCAAAGCTGCTTCTAGGTCTTTTGCTTCTTGTTCATCGATGGATTGTTGGATTGCCTCGGAGATAGACTGATCTTCCGGATCCTCCTCTTCTTCATCGTTCAGAAATAACGGACGGCTCTTGGCAATGTGATGGGCCATGGAGGATGTAGCATTGGATGATGCAATCCTGCCTAATTGGCGACTTTGACCTGCTGTCTCAAGTGTGCTTCGTTTATGTTCCCTCCAGTCTGAATCATGAAACTGTCTATAATTTTACTTCAGGATGTGAAAGGGTCCAGGTCATGCATGCACTTACTGCGAAGGAAGAACCTCTTCCATATCATCATCGGAATCTACATCGCCATCCTCACCACCCTCAGGGTCATGTTCATTCTCATCCTTAATTTCGATAGGTTTTGCTGCTGTGCCGTCGTCGCGCAGGCCAAGCACCCATCCTCCTTCACTCCCTTTATTTTTAACAAGAATGTATTGCCTGTTCCGCTCGCTGGCGATCCGAGTTGGGATGGTCATGTGCTGAACTCTAGCTACACTCTCGGTCGTTGTAAGCAGCTGCTGTGTTAACGCGTTACGCTGGCGTAGGTTCACTATTTGAGCCTTTGAGAAATCGAGCGCATCGTGAGCTTTCTCGAGCATAGATTGGAGACGGGCGTGAGATGTCTGGCGAGATTTAAGCCGCAAATCACCAATAATCTCATATTGGACCTCAGTGGGCAAAGACCGGAACATCTCTGAATTAGTATCAAAGTCCTCCGGGACCATTTCCTCAATGAAGGCTCGAAGTTCATCTTCTGTTGCCAGACGAGGATCGGGAAACCGACCGTCAGTTGCTTTGGCAGCTGCTGATTGTACGTCTATAGTAGGAAGGTGATAAGGGTCATGATCATGCCAACGATGCTTTTTCACTGAAGAGCCGGGAGTAAGAGGCCTGACTGCAGCTTTTCCCTTGTCTTTTGGAGAACCATCAGGTGTCTTAAGATTGGCAGAGCTGGGTTGAACGGGATCGTCAAGATAGGTGGCTCCAGCAAGCAGGTCTTCGGCAGCTCTCTCAGCCGCTTCTTCAGGGGTCATCTTCCTGTTGGCATGGATGAGTACAGGAATTCTCGGGCTCAGCAATGATCTGCTAACACAGGGACATGTCGATTGATTGCCTCCCGTCGCATTTGCGCAGCTAAGAGCTTCTCCGCAGTGCGTGCATGATCAAGGAATGCACCTGCTTTCTTCCTCTTTCTTTCTGCCTGCTCGGGTACGTGTGAGTCGCCAATTTGGGGATGATGCAAATCTCGAACGCACAATCGTGCCACGTTTGAGAGCAGGCGCGCCACCATCGAACACAAAAACGGGCTTTATGCCATAGAATAGAAGCTTGCAGATACGTCGTAGAAAACCAAGGACATGGGCGTTCACTAATACCCTTCCATCCTTATCCCTCATAGTCGCCTGGAATTGGTAGAGCCAAATGCTCGAGTCAATGGCCATTTTCTTCCCCTCCATGTTTTCCAACCTACGAAACTATAAACAAAACTGAAAAACAACATTCACAGGAAGTACATACTGCACTGGTCGCCCAACGGGCTGCAGCAGAGTCCACAGTCCTGCGACACCCATCGAGCGGCTTCGGGCCTCGGGAGAAATCACGTGTCTCGGCCTGTGCCAAGACGCGTCCGAGGCCTCGTGTAAACCTTGTTGACATAACAAAACAACATTGCGTTTCTCTCCACTGCTTTTGCACAAGGAATATACCCTTCGAGGATCGGGCATCTTCATTCTCGTAATCTTGCTGCTTTGGACACCTGTGGTGGTCTAGTTTGCTTGATCTGGTTTGCTTGGTCTACTTCAACAATGGGTCGGTCTTTGTTCAACCTGACTGAGCGTGAGCTCCTTTGGTCCCTCAGTGTCTTCATGGGTAAATATGCAGCATGCTTTAGCCTTTTTGTGCGCTCGTCTAACTACGCTCAGCACTTGGGATATACTCTGTTGTTCGCAGATACACCACCGCTCGTAATCGTGCAGTGCCCTTTAGGTGGTCAGCCCCTGCAGTGCGTTCCAAGTGTGGCTCGTGATATTCCAATGACTGATTCCAGGCCAGGCGTCATATATGGACTATGAAGCACCCATAATAGAATCGCCATCGTTGTCTTCCCATTTGCAAAATCCTCTCCTCGCTCCTCCTGAGCCAGTAGAAGGTTATAATTATATTACTTGCTATGATCCTGCCACTGGTCTTCATCTGGACACGCTTCCCGCGGATTCTCCAACAGACATCGCTGCCAAGATTGGTCTCGCCAAAGATGCCCGGGAAGACTGGTCTCACAGCAGCTGGGGTGATCGGCGTCGCGTTCTTAGGAGCCTACTTGCATGGCTCGTCAAAGACCAGGAGGTTTGCGCCAGAGTTGCGTGCAGAGACACCGGGAAAACAAGTTGAGCAATCCCCTGAGCCAACCCTTTGCCGAAGCTCACTCGCATCTTCAGTGATCGATGCGTCGCTTGGTGAAATACTGACCACCTGTAGTAAATTGGAGTGGTTAATAAACTATGGGGAAATTGCACTCAGGCCCGAACGGCGGCGAGGGAATTTAATTCTCAGCCACAAGACATCTACAGTCCATTACGAGCCTCTCGGCGTTGTTGCCGCTATTGTTTCATGGAATTATCGTATGTTACACTGCAATGCAGTATAATCCAAATTCCGAGCTCTTATTCTTATTGCCTACTTACCAAAGCACTGCACAATGCACTATCTCCCATTATTTCCGCTATTTTTTCGGGTAATGCCATCGTGCTGAAGTGCTCCGAGCATACCATGTGGTCATCAAGGTGGTTTGTTGGAGCCGTTCGGGAGTGCATATATGCTTGTGGGTGGAACCCAGACATAGTCCAGGTTCGTCTCTCAGAGCTGTACATTCTTCTGTTCTAATAGCATGTACAGTTAGTTTGTTGTCTGCCAGATGATTCCGAGGTATTGACAACATCTCCCGATATCAAACACATCACATTCATTGGATCAGAGGTGTGTTCCCTTGATATACTAATGTTCTTTTTATTGACGTAGACCTACAATAGACCGTTGGGAGAAAAGTGGCCATGGCAGCGACCGTCAACCTTACACCAGTAACATTGGAATTGGGCGGCAAGGATCCCTGCATCATTCTCCCTCGTACGAACATTCAGAAATGGTCTAGCGTCTGGATGCGAGGTGCATTGTAAGTCTGATTGCGACTGAGTGCTTGATCACTGCTGAGCGTCGCGTAGTCAATCCATGGGTCAAAATTGCATTGGGATTGAACGATTCCTCGTTCACTCTTCATTATATGAGGAGTTCATGACTGAAATGGCTGATCGTGTCAGCAAACTACGCCTTGGATCCGTTCTCTCCTCATCAGCGGAGGGCTTCGTCTCTGTCGTCGATGGGGGCTCAATGATTAATAACGCTCGGTTCGACGAACTCGAACGACTGATGACGGATGCTGAATCGCTAGGTGCGGACGTGCGGTGCGGTGGAACTAGATGGCGAAATCCGTATTCGGAGCAGGGGGCATACTTCAGGCCTACTCTCATCGGCAACGTTAATGAACAAATGGAGATTGCGCGGACAGAAGGTTCGCCTTTCATGTGTCCTCATTTTCCCGCTGGACAACTCAGTTGCCCCGACTAGTTTTTGGTCCTGTTATGCTTGTTCTAAAGTACGATTCAGTTGATGAGGCAGTTGGAATTGCCAATGGATTACACTATGGACTGGGTGCTTCCGTATTTGGGCCCGATCAAGGACCATGCAAAGAAGTGGCTATGTCACTGGAATGTGGCATGGTTTCAATAAACGATTTCGCGGTTTATTATGTGAGTTGGCGATCCTTTGTCTGTTGTCTGAATGCTAACTCGGGTTTATGACTCCAGTTAAAGTAAGACTCCGTGCCATGTAATTTGACTTCTCTCTGACCCCTGGGCTCCAGTCAAGATTTACCTTTTGGTGGTACAAAAGGCAGTGGATACGGACGCTTTGGTTAGTCATCTTTATTCCAAAGGAGGCCTCCCTAATCAGCCGAGCGCTGCAGGTGGACCGGAGGGGCTTCGAGCCCTCACGAATCCAAAGGTTGTCGTAGTGGACAGATTCCCCGTCCTGGCCGAGACATCCATCCCCGTGTTCTCGATTATCCGATCCGCAGCGTCGTTCACAGCTGGTACGTGACAAAATGTAAAGTATCAGGGCCGTCGAGTTCTGAGGTTATGCCATCGGATAGGGACTTCGTCAGTGGCCTGATCTCTGCCTTGTACGGGCAGTCGTGGAAGGCTCGCATGGTCGGGTTGACAAAACTCATCAAGGCGGCGACGTCCTAATGCGCAGTTTGTATGGTTGATACCAGTTTTCTGTGTACGTTATACATTCCCAGCGCAGTTGGGACGCATTTCACGGTGTGCATGACTTGACTCACATGTCGAGAATGATATATTATTGTGACAGGATAGACAACGTACAGCCAAAATGAAACTGATTGAGTCCCCATGATGCGTATATCACAACCTACCACGGTCTCTAAGGCGAATATTTCAACAAGATTTCACCTAGACGTGCGCGCAGGTCGCTGGGTGACACAGATACAGGACGTCTGTTCCGGTCATGGATGCTGTCGACACAATTTGTGCAGCCAGACCTATACGCAGACAATTCAAAAAGTTGATCAGAGGCGACGTCCCCGCTGAACGGATTTAATCCTGCTATCGCATCTTCGTAGCAACGCCTCCACGCCGGGGTCCCTCTGCATCTCGAACATGCCCACACAGTGTTTTCAATAGCTGTCTCTGCTTCTTGAAGAGCGTCTTCTCGACGCTTCATAAGATCGAAATAATCTAATGCGTCAATGGACCTCATTTCGGCAACCCGCATCCGCAACAATGAGGGAGTATCGCATTTAATATATCGCAGTACGGCTTCCTCTTCCGCCTCTTTATTGCCTAGGTGTTTCGCCAGAGCCCACGCACGAAGAGGGTTAGGTTCCTTTCTCAATAGTTGCGTAGTAGATTCGCGAATAGGGTCGATGGCGCATTCGATCTGTAGTTTAATCGCTGCTCGAAGTAGTCGTGTCGCGAATGGGAGATTGTCGATGGACAACTTGTAACGAACGGGATAGATGAGGCGAATGAGGGTGTGCAGGACTTTGGAATCCTCCTCCATGGGAACGATCGGTGTCGCCTTGGAGTCTGGAGGTTGAGGTAGGGTAAACAGGGAATGAAAAAATGGCGAGGCTTGTCGAAGGATCAAGGTGTGAACCCGGAAATCTGTGTCGTCGGTTCGTAAGATGACATCACCATCTTCGTACTCAATGCTGAGTGTAACGGGATTTGAGTCGATCGTGGTTTGGGGCTCCCTCAAGTAAGGTGTGAACGATATAGTGAGAAGTGACTCTTCGAATAGGACTCACTGAGGTACAGCCTGTAGCGACCCAAACTGAGTTCCTTCTGGCCTGTCATCTCCCTTCTTGAACTCAACTCTGAGCAGAATGCAGGCGACCGAAGGTGAGGCTAAATCTACTGTGATGTTTCAAAGTTGGCTTACTCTTCTGGGCGCCGATCCGGCAATGGGGAAGGCACCGCATCCGGAGACTCATTCAGGTGTACCAATTCTAGGTACGAAGGTTTAGCGGAAGTGGGGGAGCCCTCATTCCAACCGAGCGATGGTGGTTGAGTCTCAAGCAGGGGCACAAACTGTTCCACCAATTTTGAGCGCGAGGGCTCAGAAAACATCGGAGGTCCAATACTATGTTCTAAGGATCGTGGGCAATGTTTAATTGGAGATTTTACCTCCTGCTCCTGCACCGATTTCGGGTACAATTCATCAGGATCAGTCGGACGGATATCCAGCAAAGTTTCGAGCTGGTTCTCAACGGGATGCTCATCCTCGGGCAATGCATTTTGAGACGAAGGTTCAGCCCCCATCACGACGTCAACGGTATGAGCACTTTGTGAGAGTGTGCTGGAAAACAAGTGAAGATGGTGCAACGTTGCCGCAGGCGATGAGACTCAATTGAAGCGGCCTCGTGTAGAAGATGTGGGATCATTCATAATTTACTTTACGCTCATGGCCAATATTTCTTGCATCCTTGTTAAGAGAGACCCAGCAACTCGAGCCCATTCCGAAGAAATGCTTAGGTTGTTGGGACACTGACGACGAGATCGACCGTGGGAAGTTTCCGAGTGCCAAGATCGCTCGGTGACATCGTAATCGGGAAATGCTGATGCTTGGCGTGGGTGGTTACATTCTTCTGTCAAATCATGTAATTAACCCCAACTTGGTTTGGGCAATCGTGACACGTTCCCATTGCACCGTGCGCGTGCGCCTGTCAAGAGTTGTATATTATATCACTGTCCAAGAATCTAAAGTACATACACAGAGGCGGCCCCCCCCCAAAAAAAAAAAAATGACCCTAGTTGGGGTCTTCGTCGTGACTGGTATTCAGGACGAATATTTCGACAAAATTGTACGTAACTGCGCGCGTAAACTGCTGGGTGTTTTGGTCGTAGCTAGACTGTTCCGCTTGCGGACGCTGTCGACGCAAAGTGCACACCCAGATGCGGAAGCAGCGAGGCTAAACAAGTCATCTGAAGCGACGCAATCGTTGAATGGATTGAGTCCAGCTATCGCGTTGTCGTAATGACTCCTCCACGCTGGGCACCCTCCACACTTTGAACATCCCCATACGGTCTTGTTGATAGCTGTCTCTGCCTCTCTAAGCGCATCTTGTCGTTTCAGCACCAAGTCGAAGTAATCGAGAGCGTTGACATAACCCAATTCCGTGAATCGCTCCCGCAATAGCGCTGAACTTTCGCATTTGATGTATCGTAAGACCGCCGCCTTCTCCCCTACTTCATGACCCATGTATTTCGCCAATGCCCAAGCACGGAGTGGGTTAGGAACACTTTCCAGTAGCGGCGTAATAGAATCACGGATAAGGTCGATCGCACATTCGATCTCCAGCTTGTCCGCTGCTCGGAGCAATCGTGTTGCAAATCCGAGATTGTCGATAATCAATTTATATCGAATGGGATAGATGATGCTGATCAAAGTGTGCAAAACCTCTGCATCTTCCTCCATAGGAATAATCGGTATCTCCTCAGGGGTCGATGGAGGCTGAGGTAGTGTGAACAGTGAACGAAAGAATGGAGATGCTAGACGAAGGACGGTTTTATGAACCCGGAAATCCGTGTCATCAGTTCGCAAAATGACATCTCCATCTTCGTACTCAATGCTGAGTTCAGTGGAATGCACGATTGTGGCGGCCGATCTTGGGTAGGGAGGGTATGAGCGTATATATTGGAGAGTGATCATCACTCACAGAGTCGGTGACAAACAACATTCATCCTTGACACTTCGTTCTGAGGATACATATCTAAGCAGGAGCAGAACCCAAGGTGAGTCTGGTTTCGGAGTGGAACTTCTGTTGGCTTACATACCGTGAGAAAATATGCATGCTACTTGTCCATCCTGTCGGGGTTTCATCCATGTCCAAGCAGACAGTACTATGAGCGATTGGTGAGGGTAAGCAATTTGGTGAGGAGGTTGTTATGGAGTTGGCGCCGCAGTTGTGGTCGGATACAGCCAGTGTGTCATATCAATTGCCATTTACGGCCAAATCAATAGAGTACACGCCGGCAAGTTAATTGAAATGCCGACAGGATCTTCCCGTACCTAACTACGGAGATAGCAACGAGGCACAAGAACAGCTTGTACGTGTGCTGCTTATAAAGCGAACGACGTCTTTCCTTAGTTCACGATGCAACTGGGGTGAGGTTACTATCCTGTAAGCAACTCACCTTGATCCATGTATCCTAGCGTGTTATGCTAGGCAAATATTATAGATAATGTAGAGTTCAGAACTGAGCGCATTATAATAAGTAGTGTGAACCGTGGCGTTAGAACCCGTTTCATTGCATCTCCCGTGTTCGTGGTATTTTATGTCGAGAGCAGCATATCATTGTGTGAGAATGCAACGTCGGGAAGTGCATACACAGCGAGCTTCGTAGCATGACCTTAGTTTAGTATATTGAGGCCTCCTCGTGAAGCCCTATAAGCAAAATCCCACTGTAACCCTTAGGAGGAATATTCCGACAAGATTTCACCTAGACGTCTACGTAAACTAGCTGGTGTTGATTTGGCGTAGGGTCAGGATAATCCGGCTGCGGACGCTGTCGACGCAAGATGAACAGCTAGTCCTGCGAGCAGATAATTCAAACAAGTGATCTGAAGCGACGTCCGAGCTGAATGGATTCAGTCCGGCTATCACATCACAGTGTTCACGTTTCCACGCTGGGGTTCTTCCGCACCTCGAACATCCCCATACAGTGTTTTCAATAGCGGTATCCGCCTCTTGAAGAGCATCCTCTCGTTTCTTCATCAGGTCGGAATAATCAAGACCGTTGACGTAACTGAGTTCCGTGACTCGCTCCCGCGGCACAGTCTGGCATTTAAGGTAACGCAAGACTGCCGCCTTTTCTGCCGCTTCATCGCCAAGGTGTTTCGCCAAAGCCCAAGCGCGGATGGGGTTAGGCTCATTTTCTAACAGTCGCGAAATAGATTTGTGAATAGGGTCGATTGCGCACTCGATCTCCAGCTTATCTGCTGCTCGAAGCAATCGTTGCGCGAATGAAAAATTGTCGACGGACAATTTGTGTCGAATGGGATAGATGATGCGAATCAAGGCGTGTAAAACCTGTGCATCTTCCTGCATAGGAATGATCGGTATCTCATCGGTGCTTGGGGGCTGAGGTAGGGTGAATAGTGAACGGAAAAATGGAGATGCTTGACGAAGGATGGCGGTATGAACTCGGAAATCTGTGTCATCAGTTCGTAGAATGACATCGCCATCTTCGTATTCAATGCTTAGTGCAGTGGAATATGACACTGGTACAATAGGTATAAAGCTGAAATAAGGCATGAATGATATGATGAAAGAGCGATTCTGATCGGCTACAGGAAACTCACGTCGGTGAACGAGGTGGGGACAGTGGCGGCGACCGGGGCCTGGTACTCCTTCTGACTCTGCAAGTCCTATGGACTCGTTGCTGAGTGGAGCACGGACGACTAAGGGTTAGGCTAAATCCTTTGAGTGTTTGTTGGCTTACTACTCAATAGTCTCCTTCCTACAAACGACTAAAGGTTAGGCTGAATTCTTTAAGTGTTTGTTGGCTCACTCCGCAGCCCAATCAATGTCCTCCGCTGGGGTGGGGAACTAGTATCCATGACAAGGTAGACGGATTATATTAATGGACACGTTGCTGGAGAAAGATACAAGACGATCGTGAAGTGGACGGAATCGAACAATATATCGATTTGCCATTTAGGTCCTAAGTCCGAGTCACGGATTTTAACGCCACCTTGGCACGAACTATGTATATGCTTTCGCGAATTCCTAGTTCGTAGTCTTGATTAACTGCTCTCTCGTTCTCAAGTACTGGTACTATCTACGGCATTGGGTACTTACAAATATCCTCCCAGCGTGGATCCACGCCATATCGAGATCCCACTGAATTTCCGGCGCTCATGCCGTTGTCTCCTGGTTTTCCAATTAAGGTGGTCAGTTTACAAAAGAAGGGAATGTTCAGGATCAGCCGTAAACCCTGAAGTCCACGCCAATAGTGGAACGAGGGAACCATACCCCTTGTGACTAGTTGTTACGTTTCGCGCCTTCCTAGTGTTCAGTGGCACGCACCACAGAACTCTCTGAACTGGTGTTTGAGAGACCGACAATCTCCAACCAACCCTACTTCAACACAGGCGTCAGCGGAACAGGAGCTTTGGAAGTGTTACAGGTGTGGTAGGTCGTATGTTTAATTTCACAATCAGGAACGACATGATGGAGCTTTCGAGGATATAGCAAAGATCACATTACTGAATGGTTCGAACAGTCCTTTACCGAACGTTTACGTCATCGAGGATAGACTTCAGGGCGCTTCTGAGCCTATCTCTCGCCGTGCGGGCCTCATGGGAGTGGAACGTTCCAGGACAACCCGAACAACCTCCTATATGACAACACAACTCGAAGATCGAATCCTGGGTGATCTCCGGTGTGAACGGATTTTGTCCCGCTACCCGAGTAAGATAGGCAGCCTTCCACCTCGGACTTGGGCGCGAACATGAAGGACAAGGCCATACTACGTTCAAAACAGCGGCGCGTGCTCGATGCAAGACATCCCTCTTTACCGTGAGGAGGGTGTTATACCTGAGCGCATGGATGTGTTGAAGGGCGCTAACTGCAGGTGTTAAAAGATCATCATCCGTTTGAATGAACCGCCTCGCTGCTGCATTTTTGCTTTGCTCCAACCCATAGCGCTCTGCGATTGCCCAAGCACGCAAAGGATTCGGCTCCCGAGAGAGAAAGTCGGCAATTCCGAGCAACAGTGGCGATTTCGCGCAAGAAACTTGAAATTCAATGGCGCTGTTGTAGGCCTTCAGTATGGTGTCGAGTGAATCAAATGTTGATTTCTTCTCGAGTGGGTAAATGAATCGGAGCAACGCTTCCAACAGCATGCTGACAAGGGGCACTTCAACATAATCCTCGTCACGTGGGGCTCCGATCAACGTAGAGAAGGCGGGCGATGCAAGTTGGAGGAGCAGGGCGTGAACTCTAAATTCCACCATGTTCGATGAGCGCAGGATGATGTCCCCGTCGTCAAATGAAAACGGTTCGCGAAATGAACGTGGAGGTGCGGTGGGAAGCAGGGATGGGAAAGGAACACGAGGTGATTTGGGTTGTCCTGGTTCAGCATCGATTGTGGCCCATGGAACCTCATGCGGAAACTCCGTCTCTATGGGTAACGGAGAGGGCACGTTTGGTGAAGTGGCGCGTAGTGCCATGCCGGTTTGATGGGTAGCCAAAAGATGACTGCAGTCGCGCGTCCGACTACGTGCAGACTGCTAACGAGATGCATTTATACGGTGAGAGGATACAGAAAAGATTACGTTCGCATCCAGTTGAGGACCCTATAACACGCAGCAAAAAAGGAAGGTTTTCTGGGTAGGTTGAAATGAGGCGTGCAGCCTGTGCTGAGGGTTCCAGTCATGTTCCCTGAGCCAGGTCATGATGTAATTATGTGATTGGAGCAATCGGAATTCATATTTTTCCACGCAATTGTTGACCTTGCAAGCAAGGCAAAAACCCTAGCTATCGGAAATGATTATCAAGATTCTCCCTTTCGGTGGTTACCATCTGGATGGGTCAGCTGGACATGCGGCCACGCGTTGTTCCGCGACAGAATCAAAATGATAGTGCAAGTGTTTGGACATGAGAGTACCGCGCGTACGCATGCATCAGAGGCTTGCACTGGTATTTATTACGGCGATCCGTCAGAATCCAAAGCTGGAAGGAAACCCATCCCGTGGACGAACTTGCATGGCATTCGGAGCAAGGTGGCCGCGCATAGGATAAATCATGGGATTTCTGCCGGAGAGAATTAGTTAGCCCAGTTTGCTGGGAAGTATAGGGTTGAGATAGAGACAACATTGATATTGGCGCAAGGGATACAAAAAGGCGAGACGATGTCGCAATTAGGGTAACTTGGTGATTTGAAAGACAGAGCACGGACGGAGTAGAGGGCAGGCGGCTAACCAGCTTCTGACCATCACTTTCAGCAAGGAGGTTAAGAGAAGATTTAAACCTCGAGCCTAAGACAGAGATGCATCCGAAGTCGCTTGACAGCGACGGGGTTGGGAGCGTGCTTCGCGATCCCATGATAGTGACTTTCACGGGCTCGAAAGCTCCCGGAATGGATGTTGATTAGAATACCTTGTTTAAGCCCAGCTAGCAATATCGTTTACCATGGCTTCTGGAGGGTTGAAAATGCAGGTTCATGGAGAGGCTGGATGCCACAACGCCACGCCAGGATGTCGAAGCTCTCATGTCAAAGAATGTAAACAGCATTTTCCGCGATGCAGTTCAGCTTCCACACAGGAGGAAAGCGAATCCCCGGTATGGATGAAGGGGTGCATATAAACAAGTTAGCACGATAGATAGGAGCCCATTCAATCCTGACCAGCCACATGGTCCACAGCAAAGCACCGACCCTAGCAGAAGATAAATCTTGCGCGTAACGTCTTTTTTCCGCCCGTCTCAGCAAGATCGCACCGGATTGTTGAGTCTCACTCAACTCGGAGTCTGAATGACCACAGCATGATGAGCCCCTTTCGAGAAATGCAAGACGCCGTGCCAACGGCGACATGAACTTTAAAACTGAACTACGGTAAGTGATGAGCTCGGAACCACTGCACTAGGTTCTTTATCATCTCGGAAAAATGAGTAGGAACGGCTTACCTGCTCTCTGTCGTTTTCACCACCTCCTACATCATGCACAGAACGAACCACTCAATCAAGAGCAATGTAATCGGCTTTGTTTGCTCACATTGCAGCAGACACTCCCTGCGATATTGATCTAGTAACGCAACGTGCCCCCCTCGTTCGTTCTTACTGAAGAAGACACAGAACGCCCGCTGCGAATTGTACGACGTGGCCGGATGTCTCCGTCATTTTATCCTGGCTTCACTACCGCTCGGTTGCCGATTGATTCCAATGCGGGTGTCTCTTCCATTTGTTGTTCTTTGCTTCAACTGGCCACCAAATCTCATGTGTCCCTATTACACGTCCATCTAACAATGGCGGAAAAAAAATGTGCTGCTCGTTGACCGGAAAAGCTCTCTCGATCTCCAGCCGCCAAAATTCGGTTGCTGAAAACTATCGCGTGTACGTCGCTTCAAAATTAACCACCTTACGCCTTCCTCCCCAACGCAAAGCTTTAGAGCAAAGTTCGAGTATACTATATATGACCCTCCACATATCGTAACCCAGCGGCACGATACCAAGACTGGGGACATGAACAGAAAAACAAATATGGGGGCACTTTGCCGCGAAAGGCAGTCAACGCTTGTGGCTTGTGGTCTGTCTCGTCCCCATTTAGTTTGACGGAACATACCGGTACTTATGCCGCCGCATGGCAGCAGGGCAGGACTCCTCTCCAGGGGCTGAGCATGGAATGATGAAGGACTCTTTCCTTGACCCCGCTGCGGAGGCATTTCTCGAGGAGTTCAGACTCGGTTTGTCCTCTGTGCGAGACGTGAGCACCGAACTCGATCATCGTGCCAAGGCGCTCAAGGCAACGGGAGGGTACTCCTCCGTCTATGCGACTGATTGGACACCGCCAGGTGCTCAGGCCATTCGGGTAAGTTTCAGTGATACTTGCAAATCTGATATTCCCACGATTTACAATGCATACGATGTTGACACATTATAGGTGTGCTATAAAGAATTACGTCCACGTTCCAGCGATATGCCAGAACAAATCAAGCAGACTAGAAAACTGATAAGAGTAAGGGTACAAATCTTCAGTCAGTTAGCACGCATCACATCGCTTCTAGCACCTGACTCGTGAAGTCAAAATATGGAAAGATCTGCGGCACCCCAATGTCCTCGAGTTCATTGGATATGCCATCGTAGGCGAACGCTCCGACATAAAGGGTATTTTGGTGTCGAGGTGGTGCGCCAATGGGAATCTCATGCAGTACTTAAGAGCACATCCGGACTCGAGTAGGACTTTCTTGGTGAGTGTCAGTTTCCAATTGCGTACTGTTCTTCTGACGCGTACCAGGTTTACGGCATGGCAAATGGACTACACTATCTTCACAGCCACAAACCTGCGGTCATTCACGGTGATCTGAAGCCAGTGAGTAGGTCCTTTGATTGCGCATCTTTGGCTCATGGATATTGTCTTAGGAAAATGTCTTGATCAGTGATCAAGGCGAAGCACAGCTTTGCGATTTTGGCCTATCCCGTGCGTTGAATGAATTGTCTACTGGTGCTCAGACGACGTCGACTATGCTTGGGTACACGATACGGTACTCTTCGTATGAAGTTCTCATTGAGGAGGCGAAGACTGTGTTCAGCGATGTCTATGCCTTCGGGTGCACATCTATACAGGCAGGTGTATCTTAATTGTCCGGGACACTGTGGTGAGCAACGCTGGTTCCTCAGGTATTGTTCGATAAACATCCTTTCTCCGACATAAAAAACGACATCAGGGTGATTAGGGCCATTGAGGGCCGAAAACCTCCTTGGATTTGGGATACGAACATACCCATTCAGCGCATTCATTCTAAGTGCTGTGAACCCGATCACGACAAACGCCCATCAATTAGCAACGTCCTCCAAGACCTTGATCAGACCGGCTAGGCATCCCTTCGTTTTCGGACGAGGTGGTCCTTCTCCCAACTGTTGCCATTCGTGTTTCAAACGGGGCGGGTGCCCGCGTTGATGCTTCTAATAACAACGAGCTTCCATCATTCCCAATATCTTCCGCTGCTGCGACAGGCTGGAATACGCTTGACGATCATCCTAGCAGTCCCGCTGTATCTCCCGAGCTGCGAACGAGCTTAATGCGCCAAGCACTAGGTTTGTCAGATACCATATGTCCAATAGGTACAAGCCTGATGATCTCTCACACAGACGTTGGCGCTGTGGGTTCAGTAGGGGTTATAGGAATTGATTCTAGTGTAGGGACTGACTCATACGTTTCTTTGGATGGCCTAGTGCCTTCCATGCCAGCTAAAATCCTTGTGGTCCCTAATACCTATGACTCGGCTGTGACGGATGACTTGTTCTCTTACGTGACTCGACCGTCCCAAGAGACAGTGACAATGGCGACCCAGAGCTTGGAGGGTCCATCCTCTTACAACGATGTCTCCGGCTTGATCGCATCCAATCCCGTTCCCAAGGCCCGCTTCTTAGTACCTCCGACTCCATCTGCTGAGACTCAAAAGGACCTCATCTTCTACTACTTTTCGCGGATATCACAGATACAGTACATCTATGATCGCACCTCGGTCGAAATAATGCATTCGCTCATCACTAAAAATCCACACGGGTGTGTTGCCAGCGCTATCATCGCGTTGTCATCATTGCATGACGCGCGGATGAGGGCCGCTGCAGAAGGATGCAGAATTGGTCATTTGCGGCCGTCCAATTCACATGAGCTTTATTTCAACAAGGCGCAGAATAAGCTTAATTCAGTAGTTAAGAGTGGCCGTTCCTTGACTGAGGAGGCCATCGCGGCACTCCATCTGGTCTCCTATTGGCTGTTCCAAGGTGGCTGGCAAAGCGGGAAAGGCGGAGGTCCAGGCTGGCTCGAAGCCCTCAATGTGGCGTGCGATTGGTTTGAGAAACATAGCGGTAGCGGTCCAGAGCTACTCAAGACGATATACAATTTGAGCCCAGAAGGTCGCTTTGCTGCCCGAACAACCATGTGGTGAGTGCGGAATCTTCCGATATATCCTGAACGGCTGGTTTCGAGTTGCCCAAGGGTTTGACTCCCTTCGTTTTGCCTGAACAGGATGGACATTTTCTCGGGAATAGCTCTTCTTCGTCCACCACGATTTTCTGGCTTATATGAGCATCTTTTGTACTTCTGCCCGCGTCAATCAGACTTTTTCCAGTGGACGCACGGATGCTGTGATGAGGTGATGTTTTGCCTCTCAGCTATCGTCAACTTGGAGCATAACAGGTACCACGATGAGTGCACCACAATGGAGCCTCACGATCGCGAAGTTGCACGCAGCAGTTTTATTCTTCGCTCATACAAACTTCGGACACAACTCCTCTCGATCAATTGTTCGACTAAGCCGGTTTCGGTGCTTTTCACTGAGCCCTTGTCTGCATACCCTTTCACCCATGGCACTCCCAACACGCCGGACAAGTGTCCTACTTCCGAATTCTTCCGCCAGGCTGCACTCCTATACTTAAGCACGGTTACTTCTGGATACTCTCCTTCTGTGCCGCACACTCAAGACGCCATCGTAGCACTGAAGCTAGCAGTGGAAGCTATACCAGTCAGCATGGCAAACAGGGTCGACAGAAGCTTAGTATTTCCGATTTGCCTGGCTGGATGCATGACGGATGATCTGAATTTGCGTGCGTTCTTCGGTGGACGACTGAGAAGCTTAGGTAACGCAGTGGGGAGCCACATTACCGCGCTCCAGTTGATGGAAGCTGTTTGGGATATGAGGGATTCAACGGGTGAGGCTGTGGCTTGGAGGGATGTGATGAACGAGATGAAGTTCGAATTATTGATGGTTTGATGGTGCCCCAGGTGTGCGTCATAATGCTTCAGGTGTCTTTGTTGCTTCGACGTGACTTCTGGATATTATTTCTTTTCCTGTTAGCTGGGAGAACAATTCGATCCCCTGCTTGTTTCCTGGCTCACATTCGTACGCTCCCGCTTTTCACCCCTTCTAGCCTGCCACCCGGATCCTGTGTCTTCCGCTTTGCTGTCATAGTGCTTTCTTTTCTTTGGAATCTGGGGTTGCCCTAAATGGTAATCAATATATTGCCGCATCCAATTCTTGGTGACCTCGACTTGTATTTTTCTCCAGTTGCGGAGTGAGCCAACATATATATACTGACAAAGAATTTAGCCTGACTTGTAGTCCCTAGCAGTCGCGGGTCCATAGAACTTACCGAGTCACTCCAGGTCTACCTCAATTCCCCCAGAATCGTTACCGCCTTACTTATGTGGGTTCCCCCTGGGCTGATCAGAGAGAGTTGTTCCTCATCATATCGTTCATGCACCATCCAAGCTTAGAATCCATTGTAAGTTGAAATTCGTAACAACACCGCGTTCCACTGCACTAAGCATTGAATACGAAGATGGTGTTGTCATTTTACGAACTGATCACGCGGATGTCCGAGTTCATACCACCGGCCCCCGTCAAGCCATCTCCATTCTATTGACCCTGCCTCAGCCTCCAAACAGCGATGAGATACCGATAGTTCCTATATATGAAGATGCCCAAGTCTCACATATTAGGATTAAGACTATGTCGCGTTAGACTCAGACTCGAATAAGAGTTCTATATTGTAAATACCTAGACTGCGACAAGAATTATACATGAGTTATAAGATAAAATACTGAGAAATAGTTCTCACCTCAGACTCGAATAAGAGTTCTGAGGGAGAAAGTCTAAGAAATTTCCTCCCTTATATACGCGACATTCCTGAGTGGCAACGTCGTCGTACAAAGGGAGTTTTAAGTTGAATAAGAAAGGGCAAAACGCCCCCAACGCCTCATAGCGCCCCAGAATAACCGCTACGAATAACCGCCACACAACTTCCCGATGTAAACAAAGTTGGTGTTCTAATATTACACACCTCGGTTCACATCATCTATCCCGTTCGATCTTCCCCCTAAAGAGAGGCCGGGCCACCCGCCTACCAAAAATCGGTTGCGGAAAACTATCACTCCCGACTATTTCGCAATCGTCTTGCGCGACCTTGGTCTGTGCAGTGTGTGCTGCTTCAAATCACCGTATGCCTTCCTCTTTATATTCCAATGCAAAGCCCTAGAGCAAAGTTCGAGTACTTATACTGTATATGACCCTCCACATTCAGCGGCACGATACCAAGAGATAAGATAAAATAGAAAATCTCAAAGAATGTTTAAATTGCCGCGAATGGCAGTCAACGCTTGTGGCTTGTGGTCTGTCTCTTCCCCATTTGGTTTGACGGAATATACCGGTACTATGCTGCCGCGTGGCAGAAGGGCAGGACTCGTCTCCAGTGGGCTGAGCATGAAATGATGAAAGACTCTTTCCTTGATCCTGCTGCGGAGGCATTTCTCGAGGAGTTCAGACTCGGTTTGTTTTCTGTGCGAGATGTGAGCACCGAACTCGATCATCGTGCCAAGGTGCTCAAGGCAACGGGAGGGTACTCTTCCGTCTATGCGACCGATTGGACACTACCAGGTGCTCAGGCCATTCGAGTAAGTTTCAGTGATACTTCCACACCTGATATTTCCACGATTTACAATGCATATGGTGTTGACACATTACAGGTGTGCTATAAAGAATTGCGTCCACGCTCCAGCGATGTGCCAGAACAAATCAAGCAGACTAGAAAACTGATAAGAGTAAGGGTACAAATCTTCAGTCAGTTAGCACGCATCACGTCGCTTCCAGCACCTGACTCGTGAAGTCAAGATATGGAAGGATCTGCGGCACCCCAATATCCTCGAGTTCATTGGATATGCCATCGTAGGCGAACGCTCCGACATAAAGGGTATTTTGGTGTCGAGGTGGTGCGCCAATGGGAATCTCATGCAGTACTTAAGAGCACATCCGGACTCGAGTAGGACTGTCTTGGTGAGTGTCAGTTTCCAATTGACGTACTGTTCTTTTGACGCGTACCAGGTTTACGGCATGGCAAATGGATTACACTATCTTCACAGCCAAAAACCTGCGATCATTCACGGTGATCTGAAGCCAGTGAGTAGGTCCTTTTATTGCGCATCTTTGGCTCATGGATATTGCACCGTCTGTCTTAGGAAAATGTCTTGATAAGTGATCAAGGCGAAGCACAGCTTTGTGATTTTGGCCTATCCCGTGCGTTGAATGAATTGTCTACTGGTGCTCAGACGACATCGACTATGCTTGGGTACACGATACGGTACTCTTCATATGAAGTTATCATTGAGGAGATGAAGACTGTGTTCAGCGATGTCTATGCCTTTGGGTGCACATCTATACAGGCAAGTGTATCTTAATTTCCCGGAACACTGTGGTGAGCGATGCTGGTTCCTCAGGTATTGTTCGATAAACACCCTTTCTCCGGCATAAAAAATGACATCAGGGTGATTACTGCCATTGAGGGCCGAAAACCTCCTGGATTTGGGATATGAGTATACCCATTCAGCGCATTCTTTCTCAGTGCTGTGAACCAGATCACGATAAACGCCCATCAATTAGCAGCGTCCTCCAAGACCTTGATCGGGCCCGGAGCATGACTGTTTACAGTCCCTTACACGGTGGTGTTTCTGTGGAAAGGGGGGTCCACATCAGGGAAATCAATCAGACCGACCAGGCATCCCTTCGTCTTCGGACGAGGTGGTCCTTCCCCCAACCATTGCCATTCGTGTTTCAAACGGGGCGGGTGTCCGCGTTGATACTTCTAATAACAACGAGCTTCCCCATCCACAATATCTTCCGCTGCTGCGACAGGCTGGAATATGCCTGACGCCTCCGATCATCCTGGCAGTCCCGCCGTGTCTCCCGAGCTGCGGACGAGCTTAATGTGCCAAGCACTAGGTTTGTCAGATGCATATGTCCAATAGGTACAAGTCTGACGGTCTCTCACACAGACGTTGGCGCTGTGGTTCAGTGGGGTTATAGGAATTGATTCTAGTGTGGTGACCGACCCATACGTTTCTTTGGAAGGCCTTGTGCCTTTCATGCCGGCTGGGATCCCTAGTCCCTATGACAGCTACTCGGCTGTGACGGACTACTACTCCGACATGACTCGCAGTTCCAGATGCTTGTCGAATGGGGACTGGATCCCCAAGTGGCTGCGGCAATGGTGACCCAAAGCTTGGAGGGTCCGTCCTCTTACAACGACTTCTCCGGCTTAATCGCATTCAACCATGCCCCAAGATCCACTCCTTGACGCTTCCGACTCCATTTACTAAGAATCAGAGGATCTCATCATCTACTGCTTTTCGCGGGTATCAAAGATGCAGTACATTTATGATTGCACCTCGGTCGATATAGCGCATTCGCTCATCACTAAAAGTCCGCACGGGTGTGTTACCAGCGCTATCATAGCGTTGTCATCATTGCATGATGCACGGATGCGCGCTGCAGAAGGGGTATAGTTGACCATTCGCGCACGTCCAATTCCCATGATGTTTATTTCAACGAGGCGCAGAATGAGCTTAATTCAGTAGTTAAGAGTGGCCGTTCCTTGACTGAGGCGGAGGCCATTGCGGCACTTTATTTGGTCTCCTATTGGCTGTTCCAAGGTGGCTGGCAAAGCGGGAAAGGCGGAGGTTCAGGCTGGCTCGAAGTCCTCAACGTGGCGTGCGTTTGGTATGTGAGACATAGTGGTATCTTGAATGGCGGTCCAGAGCCACTGAAGACGATATACAAGTTGAGCCCAGAAGGTCGTTTTGCTGCCCGAATGATCATGTGGTGAGTGCAGAATCTCCCGATGTATCCTGAACGGTTGGTTTCAAGTTGCTGACGGGTTTGAGTTTTGCCTGATCAGGATGGACATTTTCTCGGGAATAACTCTTCTTCGCCACCACGATTTTCTTCCTTGTATGAACATCTGTTGAACATCTACCCGCGTCAATCAGACTTTTCCAGTCGACGAACGGATGCTGTGATGAGGTCATGTTTTGCCTCTCAGCTATCGTCAACTTGGAGCATAACAGGTACCACGATGAGCGCACCACAATGGAGACTCACGATCGTGAATTTGCATGCAGCAGTTTTATTCTTCGCTCGTACATGCTTCGGACACGACTCCTCTCGATCGATTGCTCGACTCAGCCAGTTTCGGCGCTTTTCACTGAGCTCTCGATGGAGTCGTCCTCGTCTGCATACCCTTTCACCTATGGCACTCCCAACATGCCGGACAAGTATTCTACTTCCGAAATCTTCCGCCAGGCTGCACTCTTATACTTGAGCACGGTTACTTCTGGATACTCTCCCTCTCTGCGGCACACTCAAGACACCATCGTGGCACTGAAGATCGCAGTGGAAGCTGTGCCACTCGACATGGTAAACAGGGTCGACAGAAGCTTAGTATTTCCGATTTTCCTGGCTGGATGCATGACGGATGATTTAAACTTACGTGCGTTCTTCGGTGGACGACTGAGAAGCTTAGGTGACGCAGTGGGGAACCACATCACCGCGCTCCAGTTGATGGAAGCTGTTTGGTGTATGAGGGATTCAACGGGTGAGGCTGTGGCTTGGAGGGATGTGATGAACGATATGAAGTTTGAATTATTGATGGTTTGATGGCACCCCAGGTGTGCGTCATAATGGTTCAAGTGTCCTCACAAATGTTGCTTCGACATGGCTTGTTTCTTTTCCTGGTTAGCTGAGAGAACAATTCGATCCCTGCTTGTTTCCTGGCTCAATTCGTGCACTCCTGCTTTTCACCCCTTCTCACTTGCCACCCGGATCCTGTGTCTTCCGCTTTGCTGTCATATTGCTTTCTTTTATTTTTCTTTAGTGGAATCTGGGATTGCCCTAAATGGTAATCAACCTATTGCCGCATTCCAATTCTTGGTGACCTCGCCTTGTATTTCTCTCCAGTTGTGGAGTGAGCCAACATATATATACTGACAGCCTGACTTGTAGTCCCAGCGCTTCACTCAGTCGCGGGTCCATAGAACTTGCCGAGTCACTCCAGGTCTACCTCAATCCCCCCAGAACCGTTACCGCCTTATGTGGGTTCCCCCTTGGCTGATCAGAGTTGTTCCTCATCATATCGTTCATGCACCATCCAAGCTTAGAATCCATCGAATTCGTGACAACGCCGCGTTCCACTGCACTAAGCATTGAATACGAAAATGGTGATGTCATTTTACGCGCGCGGATGTCCGAGTTCATACCACCGCCCTCGTCGAGTATCTCCATTCTATTAACCCTGCCTCAGCCTCACAACGATGAGATAGCGATAGTTCCTATGAAGATGCCCAAGCCTTAGGTTCACATCACCTATCCCGTTCGAGCTTCCCCTAAAGTGAGGCTGGTCACCTGCCTACCAAAAATCGGTTGGGGAAACTATCACTCCCGACTATTTCGCAATCGTCTTGCACCTTGGTTTGTGTTGCTTCAAACCACCGTATGCCTTCCTCCCTATATTCCGATGCAAAGCCCCAGAGCAAAGTTCGAGCATACCGTATATGACCCTCCACATTCAGCGGCACGATACCAAGAGATAAGATGAAAAGGAAAATGTTTGCCGCGAAAGGCAGTTAACGCTTGTGGCTTGTGGTCTGTCTCTTCCCCATTTAGTTTGACGGAACATACCGGTACTTATGCCGTCGCATGGGCAGAAGGGCAGGACTCCTCTCCAGGGCTGAGCATGGAATGATGAAGGACTCTTTCCTTGACCCTGCTGCGGAGGCATTTATCCAGGAGTTCAGAGTCGGTCTGTCCTCTGTGCGAGACGTGAGCACCGAACTCGATCATCGTGCTAAGGCGCTCAAGGCAACGGGAGGGTACTCTTCCGTCTATGCGACCGATTGGACACCGCCAGGTGCTCAGACCATTCGAGTAAGTTTCAGTGATACCTCCAAACCTGATATTTCCACGATTTATAATGCATATGCATATGGCGTTGACATATAGGTGTGCTATAAAGAATTGCGTCCACGTTCTAGCGATGTGCCAGAACAAATCAAGCAGACCAGAAAACTGATAAGAGTAAGGGTACAAATCTTCAGTCAGTTAGCACGCATCACGTCGCTTCCAGCACCTGACTCGTGAAGTCAAGATATGGAAGGATCTGCGGCACCCCAATATCCTTGAGTTCATTGGATATGCCATCGTAGGCGAACGCTCCGACATAAAGGGTATTTTGGTGTCGAAGTGGTGCGCCAATGGGAATCTCATGCAGTACTTAAGAGCACATCCGGACTCGAGTAGGACTTTCTTGGTGAGTGTGAGTTTCCAATTGACGTACTGTTCTTTTGACGCGTACCAGGTTTATGGCATGGCAAATGGACTGCACTATCTTCACAGCCACGAACCTCCGATCATTCACGGTGATCTGAAGCCAGTGAGTAGGTCCTTTCATTGCGCATCTTTAGCTCATGGATATTGTCTTAGGAAAATGTCTTGATAAGTGATCAAGGCGAAGCACAGCTTTGTGATTTTGGCCTATCCCGTGCGTTGAATGAATTGTCTACTGGTGCTCAGACGACATCGACTATGCTTGGGTACACGATACGGTACTCTTCATATGAAGTTATCATTGAGGAGATGAAGACTGTGTTCAGCGATGTCTATGCCTTTGGGTGCACATCTATACAGGCAAGTGTATCTTAATTTCCCGGAACACTGTGGTGAGCGACGCTGGTTCCTCAGGTATTGTTCGATAAACACCCTTTCTCCGACATAAAAATGACGTCAGGGTGATTACTGCCATTGAGGGTCGAAAACCTCCTTGGATTTGGGATACAAATATACCCATTCAGCGCATTCTTTCTCAGTGCTGTGAACCAGATCACGATAAACGCCCATCAATTAGCAGCGTCCTCCAAGACCTTGATCGCACCCGGAGCATGACTATTGACAATCTCTTACACGGTTGTGTTTCTATGGAAAGGGGGTTTCCACGTCAGAAGAACCAACCAGACCGGCCAGGCACGCCTTTGGACGTGGTCTTTCCTCCGACCGTTGTCACTCGTGCTTCAAATGGGGCGAGTGTCCGCGTTGATACTTCTAATAACGACCTTCCATCATCCCCAATTTCTCCCACTGCTGCGACAGGCTGGAATACGCCTGGCACCTCCGATCATCCTAGCAGTCCCATTCTGCCTCCCGATGTGCGGATGAGCTTAACGCCTCAAGAACTAAGTTTTAGATGTCCACCAGGTACAAGCCTGACGTTCTCCCACACAGGCGTTGATGCTGCAGATTCGGGGGAGGTTATAGGAATTGGTTCAGGTGTGGTGACCAACTCGTACGTTTCATTAGAAAGCCTAGTGCCTTTCATGCCGGCTGAGATCCCTACGATCCCTAATACCTACTCGGCTGTGACGGATGACTACTTCTCTGATATGGCTCGACAGTTCAAAGTGGCCGCGGCAACGGTGACCCAGAGCTTGGAGGGTCCGTCCTCTTACAATGACTTCTCCGGCTTGTTCGCATTCAACCATGTCCCCAAGATCCGCTACTTCGCGCCTCCGACTTCATTTGATGAGGGTGGAGCGGACCTCATCTTCTACTACTTTTCGCGGGTATCACAGATGCAGTACATTTATGATTGCACCTCGGTCGATGTAATGCATTCGTTCATCACTAGGAGTCCGGACGGGTGTGTTACCAGCGCTATTCTCGCATTGTCATCATTGCATGATGCACGGATGCGCGCTGCAGAAGGGGGCATAGTTGGCTATTTGCGCACGTCCAACTCCCATGAGCTCTATTTCAATAAGGCGCGGAACGAGCTTAATTCGGTAGTTAAAAGTGGCCGTCCCTTGACCGAAGCGGAGGCCACTGCAGCACTCCATTTGATCTCCTGGTGGCTGTTCCAAGGTGGCTGGCAAGGGGGTTCAGACGGGAGTTCAGGCTGGCTCGAAGCCCTCAACGTGGCATGCGATTGGTTTGAGACACGTAGCGGTATTTTGAACAGTGGTTCAGAGCCGCTCAAGACGATATACAAATTAAATCCTGAAGGTCGTTTTGCTGCCCGGACAACCATGTGGTGAGTGCCGAATCTTCGGATGCACCCCGAGCGGCTGACGATTGTGCCTGAACAGGATGGACATTTTCTCGGGAATAACCCTTCTTCGCCCGCCGCGGTTTTCTCGCTTGTATGAGCACCTACTCAACTATTCCCCCGGTCAATCAGACATTTTCCAGTCGGCGAACGGATGTTGTGATGAAGTCATGTTTTGCCTCTCAGCTATAGTCAACTTGGAGCATAACAAGTACCGCGATGTTCCCAGGACTGTTTTCGATCGTGAAGTTGCACATAGCGATTTTATGCTTCGCTCGCGCAAACTTCGCAAACAACTCCTCTCGATCGATTGCTCAACTCAGCCCATCTCACCCTTTATGATGGAGTCATCCTCCTCTTCTGCATACCCTTTCACTCATAGCAATCCCAACGTACCCGACACGTATCCTACTTCCGAAATCTTCCGGCAAGCCGCACTCTTGTACTTGAGCACGGTCACTTCCGGATACTCCCCTTCTGTGTCGCACACCCAAGACGCTGTCGCAGCCCTGAAGCTATCATTGGAGGCTGTGCCATTCGACATGGTAAACAAAGTCGACAGAAGCCTAATTTTTCCGATTTGCCTCTCTGGATGCATGACAGATGATCTAAACTTGCGTGCGTTCTTCGGTGGACGACTGAGAAGCTTAGATAATGCAGTGGGGAATACCATCACCGCGCTCCAATTGATGGAAGCTGTTTGCGCTATGAGGGATTCAACGGGTGAGGCTGTGACTTGGAGGAATGTGATGAACGAGATGAAGTTCGAATTATTGATGGTTTGATGGTGCCCCAGGTGTGCGTCATAGTATTAATTCAGGTGTCCTCACAAATGTTGCTTCGACGTGACTTCTCGATATTATTTCATTTCCTGGCTAGCTGAGAGAACAATTCGATCCCCTGCTTGCTTCTGGCTCACATTCGTACGCTCACGCTCACGCCTTTCACCACTGTTTCGGGCCCAATTATTGGGTTGCAATATACACTGACAAAGAATTTAGCCTAACTTGCGCTTCACTTGGCCGTGGGTCCATAGAACTTGCCGAGTCACTCCAGGTCTGCCTCAATCCCCCCAGAACCGTTACCGCCCTATGTGGGTTCCCCTTGGCTGATCAGATTTGTTCCTCATGATATCGTTCATGCACTATTCAAGCTTAGAACCTATCGTAACAACGCCGCGTTCCACTGCACTCAGCATTGAATACGAAGATGGTGATATCATTTTTACGAATTGATGACGCGGATGTCCGAGTTCATACCACCTACCCTCGTCGACGAGCATCTCCATTCTAATATTAACCCTGCCTCAGCCTCCAAACAGCGATGAGATACAGACACGTCTTACACACCTCGGTTGGCATCTTCGATGCAAATTGTCTATCGACAATCTCATGTTCGCGCAACGATTGCTTCGAGCCCTCGGACAAATCGGAGAGTGTTGAATGTGCCATCAAACCTATTTACCAATCTATTACGCGACTATTGAGGGGATAACTCAACTCTCCATGTATGGGCTCTGGCGAAACATCTATGCGATGAACCGGCGGAAAAGGAGGCTGCCTTGAGATGTGTTAAATACGACATTGCGAATGCGGGTTGCCGAACTGAGGTCCATTGACGCTCTCGATTACCTCGACCTTATGAAGAAACGCGAAGACGCTCTTCAAGAGGCGCAGATGGCTATTGCAAGTACTGTGTGGGAATGTCCAAAGTGTGGATGATTCTGAAGACGTCATTACGACTGAATCCACTTAATTCGATGTCGCTTTGGATATTCTGCTTGAATTTTCTGCCTGCAAGTCTGGCTGTACATCTTGCATCGACAGCGTTCATGGTCGAAACAGTCGAGCTACGTCCAGTGCACATCTTGTTGAACTGTTCGTCCTAAAGACGTCAGTGGTTTGTAACTTGCGCCTCGACATGGGCCCTCAACATATTTAACTGTCGTCCTCTACGACACTCGCTGTACATGTGCTTCGGATATATTCTCCCGCAGTAGTATACTGCTCTCGACATGCAGTACCATAGGGATGGTAAATGCGATGGGGGGTTCCAATGCTACTGTTTGCTTGACACAAATCATAGGTGCTCTACACGTACCTGGGGCGCCTGGCTTTTGCTATCCGCAGCAGGCAGGCAAGATTAGACGATACTTGACTCGCCTATGGCACGATGCCCGCGCGGAATGACGTTTCAAGGCTTCCTACGGTCGATCGTGTCGCGCGTTTTGACTTGTTGAAGAACAGCGACGTCGAGTTTCAAGTTGTCTCGACGATGATAGCAAGGCAAGAACCATTTACGTACTCGATTGCTAGGGATCCACTGCTTTGTGCTAGGGAAAGGTTACAGTGACTTGCTCTAGACTTGAGGTCCTTCGATCGGAGCGTGTCCTGTGCATGAAGTTTTTTGGCTTGACATAACCGAATCTCTTTAACCATTGATGGGATATGATTCGCTGTGTGGGAGCTTGATTGTAGTTTGGTTCGGAGCGTTGACCCATCAGTGTTTCCACATTTCGATTTGTCTATAAAAATGCATGAGAAGGGTTCATTGCGACTTCGCCCAGACCTCAATCCGCAGGCTGCTTTCTCAGACTCCTGAGCTCTTGTGTTTCTCTTTTCTGGTTTCCGGTCCAGTCGCTCCTGCGCTGTCGAGCCAATGACGAAAACTATTGAAGGAAGTAAAGGCAGGCAAGCAGGCAAATGACTTTGGCATTACTATGTGTACATGGAATCCATATCTGCCTGCTGTAGACGACAAACGAAGTGGGTAACCAAGAACAACACCTATAAAGCATAGGAAACTCAAGAAATAGCGGTGTACATGTCACCGTCAGTTGCTAGTGCACGCGCGCCATCAGTAAGCTCTCGAGGGCTTTGGTTTGAATGTTGCTAAGTCAACAGGTTTGAACCAAGAACTGGATGTAGGGCGGGGCGAGATCTTTCACTTACCTCCAATCTCAGAGTGCTGATTGAGGATACTCTGAAGTCGAGAGCGTAAACGCGAACACACGGCAATTGCATGGTGATAATCAAGAGTAGAAACGCAGTTGTCACAACCTGACCGAAGGGCACAAACTTCGAACAGCAGTTCAGATGATACATCCCCTCCGAATGGATTGACCCCCGCAATTCTGCGTTCATATTGCTTCCTCCACGCAGGAGCACCCTGACAGTCGTTACAACGCCAATTGGTTTCGGCGATTGCGACCTTTGCCTCCTTCAGCGCATTTTTCCGCTTGGTGATAAAGTCAAAGTGAGAAAGCCCATCCACATGACATAGCTCCTCGACTCGTTCTTCTAGCATTGCTTCATCATTGCACTTGAGGTATCGAACGGTCGCCGCTTTGATAGCAGCGTTGATACCGAACCGAGCAGCAATTGCCCATGCTCGAACGGGATTGGGTTCAGCTTCCGTGATCGAAGCGATAGCATCATGTATTGGCTTGACAGCGTACTCAATCTCTAGTTTATCCGCTGCTCTCAGCAGCCGAATCGCATGATCCAGCGAGGTGATTGAAGGTTGATACGGTTTTGGGTAGATCAGACGGACCAGAACCTCGAGAACGTCCGCTTCCTCGGTCATTTCGATAACTGCCATGTCATCCGAACCTCGAGGCTGGGGTAGTTCAAATAATGACTGGAAGAAAGGAGAAGCTTGGCGAAGAATAGTGGTATGAACCCGAAAATCGGTGTCATCGGCACGAAGGATCACATCAGCCCCTTCAAATTCAACGCTGATGAACGTTCTTGTCTGCGTTTCGGCGGAAGGGCGTCCCCCCGCATTACCACTATTGCAGATGAGTGAGCACAATAACCTGAATCTGGAGGCAGACCAACCCAGAGAGCGAGTTGATATATGAAGATGCTGGCAACGTTGGGACTGGCGCATCCGAGTTTGCTACTACGTTCGGGGTTGGCGGTTCTTCTTCGTGCCATGACAGACTTGATGAAAGGGTCAGCTATTAACTGAGCGCAGGATTGCGAGATCACCAAACTGACCTCGGCAGGGCTGCCAGTGCCAGTGCCATTGACGTATCTTCAGCCTCCGATGGTAGGTCGCTTGACGGAGCCAACAGATGGGTAACGGCGGAACAGTTCGCAGGATAGTACAATGTGTTGATTAAACATATATAGAAAGGTGTGGCGCTCACGCGTGACTTGTGCTCTTGGATCGACGACTCTTGAAACCGTGTCACGGATTAAGGGCGTTCGATTCTACCACGGTCATGCGTGGTTCAACACGCCTCGGTAGAGATGTGTTCGATCGGCGTCAATATCAGTATTGGAAATCAAGCATGAACGTTTGGCTTTACAATCCGTGGGAATGGCCGAGACAGGCCACTGGAAGAGAGTGAGAAGAGTGTGTCCCTGCAGTTGCTGGGAACATTAATATTCTCGTACAGCATTGTCTAACATCGTGCATGTAACTGGCTGGAACTACACGGTAATACGGATAAGGCGGTGGCGTACAAACTTCTTCGCTAGTCACGACTCACCATGCATGGAACTTGAAGAACAATAGTCATAACAAGATCGAAATTGAGAAGGACTGTAATCGGACAGGATCAGAGCGCACCTAATGTGAGATGCGGCGCGAAATAATCTAGAAAGCCAGAAGTTGGGTAATCGCCACGAAGTTGCCACTTTCTGATATGAACTAGCTGGAAACACCAACGGCCATAAGGATTCTGTATTGGATGCCGCAGTACAAGTTGTGCGTCACAACCCAGGTATCAACCGTATCAACCACACGGAGCAAGTATGGATATGCTAGAAGTTGCGGCCCAACGCCACCGGTGGTCAGGGCCGAAGGTTGCCTGGTACAAACGTTGTCAAGGCGAGGTGCCCGGGCCGCACACACTTGCATTGGGAGGCCGGAGCGCTTTGAGGCATGATCGCCACCCAACCTTTCTCATTTCCCTTCATGTTGCCACTCGATCCTCCTTTGTTTTCACGCTCTCGGTTTCACCTCAGTGGCGTAGAGCCCGCATTTATGTATGCAAGGATAGGACCAGCCAATACTTTGCTAATACGAGTATCGCCACAGTGGGAATTGGAGTTGCGTAAAAAACCATTTAAAAGATGGTAAAATATTATCATTTTTACTACGATTTGAATAATATTTTACCATCAAATCCATGGTCCTTTACCAGGATTCCATTACCACGCTTTTGAGGGTAAATGACCTATATTTTCTTCGTTTTTGACCACGATAATGATGGTAAACGGTCAATTTACCATGGTGCAGTTGGTAATTTACCTGCTCCGACTTGGTCATTTACGACATTTTTGATTGGTAAAAAACACAGCTATTTGTGGTCATTTCCGACCATTTTCGTGGTAATATACAGTGAAATCGAGACTACTTCTATCAGGTCGAATTACGAGAGACATGAATGAGAAAAAGAACCGATGGGGATTGATTTGAACAGCGAGCTAGAAATAAAGTACGACCCGAGCTTTGACTCGATCAAGCATGGTCCACGTAACCTAATGAAAATGCAAGAAGTCATGAGTCTGAGAGTAAGATGACAGAGGAACAAGCTTATGAGTAGCAGATGCAAAGCTCAACTCTTGCAAGCAACACCGTGGCGTACCGTACAGGGCCTTGGCCTGAGATGGGCCAGGTTCATTGATTCGGGCTTTCTTCTGTCGTGGGGCTGTCATAATGGTGACCACGTTCCACCACAAGTGTGGCCTTTGGGCAATGCCATAATGGAGGCTGGGAAACTCTTGTTTGCCGTTGGATAATGAATTTCTAGGAAAAGCTATTATATCTCATTCATCAATGAGTTAGAGACACATAAAATTGCGAAAATTCATGTGAAAATGCGCAAAGACGCGTAAAGACGCGTTGAAACACGCCCAGGTAGGAGGCCTTCATAGGATCGCTGTTGGTGGAGCAGTACACTGAGTGTCCATGACCTTGCAGATTTATGAGTACTTGCCTCGGAAGGATGTTTGGGGGGAGGTTGGCTAGTTGCGGAGGGAAGAGAAGGTTGAATTGGGAGAAAATGAGCAGATCTAGGTGACGCGCGGGTAGAGTGAACGATGTGTGAAGTAGTACGGAAATTGCCGAGAACAACATCGCCCGATCTCAGTCTAAGCACCACGCAGGACTCCAGCCTCTATGACTTCGTAACAATAACAGTATCTGCCCATTTCCCCTACCATGGAGGACATGTCTGGGAGGGGTTCTTGCTGTGGCCTCCCAGACTGCATCATCAGGCGCCATCTTCAGCTTGCTGACCTCAGTGCGATCGATGCACTTAGAGTTTTTCCAGAGAGGGAGACAACTGGATCTGATGCCCATGAAAGCCCAGAGAACGGTTCACTCGGTTTTTCCTATGATTTACAACACCCCTTGCACACGATGAGACAGCCAGCGGCCCCGACCCAGTTGACTCGCTTAGAAGCACATCGAAATTTTACTACATCTTTATGTGCCGGCTTCCATACTCGGGGCTCCTCACAACAAGAAACATATTCCCAACGATCTCATTGTCATAAGATTGCGATCTATTGTACAACAAGCCCCATCAACATATCATCAAGCCTTTCCGGAAATTATGCCTCGCTGGGGAAAGTCATGGACTGTTGGGGGAGGCGACAAGTTCTCCACCCTGTGGGCCCAAGAACGGCGAACCAAGTACAGGGGCTCATCCTTTGTCCGGGTAGGAGCGCCTAAAATTTTGTAACTTCCACTATTGAGCTGACCTTCACTGCTGGTACGAAGTCGCGGTGGACTCAAATCCCCAAGTACGTCGCGAAATCCCGCTTGTGAGAAGGGTTTGTTACAGCGAGCTTCATGAAATACTCAAATGTGTCGTTCCCAGGACTCTTTGGAACAAGCATGCCCATGCGGCATCTTCTTGCCCTTGTTTCGGACAGCAGCGCTTATATGGACGCAACCTCTTTCACCAAGCTCTCCGACACCACTCAAATTATCGCACTCACATCGGTCTCATCAGTCAGCTGTGGCCACTTTCTTTGTGGCACGAATTCTCGTCGTTGGGCCATCATTGATCACAGTTGCGAACTCGTGAGGCCAATTTTTAGCGTTGACAATGATGACTACTCGAACATTGCCACTTCCCATTATCCGCACACCTGAACTCTGTATAATATGTCGCAGCTCGAATACCATGAATTGAGTGGTAATTTACGAATTGAGGAGTCTGGTATTTAACTTCGCGAACGTATATTATAATTTACCATGATAAAAATACCACGAAAACTGTGGTAAATGGTGAAAAACCAGACAAAAAGTAGTTTTTTACGGGGCTTTACTTCCCACAGTGTCGCGTTGCACAGTTCGCGGGTGTAAACAAACAGGATAGTGAGGGGGACCCTCGAGCCTTGTACCTGCTCACAATCAAGTACATACTTGGTTAGCAACTCATAGAGATTATTGGAAGTACGTGTACGTGTACTGCATATTTCTTGCTGCTTGATAAAAGTCGCGTCTCGATCCCGAATTGCACAATAAAGGACATCTTACAAAATGCTGTTCGAATGAATCACTGACTCACTCTAGCTCTGTCTTCCGGGACCCTTTCCGATTCCTGGGTAATATGATGAACCAATGTCATTTACACGTCGACGGCAAGAAAAATCCCTGGTTCTTGGCACCATCCCAGTACAGGCTGCTTGCAGCGGTCTCAGACGACAAACCGTTATACGTCAATCATTTTCTCGAATCCTTCCCCAATCCGAGAAGGAAGCCTTGCGCAATCGAAACGTCATGAAGATTATAAAGACGCCAGTGATGTGCATGTACCAATTTTCCATGGAAGTTCCGGATCTCATGCATAATCTTGATCAACTACTGTGATCAGCATGCGTAGTACCGCACCGCGTTCATAAGTGAGTAGTACATTATCTGCGGCTCTGAATTGGGTACGAGTATGTACCTTCACAGCGTGGATCCGCCCGCATGTTCTTTGACACGTCTTCTCATATTCGATCACCGTGCCGAGCGGCTTGCAGTCAAGTCCCCGTAAAGTCCCTGTACCTAGTTATACTGCGAAGAGTGTTGAGCACTTTATAATGTAGGGTAAACACATCACGGATGAGGGAGTGCTCAAGATTAGCTGGCGAACCCTGAAATCTATGCCGTGGACGCGTAGCTCTAGTGTGAAGCCCCCAATCGCGGAGATAACATATATTACATAGTAAGTACTCCTTTAGGGAATATTTACAGCAGCGAGGATAGTCTTTAGGGTGCAACGCAGTCTATCTCTCGCGGTCCGAGCTTCGTTGGAATGGAACGTTCCAGGGCAACCCAGACAACCTCCTAAATGACAACACAGCTCGAAAATTGAATCCTGGGTGATTTCTGGCGCAAACGGATTCTGTCCCGCTACGCGAGTAAGATAGATAGCCTTCCACCTCGGGCTTGAGCTCGAACATGAAGGACAACCCCATACCACGTTCAACACGGCGGCGCGTGCTTGACGCAAGACATCCCTCTTTACGGTCAGGAGAGTGTTGTACCTCAGGGCGTGGATACGTTGAAGTGCGCAGACAGGAGGTGTCAGGAGGTCATCGTCCATTCGAATGAACCGCCTCGCTGCTGCATTTTTGCTTCCTTCTAACCCATAGTGCTCTGCTATCGCCCAAGCACGCAAAGGATTCGGCTCCCGGCAGAGGAAGTCGGCAATTCCGACCAAAAGTGGACATTTCGCACAAGAAACTTGAAACTCAACAGCACCATTGTAGGCCTTCAAGATGGCATCGAGCGAATCAAATGTTGGTTTCTGCTCCAAAGGGTACATGTATCGAAGCAGAGCCTCCAACAGGGTGCCAACGAGAGGCACTTCGACATAGTCCTCATCACGTAGAACGTCAATAGAGGCAGAGAATCGGGGCGATGCGAGCCGGAGGATTAGGGAATGAACCTTAAATTCCACCATGTCCAACGAGCGCAGGATGACGTCCCCATCGTTGAATGAAAAGGGCTCGCGAAATGTTCGTGCCACGATGCGGGGACGCGAGGGTCGGGCTGGAGTAGCTACAGATGATGATCGTGGCGCACATGCCAGCAATGCATCGTGAGGCCGGCGGTGGGTGGTCGGAGCTACAACTGGCGACGACGCTTCGCGTATCGCGCATGCTGGCAATGTATCGGCCTGAGGTCGGCGATGTGTGAGAATAGCGACAGGGGGCGACGTCTCTTCAAATATCGGGCGTGTTAGCACCGTGCCCTGGGGCCGATGATGAATGGGGGCAGCTGTAAGTGGTGGCGGCACTTCTGTGGGTACTGGAAATGTATCGTGGGGCGGGAGATGAATGGAAATAGGTGTAGCTGGTGATGATACTGCTTCACATATCGCGTGTGCTGGCAGTGTATCCTGGGGTCGGCAATGGGTGGGAGTAGCCACAGGATGTAACGGCTCTTCACGTACCTCGCGCGCTGGCAGTTCCTGTGGTCGGTAATGTGCAGGGAGAGCGATAGGATGTCGGGGCACTTCGCACATTTGGGTTTCTGGCACCGGCTCCTCATGAAGCCACTTCCCATCGATTGACTCACATGACATCGTTTCAAACACGTCCGGACACTCTCCATTTTCCATACTTTCCGTGCCGTACGGTGGATAGCCAAGGGGTGAGTGCAGTCGCGCTTTCCTATATGCAGAACCGCCAACGGGATTGTATTTATATATCATCAAAGGACCAGGAAAGATATTCCGTTCGCATCGAGTAGATGCAATGGACGACCCTACACACGAGGCGAAACACTTGTTTTTCGATTGGTTGGAATGTGCTTGCGGCTTAGGGAGTATAACTAGAACCCTAAGCGGCACCCAGTTTCGAATGGGTAGTTCTTCTCGGGACTCGAAATCAATAGTCCCTATCTAAAATGATTATCCTAAGGACCAGTTGGACATGCGGCCACGGGCTGTCCAAGAACCAGGTGTTAGTGCAAGTTCGCAGCATGAGAGAACCTTCGGAAGCTTATATTAGAAGGCAGGGGCATTATTACGATGATCCATCAGGATTTAAATGGAGTCCCAAGGCTGGGAGAACACTTCCACGGAGGGGGATGAATGTGTATGGCATTCAGAGAACGATGGCCACACGACATGGAACTTTTGGCGCTGAGAATTGATAAGCTAGATTGGGTAGTCCCGGAAAAGTATAGGGCTAGAATAGAGACGACACGCCCTCAATATCGGGAATGGAACCAAGGGGCACGGAAAGGCAAGACGATGTCGCAATTAAGATTTCAGGACTTGCTGGCATGTGAGTCTGCCATGGTTCGAATGCAGACAGAACATGATACCCCTTCTCACATGGAGTAGAGAACTAGAGATCCTACATTGGTCAACAGGCGGCTAACAAGCTTCTAACCCATCGCTTTCAGCAACGAAGGGACAGCCCAAGATATAGAGCACGGAGACGCATCGCTCCACAGAGACGGGTTAGGAGCGTGCTTGACGGTCTCGCGGTGGCGACTTTCGTGAGCTCTGGGAATGGATGTTTCGAAACCTTGTTAATCCCGGAAATATTGTTTGCCGTGAGCACAAACCAGAACGTCTGAGTGTTGGCTCATGAAGAGAGGCTACGGGGTCACATCAACCTTCGCGTCTCAGAAAGCGCAATGTTTTCCGCGATGTAGTTCGGCTCACACACCGGAGGAAGGCAAATCCCCGGCGTGGTCACGGGCCACACGAAGGATTCATAAGTTGGCGCAATGGATGAGGACCCATTAGATCGGCCAGCCGCATGGCCCGCAGCTGCGCACCGTCCCTAGTATATAATGTCGCGCGTAACGTCCTTTTTGGCCTGTCTTTCAGCAAGATCACACCAGATTGATTCAGAGTTCGAATGGGGTCTCAGAGCCACAGATCGCTCGTGATGAACCCTTTTTAAGAAACCCGAGACACTACGCCGAACGCGAGATGTGCGGCAATCCACGAGATAAAGCGCGGCGGAACTTCCCGCGATCTTTCCATCAAATCAGTCCGATGGGGCATCGCAACTTTGCACTTCTTCAAACCAACTGCGTTAATGTTCGTAAGACAACATGATACCCCACTGGCAAATTTACACTGGTACTCGTGACTTCTTGATGAACTCTGCCAGATGCCCTTCGGTTTCCCCCCTTGAGTGTCGTGAGACTCAGACTGGCCCAGGCCTGAATTTCTTGAATTGTGAGTACGAGTGGAGTATGTGAGCCTCCGGCTGATCGATCGTCGGCAGTTCCGCATGGGCATTCCCTGCTCTCCCTTGTTGTCAGATTTGAGCGACTAACAGACAGGGTTGTACACGTACTCACCATTCAAAATACAGGTGGGGAAGAGAGTTATGTATCATAATTCTTTGTGGTTTCTTCTTCACGTGCTTACTATCCGACTGCTGGCGCATGTCCTCCAAGATTCTGCCAGTCTTCTCCAGTAACTCTTGGTCTGCCGTAGGCCGCTGGTTATGGTTCTTTCGAGCAAATGCTCCAGCTCGGAGTCGGATTCACGACTGTCGGCACTGGTAGACATTTCCTCAGTTTCAGGGATTGTCACCTTCCCCAATGTCGTGAGCACCTCCGCTGCTACCGCGTTCTTGGGAAGCCAGCCATCGGTCTCACCGCGCTTAACCAGAGATACTGGCGATTGGGCGGTCTGGGTAGACATAGTCATCTCAAGATATAAGCTAGTTCTGTTTACTCTGAGAGGGCGGGGCACTACGCTAAGTTGTCTTCCATCCCCCTCTTATTTTATATATTTTTGTTTTCGTATACTTCGTCCTCAATCGGTACTCTAGGGTTCTGACATTCCTAAAGAAATTGAGAATACTGTATGACAAGGCAACCACGGAAAGAAGTTGAAAATGGAAACGCATATAAAATGTGCCAGAAGGATCCGTTTCGGCTGAAGATAAGACAGCTGCATGCCAGACACACTAGCGATGGCACAGTCCCCCGAATTATTGAGTGGCGCTTGACGAAGATTGATGGTTGATGCAAGAAAAATCACATGAAACCACTCGAGAGATGAAAACCCAACACAGTACTCTGAGACCAAGAACCTAAACCTCCAACTAACCGAGAACAGGCATCTTTTGGGTCGAGTATTCATCGGCAGGGGGCGCTAAATTAAATGATCGACAATAATCGCAAACGCCAATCGGCTATTGGAGCATCTTCGGCCTGTATGGCATGCATGCATTGACAAGGCAAGGCAACTAATGGCTTGATAAACAAGGCGATTGGAAAGCGTGTCTACACATTTGCATCCATGGACATGGCATAGAGAGAGAGACGTCGACGTCCGTTCAAAAATGAAATGGGAGAAGGGGCACCCAGAACAGAGGATGCATGGCCATGTGCCTTGCAGTAGTCGTCGGTTAAGGTTCGGCGCTGTAGGTTAGAGACCGGTGGGCGAATCAGTTGCCAAAGTAAGCACGGGTGCACGTGATCATGGTTCAGCCAATGCAACCTTCACTTTTTTGTGACATTGCATGAGGACCCTGAGGCCAATGGAGCGTTGCAACTCAACATTCTTTAAATCTGCGAATACAGATTCATAACGAAGTAGACTTCTTCCCACATCCACATCGAGGTATGCGGTTGAAACTAGTCATGAAATCCCTAATTTTAGAGTTGCAAATTTGGCGCCCATGACACTCTCGGTTGGGTCGACGAGGCTATCGGCGACGTCCGCCTTTATCACTTATCGAATATAGGTATCGTTAAATCCTCGACCAGTTGCAAGGGGAGATGTATAGTAATTATTAGGGAGTGTACGAATCGCAAGGATGTGTTATCGTATATATGCAGATTCGCGAGTACATGCAAAACCAGCTCGGGGATCCGTCCGTTTGTCCGTCCACACATGATGAACACAATGACATTATATTGTCGACTCCGAACGTGAGGGAATGATTATGTAGAGTATGTAAATTGTGCAAGGGAGGAAAAACGAAAATGCAGAGCAGCAGTAACCACGCACGCACGCACGATCGAGCGCACACACGCACGCGCGTGCGTGCGTGTATCCATAAGTGGGAAAGAATGTTTACATATATATGTGCAAAAAAGGTCAGAAAATGACCGCAATGATCGGCATGAACACAAAGGGACTGCCGCACCCCTCGGCTTACAACTAGGATTTCTATCCTCCTGATTATCGCGAATATCGAATATCGGAACATCGGAGACACACATGATGCGACCAGTATAGTATCGGCCCGCGAAAGTAGCGCTGGTGTCAAGAGATTGGAAGATAGAAACCTGCAATGACGTTGACAGCCTTGTGGTTGCGACGGCATGATATGATGAGCTCGGCCTCGGGCATGCAGCCAACGCGAGTAGGGGGGTGTATTGATGGGTTACGTCTTGGGAGAAAAAGCTGGGTGACACCGGCTAGAGTAAACGACTCCGGACCTTGACCAGAAAGATTAAGAGAAAAACTACTTGTAAGGTGTTAAAATGGACTGATCGTGCGGAAGAAACCGCAACGCATGATGACGACAGCAACGAGGAAGGTGAAGAGCGCGATTTGAAATGCAAGAGGCGTTACTCTAATGGATTCTACTACATTTTTTTTGATTGTGATGCCAGAGAGGGGAGGAGGGGAACGTTCGAACGGGAGGAAGCAAGGGCGTGGATATGATGTCACAAGGGAGAGGGCCGGAGTGCATGAGATAACGCCGGGAATAGAAAGGATGTGTCGTGTGAAGTGAGGAAATATAAAGGGAAGAAGGCCAGGCCATTATAAATCCTCTAAAAAAACCCAGCCAGGGTCACGGCGCGCAATATGCACTCATGCATTGCCGTCTAGGGAGAGGTAGTACGAAATATGCCCCAGGCCAAGTTTTGTGATACGTGCCCCTCCTGCAAAGCAATAAAGTATGTGTGATGCAGTTTACGCACCCCAGGCACACCAAGGCACGAAAAAAGAAGATGCGTTGCAATGGTCATGAAAGATGAAAAAGAGAAGAGGAATATGCTTGTGCAACCGAAATGTAAAGTAAAGAAAAAGCGGTGAAAATGGCAGAGACGATATCCATCCCAGTTAAAAACGGCCTAACGTTGCTGTTGAGCCAAAGTGGAAAGCATAAGTCCTTGCAAAAGTTCAGGTTTCCACTGAAGTCGCGAACAGGCTGTGGCGTAGTCGACCCATTCTCTCCTTCGTTCTCCCTTTTCCAACCAATCCGCTTCTACGTTGGTAACTTCCAATTCAAACACATGGTAGATAGCGGCGGGGGCTTGTATTGTCGTAACCCTGCGCGAAATGACACCTCGCACACCAGCTGACAGTTTGTGAAATGGATGAACAACAACAGGTTATGCGGTGGTTAAGAGCATTGTGATTGCGGCGGCGGTTGGGCGTCGGCATTCCCCAATTCGGAATGCGATCAAGATGGTGGTTGTGAATTGGCGAATCCCCAAGGTAGAACAACATTTTCAGCAAGTTGCCAACCGGCGAAATAAGGAAGCGTGAAGAGGGTCAACGAGTGAGATACGAAGTCACGGTGGACAACGAAAGAGAGGACCTTCTTCTAATGCCTCCCTCGACGCAGCGGCCTCCCATGACTGATCGGTGGGCTCAAAACCACCTTTCGGAACTATAAATCAATCCAAAGGGAGGACGGCATTGAAAGAGAGAAGAAACCGGAACATGCGTCAGTACAACAATTATCGTATTGGATCACACAAAGGGCGCATGAAAAAAAAAAATCGTGCCAGGAGGGGGGCCCGATTATAGGCTTCAGGTGGGTTCGAATTAATGGATTCTAACCATCCCCCCCGCCCACCAATCGGTTCCCCCTTCTAGCTTGACATTCGACATTGCAGAGATGACTAAGTATACTCACAGACCCATTGATCACCTCTCTTCCGGCTTGTTATCAGTAAAATTTGCCCAGTCGTTCGGGCTATGGGGATGGCGCAACAGACGACGCGCGGCGTGGACCTCTGTTTGGGCATAACTAATGGTGATACTTTTTGTAAAGGTAGTGGGAGGGGGGAGGGGATAAGGATTACGTATGTGTGAAGAGAGAGTAGGGTTGAGGAAGGGGGAGGAGGAGGGGAGAATACGGGTATGTATATGAGAGATTGAGCAACACAGCAGCAAGAGGCAGAAGCTTCCTAGCGTGTGTTTGATGACTTTTTTTTTTTAGAAAGATGTAAACTAGACTTGATCGAAAAAAAGGTATGGGATGACGTTGGATGAACGGATGAAAAAGATGCTGGATTGGATCAAAAATGCAAAAATGCCAGTCAGCTCGGAAGTTTTTTTTTTTTTGGGATTTAAAAATGTAAGATCGGATTGGCTTGGAAGGAGAATGTCTCTACAAGGAAGCAGTGGCGGACCGGAGGACGAGACCAATGAGGAGAGTTGTACGGATGTTGGGATAATGCAGTGTGCGTAATGTCGAGTGAAGCAAGGGTAGAGAGAAGAAGAAGAGCTTAAACTAAGGATGTCCCGTCAAGTGCAAATGACAGGTTTTTCAAAGTTGTGAGCAGGGCCGGCAAGGGAGGCGAGCACACGACCGAAAATGGAGGATGAAGAACAGCAGGAAATTGTTGGAAAGGTCAAGTGGACGGCAATGTTCAAATCATCTTTTTTCTGTGGCAGGGATGCACGTTCGTTCTCGGGCCAACATAGTTTCCCAACCTTCCGTTAATAGTAATCTTCGCACGATGCCACATCTGGATACCTGCCCTGTATATACCATAGCAAACATGCTCTCCTGAACAAGAGCATAATGTACAGATCCCACATTATGATGACCGTGAACAGCATCAAGGATTTGATCCAAGGAAAAAGGGAAAAATACAGAAAGACGTCGAAGAATTACAAGGTTTATTAAATTTTGGACTGAATAGTTATAGACGGACATTTTCCGGGATCTTGCGTATGGCCTGACGCACTCCTAAATCTCCCAGGACATCCTCGGCTTAAAACAGGGTGAGCGTGGCAAGCCGGGAACAGGCACAACAACATAAATGCTCACCTCCTCCCAAAAGCGCATCGAAAGCGATGGTCCGATGATAATGCTCAATGAGGCGACCCATCCCTGTTTGGGTAATAGCACGTCCGCCAAAAATCTGGACCGCATCCCTGGCAGTTTGTTGAGCTGACTGCGTGCAGGTCATTTTCAGGAATGAAATAGGGCTATCATTCAACTGTCAGTGTCATGTGGCTAGTCGACCCGGCGAGGGATCCACGCACCCTGCTAAAGAAGACGACATTTGCTTGTACGACATGTGGCACATCTGGTATGTGATTTGTTCCAGCCATGTTTGAAGAGCCTCAGTGCGAGATATCATCCCCGCAAGCCTAGCAGTAAAACAAGGTAAGAAGTGAGTGACATGGATAGATAACTTGATACCCACTTGGATCGAATGACCGCTTGTTCGAGTAATGGTTTCCCAAATACTTTCCGTTGAGAAGCCCACTTCATGCATTCCTCTGCCACCATTCTCTGGACCGGGCGCTGCTACAACACATGACCCACCTCTCATGATTGAAGTTACTCAACATAACAAGCAACCCTCCATCCACTTCCCCAAGAGTATTCCCCACAGGGACTTTAACATTGTCAAACGTCACGTACGCAGTCCCAGCTGTGGTTGAATAAGCCGTCTTAATCAACTTTGTCTCCACACCTTCTGTCCTTTCAATCAACAGCACCGTGAATCCACCATCTGTCCTGCACCCAACGGTGAAATAATCCGAAAAATGACCGTTTGTAATCCATTTCTTCGTCCCGTTGACGATCCAATATTTCTTATCTTCACTGGGCTCCGCTGTGGTACGAAGACCACCAACGTCACTCCCAGCGAAAGGTTCGGAAATGGCGAGCGAAATGAATTTCTTCCCCGCAAGGATGTCAGGCACTATACGAGCCTTCAGTTCCTCGGAACCAAAATTGAGGACAGGTGGGAGGCCGATAACCATTCCGGCCTGGAGACCATCTCCATACCCTCTTGCACCAGTACGAACGAGTTCTTGAGTAATGATGAGTTCATGAAAGTAGTCGAACTGGAGCGAGGATTATTCCGTACCCGGTGTGTCACTAAGTGAGACGAGTGACGCACCTCTTCGGGTTTAACGACCCCCCAATGAGTGTCCGCCCTTTCAGATGTGGGCCTGGGCCCAAGCGCATAGCGTGCATTTCCATCTTACTGACAAAAACCAACAAGATTAGATACCCATAACACCTAAAATCACCGCAACGTACGTCATCTCATCGAGAATTTGTTGGCTGACACGTTTCCCATCTAACTCTCGAGCTTGTGCATCATCATATACCATCCTATCAAAGAACTCTCGTATGGCTTTCTGCATCTTGCGATGACTCTAGACAATAAGGGAAAAAATGGATTAGTCAAATCTTGCAAAATTGACTCTAATTCGCTCACCTCTTTGTAATACGGCGAATGGAACCCTTTTCCATATGCAGATTTTGTTTCATACGAGGCAAAAAGAACTAACGAAGACATACCAGGAGTCAACCAAGGAGCCTCACCATACGGCATCCGGCTAAGTTGACCCGGTCGAGGCGCCTTAATCTGCTCCTCCTCTCCTTTGATCGTTCCAATTTGCAAACGGGCATATTGTGGTTTCAGTAAGACTTCGTGGCGATGTAGACCGAAGAAAACATCTGTTGCGTCTTGGCCAGCTGTTGTGTATGGAGAATGTACATGCCGGTTGTTGGAGGGGGGAAGTGAACCATAGTGAGAAATGGATGAATTTTCGACAGCTAGAAAGAACGTACCGACGTCCGAGTCGACTAGGACTCCTTGGCCACCAGGATGCAATCTTACGAATTTCGTCAAGTCGAATACTTTCGCGTCGATGATGACCCACTAACAAATCCCAATGGTTCGCGTTCGTACATCACCGACAGGCACCAATAACCACCATTTGAGCAACAATCAGCTCACCAAATCCCCTTCGGTATTATGCTTGGCTACTTCTTCACGCGTGTACTCTTTGAACTGGACCATTCTATGCGACCCCAACCCCAGCAAGTGTGACAGAGATAGATAGATGGATAGATTATGCCGGAGACGAAGCAATCAGATCGGGAGGGAGAGAAGAAGGGAGGGGTGGGATAAGCAAGGAAAAAAAAAAAGAAAACCTCTCTCTATGGTCGATTTCTTTGGGGTACCAGACGTGGCTATACACGGAACTGTGAGCTCATCGCTTACATAAGCATCCCCCGAGCGTGCATGTACAACCAGTCAACCAATCGTGGATGAACGAGCTTCTCCTCGAATTTTGTAGCTGTAGCTAGCGACTAGCTGGTGTGTGGCTTTCTAGTCTCGACGATCGGCATCTACCGATCCTGGAAGTCACAAGGACTGACCGATTTCCGACGTCAAGCGAGACATTGGCAGCTTGGACCAGTGGCCAGCGCGAGTGCGATAACTTCTGGTCTACTACTTATTTTGTGAACATTTTTGTCGTCAACGATAAAGTAGTGACAGCGACTGGCAGCTTACCATCGGGCGTATTCTACTTTGCAGCCCAGGAGGCCCTCGACTGCCCTCGACAATATCTCACATCCCCCTCACCCCATCTGCTTTGTTAGTTGAGGATGATGCAATCATCAGGTCCCCACGATCTCTGTCTGACCTGTTCATCCTCTCGCCTCCCACCCAAACGTCCTTCCTTGTCTTCCTCTTCAAATGCTGAAGATCACATAACATCGTGCTGCAACCGTCGGATATGTGCGACTTGTCTCTCAAGAAACCCTCGATTAAGAGCGTATAATCCGTGTCTTGCTTGTCTCGGTGGCGTTGCTTCGGTGTCTGCTAATAGAGATGAGAGGACGTTCAGGAGTTTAGGACCAAGTGGTGATATAGAAGTTTGTGGAGTTGAGGAGGAGGGAAGGTTCGTTGTTGGGAATGACGACGAGGATAGTGATGATGGAAATGGGGTTGTCAATGGGGGGGTGCCAAGACCGGATGCCATGGAGCGAATACCATCGTCGACCTCTACACCTCAGTCATTGTCGAGGGAGGTCGAACCGCCCCCACCTTATGAGGATCCAAAGTCCGTTTATCCTACATCCGCGGAAGTCGCTGATCAACGCTCTCCTTCGACATATGCGAATAGTAGCCCTTCTCAATCGACAACACCATCCCCACACGCACCTGCTTCCAACTCTTCCGGGGCATTGCCGCTTAATATTCCTTCGAGATACTATATCCAACCTGGCGATACACTGTCGGGAATATCCCTCCGTTTCGGCTTCGATGTGAGTGGCTTCTTTACGCGAATCTCCACTTGCATCGCATTGACGTTCAAAAGGGCAGAAAGTTGGCACGTCTGAACAAGTTGCCTCCTAGTACCCTCAATACAACACCTCACCTCCTTCACACGCGTCAATTCCTCAATTTGCCTTCAAACATCTCCCTGCCAGCCACTCCTCCGCTACCTCCAGGAGAAGAGGAACGTAGGGCTCGAGAAAGAACCGAGAAACGATTCGCGTTCGTAACTAAAGAAATTGACTATCGAATTGCGAAAGCTTACGTTGCTCTCGCAGAACAAGATGATCACTCGAAGTCCGAAGTCATGGCAAAGGAGGGTGGGAAAAGTGCAGGAAATGTCGGTTCATCATTAGAAAGTCGAGCTGTGGATGCCTATTTGGATGATACTGAGTGGGAAGAAGAGGAAAGGAGGGACGGTAGGGGACCCTTCATCCAGGAGTTTCCTTATTTTTCGAAGTCAGGTTCCACGTTTAGGGAGGGGCATAAAGTGGACCTTGGCAGTAGGCGTGCAACAGCAGACAGGAAATGGGACTTTCATCATAGTTTTCGTCTTCGTTGAAGGTGATCGATTCATATTTGCATGGGCTTGGTCGAACCTTGGGCACGGCACTATTTTATTTCAATTCCGTCGCTCTGAATTAGTTTTCGAGGCCCCAACTGTACGCATATATGACACTCTCCTATTTACCGCCATTACCGCCATTTTCTTCACCAGTGAAACCGACAAGCACGCCTGCCAAGAGCCTGCCTTGTGATGAGTCGGCCGATTGCGATTGCAGTCCTCCGAGGATCAGAGGGGGGAAAGATCATTCATATTTCTCTTGACAGCCCGTACGATCCTTACATGCGGGTAGTAGATGGAACGTCAAACGTCAGAAATGATCAAGCAATAAAAGGAAGGCGGTACAAAGCGATGATAAACAACCTTAATATCATGATGTGGACTGAGCGGCGCGGGCGCCCGGAGCCGTCGCGTCTAACAGCAATCCCGCGTTCTGACCATCGATGATGAGGACCTCCCGCCTTTACCAAACTGAATCGCGAAGGATATGTTCATGCAGTGCCAGTGAAAAAATTTGTTAAAGTGCGGATAGTGAGCTCCATTCTCTGAAACTTGAATCGCTGAAGAAGACGACTCCCGACAGCCCAGGTTTCTTCCGAATAGGAGAGCGCCTTGTACTTGGGGATGGGGATATTTGGTGTATACCGTCGCTGGTAGGAAATTCACCGGATGTGTACGTTGCACAGCCCCAGCTTATTGCAGTACAAAAACGGAATCCGCAGCCAACCCTCAACCGCTGACCATCCGCGGGCGCCACCTAACCCGAAAAATGGATCAGACGGCCGAACTGAATTTCGTCGTCGGAACCGAATGGACTTACCGCTTCCGGCAATCAGGATAATGTGTCACCCGGTCACGTTACCCCATCTGTTTGATGCGAAATAACATGTGAAGTCGCGCTGATGGGCCTGCCGCATCAGGAGCGCATATATATCATTCTCTTCGCCAACAAACTTCTCCCCTCTCATCTCCTGACCTGAAACGATGTCTAAGCAGCTCAAGTCATTTACTGTCGAGGAGGTGGCGAAGGTCAGTCTTCATGAGCATCCACTCCACAGCGACTTGTGCTCACGGAGATGATTGTTCCATCCCGACGCGCTGTCCCTGGTCTCATACCCTTACATCTCGCCTGCACAATGTTCCTGCGCACAGCACGACAAGCCAGACGACCTTTGGATCATCATCGATTCCAAAGTTTTCGACCTCACCAAATTTATCAACCTCCACCCTGGCGGTAAATCCGTCTTAATAGACCCCTCAATAGCGGGCAAAGACGCAACAGATGCATTCTTCTCCCTCCACCGACACGAAGTTCTCCTAACACCCCGTTACGCTCGTCTTCAAATTGGCTTCATCGAAGGTCAATCTGAACAAATACTTCCTCCCAGAACCGGGGAGATTTCGAGAGTGCCGTATGCTGAACCCACGTGGCTGAGTGAGGGGTTCAAGTCGCCTTACTATAAAGAGAGTCACTGGAAGCTACAGAAGGTAATCAGGGAGTTTGTTGATGGAGTTTTGAAAGAGGAGGCACTGGTGAATGAGGAGAATGGAAAGAGACCCGGTCCAGAAATCATTCAAAAGGCGGCGTGAGTACCTGTATGGATTATATTGAGTTTCTGAAGTTCTCTTGACGAGGCTTTTTCATTCTGGGTGGTATTCTAGTGAACTCAATCTTCATGCGATGAGGCTGGGTCCAGGGAAACATCTCAAAGGACGAGTTTTAGCCAAGGCTGCGGTGACACCCGAAGAATTTGACTACTTCCATGAGCTCATTATCACACAGGTGCGGTGACTCTACAATTCTGCCACATATCACCCGCTGATATCACTTTCGTCACAGGAACTTGTACGCATCGGCACACGAGGCTATGGCGATGGCTTCCAAGGTGGAATGGTTATTGGTCTTCCACCTGTCATCAATTTTGGAAGTCCTGAGCTTAAGGCGAAAGTCGTACCCGATGTATTAGCGGGGAAGAAGTTCATTTCGTTGGCTATTTCAGAGGCATTTGCGGGGAGTGATGTCGCGGGGTTAAAATGCACGGCCAACAAAAGTGAGGATGGGAAGTATTTCACTATCAATGGGACGAAGAAGTGTGTTTTTCTCTCCCCCTTTTTGGAGTGTCTCATTATAATTTTCATGCATGGCTTTAATAGATGGATTACGAACGGGACGTTCAGCGATTACTTTACCGTAGCATGTAACACCGGACAAGGTCTAACCGTCTTTCTCGTTGAGCGCCAAGAAGGCGTGGAGACCAAACCTATCAAGACGTCGTATTCCTCGGCAGCTGGAACGGCATACATTACGTTTGATAATGTCAAAGTACCTGCGGAGAATATGTTGGGCCCCGAGAATGGGGGTCTGCTTGTTGTGCTCAGCAATTTTAATCATGAGAGGTGGGTGATGTGCGGGAGCAGTGCGAGGAGTCAGAGATCTATTGTTGAGGAATGCTTGAAGTCAGTTGTACTCGCTTGCTTCGCATACCGAGGGGAACTGACGAGCTTTGCTTTTTAGGTGGTGCCATCAGCGACAAGTGTTTGGGAAGCCGTTGTTGAATCAGCCTGTCATACGTCACAAGTTGGCAGCTATGATCGCTCGAGTTGAGTCCGTTCAGAATTGGCTCGAGAACGTCACCTACCAAATGTGTCATATGGTATGTCCTTTTTATCCGACTAAGCAGCCACTTACGCTTCTGGCTCTCCCTCGAAAACAGAACTACAAACAACAATCGAATTTTCTCGCGGGTCAGATCGCCTTCTTAAAGATGTATTGCACTCAAACGGCTCAACAGACGGCTCAGGATGCTACCCAGATATTCGGTGGGAGAGGGATCACACAGACGGGCATGGGAAGGAAAGTTGAGCATTACCACCGGACTGTCGGATTTGATGCGTTGCTTGGTGGGGCGGAGGACGTGTTGGGTGATTTGGGAGTGAGGCAGGCTGTGAGGAAGATTCCGAAGAACACAAGGCTGTAATTTTGGACAACTCACAAAGTAACATTCGGTGTATAATAGCGTGGTTGTAATTCGTATATAGTTTTATCGTTTAATTTGCTGCTCGAATTCTCATCATGCATTACTCGATAACCGTGTGTACATGTGCCTTGTACTGAAAGACTCTTGTTAACACAAGGATAGATTGATCTCAAGCCTACCCCTTTCCAACGAACTAAAGATAGATATGTGGAGATTAGGGAGTCGTGTCTAAATCGGAGGCTGACGACAAGGAAAAACAAAAAACTACAGCATTCAGGATTCCTATGTAGTCCCCTACCACGGTACTAACTAAACGGTACTCCAATTAACTTCGCAGATCAGACGGGATGCGGTGCTTCCGGAGTCCTATGGCCGTAGATGTCAAGGACTGCTAAGGAAGCTCCTCATTAATAGATACTAATAGCTGGAAGCGAGACGTTGCATGGCGAGTCTGGTCAATTTCTGAATACGAAAGTCTGTTAAGAATGGCAATGGTCATTTCAAATGTATTTTTTACAACTTACACAACCAAGTGTCAGGCTGGAGCGATGAAGCCTTCTTGGTCAATTGTCTTTTGCACACGTCTCCCACACACCAGCGCGAATCGAAGTAAATAGCCATCCGATATTCTATTCTCTGCACGTCATAAAATGCGTGATGATGTCATCTGAGGTTGGGTATCACATTCATTCCACTTGCTCCGTCCGAGGAGTTCCAGTGGTCAAGATCATCGGAAACCGTGACTGTAACACCGCAAAGTATAACGATCTGTGGTGACCCCAGGCTGAGTATGGGGGATTTTATTTCCCTGACGACACCCATCTGTTGAGAAACGCATTTGTTAGACCCGAGAACAGTTCATTCCCGGCTCCAGTTTACCATGGTTCGATGGGAGGAAAGCCCAATGCAGTGCAGCCTTGCCGGCCCCGGTAAAGCTTCCCATGTGGTATGTTCAAGCGCCTATTCCAATGTGGAAATCGGCCTCTGTGACAATCGGAAGTAGAGTGATGAGAACCAAGGTATTCCAGAATCGCATCGTGAAGGTCGGCCAACTGCTACTTATACAGGTAATGTATGTGGCGTGATGAGTATGTTGGCTAAGAAGTTCGAACCTCGGTCTCGAGTGGAGGGCTGATGAGAAAACGGGGGAGCTAGGCAGGACTCCAGCCTCTATGACTTCGTAAGGGGGGAGCCATTCTTTATACGATATTCCGTATCTTTGAAGAGTGAAAAATAATTATCGACATATATTGCATGACGCGCCAGCGAGCAAGAACTTGTAAATTATTATAGCCATGTAAGGTGAGAGCAAGCCAGAATGCTGAGCCCACGGGTGCATTGACGATGTGGGAGCGTGGGAGCGAAACTTGATCCCGGTGCCGAGTTGCCCAGGAGGGTTGCTTGGTTTCCCCATTGTCTACGGATATCTCGAGTAAATTCCAACGGCTGCCGTGGCTACTGTTCATTCATGGCGACCACGGGGGAAATACTTGTTTCGACGGTTCAGCGATTGTTGAAAGAGGCGGGGCTACCTACTGAGCTTGTTGGCCATTTGAAGTCTAGTTCGAATCGTGTGATAGGAAGCGGGCCCGTTATACCGAGTTCATTTGCCATCGGGGCTATGGCGCAGGTAGGTGCATACCTATCACTCTAAGCGTTTACTCTAGGGAACTATTACTATATAGGCTACCGTAGCTGCGTCCGCACTCGCAGCTGTTCATTTTCTACGTGCGAGGGGTGGTCCGGCACAGGATGTGTCAGTGGACGAACGACATGCGGTTTTGGAGTTCCGTGAGTCGCTTCAATTGTGCTCGTTTGCGTTGACCTTACAAGTCTTTTGATCAAATCATCACTTGCGTTTGTATGCTATGTAGTTAGTCAAGCTTGGTTTCTAGTGGATGGAAAGCCTCCAAGCGGGGCATGGGACTCGATTGCAGGTGCTTATCAGACGAAGGATGAAGGGTATGTTAGAATTCATACAAACTTTCCACAGTAAGCCGATTCCACACTCTCATTAGAGCGTTTAGTAAATGCCTTCTTTACGATTTACCTTACCAAGTCATCGTCAAGGGATCCTTGACCTTCTCTACCACATCTCCCATGCGGCACCATCTTCGACGACAAGGCAATCCGTCCAATCTTCCATTCTTTCCACAAATCTATCGTCCTTTGAATTTGAACAAATAGCCACTAATAGAGGTCTTTGTGTCGCTGCTTTAAGGTCGTTTGAAGAATGGGATGAAACTCCTCAGGGCAGGGCATTGAAGGGGGTTCCAGCTGTGAATGTTATCAGAATTGGTGATGGGTTGCGGGAGAGGCAGAATTCGAAGAGGGATAAGAGCGTTCCAAAGAGACCTCTTGAGGGCATTAGGGTTTTGGAACTGACGCGAGTGCTTGCAGGTCCAGTGGCAGGAAGAACATTGGCAGGTAGTCATCGCATCAGCTGTTTTTTTTTCTGAGAGGTCTCACTGTCAAAACCAATTGGACAATGGTTCGGGATTTTCTAGCTCACGGCGCCGACGTTCTTTGGATAACATCCCCTAACCTTCCCGACCTTCCCATTGTCGATCGGGACACTTCTCGAGGGAAACGGACGACTCAACTCGACCTCACCCAACCTCAAGATCGCGAGAAACTCGAGGAGTTAATTAAAGAGACTGATGTGTTTTTGCAGTCGTAGTAAGTATACATTTCCCGGGTTCCATATTGGTTAAATGGGAATGTGGTTGCTAGTCGCCCGGAAGCATTGGAAGCGAAAGGGTTTGGACCTCAGAGACTGATGGAGATAAAACCTGGTATTATCATAGCTAATTTACGAGCCTATGGATGGGACGGACCATGGCGAGATCGGCGGGGGGTAGGTGGAGTGCCTTTGCTTACATTGTGCATCAGTTCTCACAGTTATGTTTGTCCTCGCTTGTCCTCCACAGTTCGACTCGCTCGTACAAACAGCTACAGGTTTCAATGTCGCTGAAGCAGAATCGTACAACCAATCGCCAAGCGTTGAGGAAGGAGATTCGCCCTTACGTTTGAGACCGTTTCCGGTGCAGTGCTTGGATCATGCAGCTGGACAGTTGCTTACATTGGGGATTATATCTGCGCTTGATAAAACGTGGAAGGTAAGAGTTTCTGAGAACATGATAATAATTTGGGTGGTATCGATTGAGGTGGTGGGTTGTGTTTAGGAAGGGGGGTCTTATGAAGTTCGGGTGTCGCTAGGTAGGTCCTACGATTCCCGTCCTTTTAGTAGAAGCAGTTAATCCTTCCCAAGCTGGGACCGGAAACTTGCTACGTTCCCTACCACGTCTACCCCCCGAAATTGGATTCGGACCATACGCACAACCTATTTCTGAAGCAACTTCACAGGAAATCCAAGATCTATCTTATACCGTTGCTTCCACGCTGGAATCGGGTGACACGGCTGCTGGTACTGCGGAGACGCCCGGGTCCCCTGGGAGTAAGGGGAGAAAGATGACAGCATTGAGACATGCTGCGGTATTATCTGAGACACCCGTGAGGCTTGGGATCTCGCCTGGAGGGTTAGATGTGCACCAGCCTGTTTGGTTACCCCGTGGAAAAAGCGATGATTGAGCAGTAGAAAAGACATTACAGATGGAGACTAGCCTCCAAGTACTATACTTCTGTCCGGTCGACGGGTAGAGCCAAACTTGGCCCCAGAAGCTTGTTCGAAAGGCTTCGAGATAGAGATCGCGAGCCTCGGAATGTCTGATTAGTGGCGGGCAGGTCACGAGCGTTGCAGCACATAATGGTGAAGTTAATGTCAACTGGTAGAATGATGCACTGTCACGCTAGCACGTTGGCCCAGTTACGGTATCAATATTTGCACCGTGTAGCTCGTTCGCAATCATGGAGCCGTCTTTTTGAGCTGAATGGCCACCATAGCCTGGATGCAGTACCAAGCATATGCGTAGAGGGCAAGCTTATGTCAGCGGCAATTTATACAGTCGAGTCACGTAACGTTCTGACAAGATAAACAAGCATAAACAGAACGGCTGGGTAACAACCTTCATATCTCAAACAACAACAACAACAACCTTGCAGCATCGGTATATGGCCGTGATACGTTGCCATCCTGTGCTCTACTAATTGCCGGTCTCAGGTATGAAGCTATGTCACCTTACACTTTGACCTCGTCAACAAGTTCACCACCGATGAACACGACTATTCTGGGCCATTCATTACCCTCCTTACCGAGCTCTTTCCGAGTTCCGAGAATTATCAGGTTGCTCCGCAGTTGAAACGCACCCCTGGGACCCTTGATTTTACCATCTTCTACATTACGAAGCACCGACTCCCCGTCCTTTTTATCAAAGTCAAGACGCACGTAGCCTACGATAAAGAATCAGCGCGCGAGGAGGCGGATCACCGGATGCGCGAAGGATTCCTCGACTTCACCTCTAATATTCCTATACCCACGTTATATGGATTAAGTGCTTTGGGCACGCGGTTCTGTGTCTACAAATATACTGTTGCTGATCGCTCTGTCATCCCACCACGCATCCCACCCGGTGTTGCGCCCAAAGAAAGATGGGATTTCGATCTTTTGGAAGCGGAAGGTGAGGCGAGGTTGAAAGGGATTGTTACCCATATCAAAGCGATGGTCGCCGCTCTTCAGTAGTTGTGAGTTATTCCCCCTTCCCTTGAACACCAAAAATTGTTGAAGGTTTCAAGTGTTGAGAAAATGCACTGCTGATGCATTTGGATTTCCCCCTATGTCGGTTTTTCTTCCTTCTTTTTCTTAACCTGCCGTCATTTATGTATCTTTGTCTGTATATTGGAAGTCAGAGGAGAAAGCATTGATTTGGAAATGAAGTTATCGGAACACAGACTTGTAACCAAACCTCAATACACCTACATCACATCACGGGGCATACCCATCTCGATCCAAACCTAGAGTAGGACGCACGGCTTCCAGTGTGCATTGCCCAATGATACCGTCAAGGACACTGATTCGATGTACGCCTTGGGCTCATCCACTCTTGTAAGCAGCTGATTTAGGTTGTTGGGCTCGGTCAATCGAGATAGATCAGACGCAGGTTGAGCGGGCTGTGGTTGATCAGCGCTCTGAGGAGTGGGTGGACGCATTTCACCGAAGACGACTGATGTAAAGTTCATTGGTGATTTGCGTTCTAACAGGCGGCTCGAGCGATCACTTGTCTTACTCCAACGAGATTTAAGGAAACATGCTAAGGGCTCAAAGCAATCGATCAATATACACTCGGCTATCAGCTCAGCTGAGCTACGGCTGGCGGTGATTCGAGCGGAAAAACAGCACCAACGCAACTCCACGCTAAAAGTAAACCAATTGCCAACGGAAATCCTTCTTTATATTTTCAACTTCTTCGTTGGAACCAACATGATGAATCGGATCGCGGCTGTCTGTCGTTTGTGGAGGGATCTCTCGATTGACTATGCTCCGTTCTGGACCAGTATATCATACAGCGATCGCATCCGTGGTGGTCTTTCGACTTCAAGGCATACAACTTTTTCGGATAGGATGCGGACATACCTGGTTCGGTCAAAACACCTTCTCATTGCAGTTAGGATACGAATATGCTCCATTGCTGCTGCCCAGGGGGTTTGGAATCTGGTTTACCCTCATCTTGAGCGTTGTAAATCGCTTTCTATTGAAGACCGGGGCGTGGTTTCGTGCATGTTATTCCCCCTGCCCGGTCGCCTTACGCACCTGAAGAATGTCGCCATTGCATTGGATGGTGTCTGCATCAACGCGTGTCTCTTCTCCACTGACGCTAAATGTGAATTGGAGAAGGTTGAAATTACCTTTCATTCAACGTTCCCACGCACACGTCCTCATGTCTTGCCAATCGAGGCGCTTCTGGGTCGGAACATCCGGTTGGATTCAATAAAATATTTTGATTTGGGTGATACATTCAGCCCGACAACATCCTTGTCATTTCTTCAGTCTACCAAAAACCTTGAAGTCTTGAAGCTACACACCAGTGGGCCACTGGATGATTCCCTTTCCGCCGACCTGCGGCATTTAAAGGAGCTCTATCTCAGGACATCTATCCATCTTTCAGCAATACCCCATATCTTCCTGGCGCCTTCACTTCACCATCTGCAGCTCTACGTATCCCAGTTGCCGCCCCAAGATATATTGCTTCCACAAGATCTCAGCACGTTCCCTGCCCTGCGATCACTTGACCTCGATCTTCCTTTCTCTTTCCCGGTTCCAGAAACGATTCAATTCCTCCTACTTCATCCTCACTTGGAAAAAGTTATTCTCCCTTTGCATCAGACGGGTGCTGTGGAGTTTTTGTTGGAGACAAATGGTTCCCCTGAGTTCGGAGGGAATGTTGGACCTTTAAGGCATTTGGGCCTCCTTATGGACATGGATGTTTTTCCGCAGGTCGAGAGCTTGTCAGAGAGCTTGGAAAGTAGCTTGGGTCGCCTTCTAAGCCATCCAACGACCGCTCAAGGTTGTGTCATTAAATTTACTTCGAACTGCCAACATATGTTACCACGGAAGCCTGGGAGCGTTTCTCGATTGCAGGCAGCTTATCCCCACCGCGTTCAATGGCTCAACGAAGACAACTGGGGAATTTTGTCCAGACGTGTGGAGGCACCGCGAAAGAAGCCTACTCGTCGGCGGCGATTGACTTGACTCGGCGGATATCATGGTAGTGATTAAAAGAAAGGTCTCAGATCCTCAAAACTATGTAATACTATGATATAAGAACGATGAAAAATCTTTCCTTGTATCTACGAAATTGGTGTTGCCAAATCGAACGTTGTTTCCATGCGATTAACGTTACGTTCCCTCAGAGGGTTTGCTTATTGGATGATTTAGGTCAGAGTTCTTTACATAATGCCAGATTCCTAGGTCTTGCGAGTCCTTGATAGTATCGCTCGGTGTGCGTGGAGATGTATGGAGCATGAACTCATCTGTAACGAATAGTAGGACGCCTGAAAATGAAGAATGGAACTGACAATAGTCTGTCGGCTAAGTTCATTATATATTATCCGATCCCGAGCTACCGCATAGTAACTCCGGCTCATGGGTGAGTGGTAATATAATGTCCCTCAGCCGGTCCTCTGGCAGCAAATCCGACCTGTCTTTGCCTTACCCATGCAATGTCCCAGAGTTGCGAAAATTTTGGCTCGTATTCATCCTGTGCTCCGATTAATCCGTAGCGGTTCTCATCCGCAGACACAGGACAATGCATCTGAGAATTACAATTAGTCATTCTTAAACCCATCCAGCCAGAGTGCCCTTATAACAGGCCTTAGCATCGTCTCTGGAGGTATCGCAATGCCACCGCTATGGGAAGTGATCCAAACACAAGATATGCAGCCTGTGACAGGCATTGACGGTGTGTTGATTGACATTGCAAATGTCCGGTGGTTAAAGCAACGATATTGGCAGCTGTGGCAACAAAAACTTGGGTACTGCGTGGGTTTAGGATGGATTGGTTTTAAAAAATGCAGAATTAAAAAAAGCGGGCAGCGCAGGGGTAGCAGAGGCCAGGTGCGCCAGCCCAGTGCTGGGCCGGAACTTACACGCGCAGCTAATCGCAAAGGCAGGCAGGCACATTTAAGTAAGCATAGAAACACATAGTAAGGAAGAGGAGATGTATGCAACCCTTCTACAGGAGTGAAGCAAGGTGCTTGCAGACGAGCGCCAACGTGTGATTAGTCTTGATGTTGAATATCAAGAAACCCTGCCTGATCGCGATGGTGAGACCATGAGCACGTCGGATATCTCAGGAGCCTCGGCAGCTCCGCATGACACTTAAAGTTGGTTAGGAACATGGGGGAAAAAGCCTCAGATAAGCGGTTCAATCGAGAAGAAGATGCAATGCGTGAAACGGGTGGAGCGTGGAGGCACTTTCAATGCCAGCGAGTGTTAGATTGTGTACTCTTAATATTCTTGTATCGATGTGTATTTACACCGGCAATTATATCTTAAGAGCATCCCGACTGAGCCGCCGCACTGAGTGGCGCTTCTTTAGCGAGAACCCAAGAAGAGTTGTGGTAGCCATATATAGGGTTATAGGCGCTAAAACAATGATGTATTGGTTTCTGTATTCGCTACCATATTTGGATAACCATACCAGGGTCATTCATCCTATTTCAAATCGGGCGCGCCGTAATTTGCGAGGCCCTTTGGGTCCGTTGCCCGTTTAGGTCACAGTCCCTAAGCAACGATACTCCAGATTGTTCGTACGGTATTGTGGTTAACGTGGAAGAAGAAATGGGGTTAACCATAGAACACTGAACGGGTAATGAGGGAACGCTGCGAATGATCATGACATCATGAAAAATATCATGAGCGCCGGGCGCCAGCATGGATAACCCATCCGTCCAACGCACTCGGGCGCCGAGACTCAGTTCCACCCACCACTCACTATCGAAGCTCAAACCGCAGCCGAACGAAAGCGGCCACCGCAAAGATTCAGAACCAAGTGCACAGAATGCTGTTGTCGCTTCTAGCCGATGTCCTTATTGGCTAGTGACAGGTCAGTAGCATCCGGCATTCGGGTAGTTGACGTACCGAGAGCTGAAACCCTCCGCAACCACCGCAACCCGAATTGCACCGGGGAAAAGCTCCTTTTCCTGTCCATTTTCTCGTCTTTCCAAAGCCCCTTCTTTGGTTAACGCTCTCTCTGAAGCCCAAAATACTTGCCCTGATGTTTGAAACTAATTATCGGGTCTTTTTTGCGAAATCTGTCGCTCGCCTGCTTACACCCCCTTTGTTCATCGCCTACTTCATTTCTCGGTTCTTCTTGGAGTCACTCAATGCCCTCTTAGTCCCTTTCTTCTACCTTGTCGTTTCTCTCATTTGGGTCGTATTGGTAATTCAATTTAAGGAACTTTCCCAGCACCTGGATGCACGCAGACGTGGCGCTGTCCTCGTACCTAAAGTTAAGGGGCGCTTGCCTGGGAATATCGATATAATGGCTCGGTGCGTTGACCTGTTGTTTTGTTTGGCATAGACTGGGCTGACAATCGAGGGCGCTGTGTGTGCATGTGTGTGTGTGCAGCCTCAGTCGCCGTGTTGGGGAAAGCTATATTCTCTCGGCCATCAGGAACTTTTCGATGAGCTCAATGCCGACACCGTTAACTTGCGTTTTCTGTGGAGAGATATCATCCTTACTCGCGAGCCGCAGATTATTCAGAGCGTTCTTTCCACACATTTCAGCGACTTTGAAAAAGGGCCTCTTCTCAAAATTCGGTTTGTGATCCCAAATGACGGTCATGCGGATGTGTCATAATCGTATTCGAACAGTCTGTTTGGTTTGTTTGGGAACGGGATTTTCAATAATGAGGGGAAGACTGGAAAGCTCATAGGGCTTTGACGCGTCCATTTTTGGTGGGTCACCTTTATGACTTATTAAAACTCGACCCATTCCTAAATGGTGCCCCCCCAGCTAGAGAGCGTGTTCGCGATCATCACCTCTTTGACAAGTATTCGAACATAATCATATCCCTGATTCAACAGCGTTCTCTCCAGAACGAATCTCTTGATGTTCAGGACCTCTTTGGACGATTGACTCTTGACGCTGCTGGAGAGTTCCTCTTTGGCACAACTGATCTTCAAACACTATCTCTGCCTCTGCCGCCTCCTGCTAAACGCTCGAAGCTTGGGCCTAAGGGCACCCGGCCAGATGACACTGTCGCCGTCGGGACCTATTCAGGATTCGTATGCGCATTCGAGGAAGTCCAGGTCTCGATAGTTCATCGGTTCCGATATGGTCCACTGTGGCCGATCGTTGAATGGTTCAAAGACGCGACCCAAGAGCATAATGAAGCCATTGACGCGTGGATCGCACCCCTTATAAAGAAGGCTCTTGAAGATAAGAAATACGAGCTGGCGAGAAGCTGAGCTTAGAAGAAGGGTCGTTGACGGACCACTTGGTCGAATCTACGTCGGATGCGAAACTGATCAGAGACGAACTGATGAATATCTTGCTTGCTGCTCGTGATACGGTGCGTAGTGTCATCTCTGAAAGTCAGCGCTGTACCCATTTTCATTTGTAATTTAGACTGCCAGTCTGTTGACTTTTATGTGCTACTTTCTTGCGATTCATCCCGGAGTGCTGAAGAGGCTCCGTGAGGAGATCCTGACTCTGCGGTCAGGGGAGTCTCCGTCGTATGAGGACATTCGCAGTCTGAAATATCGTAAGCCCCCTTGGAGCATCATACAAAGAACCCTTCATCATCCAGGTTTTTCACACCTTTAGTGCGTGCATGCTTGAACGAAACTCTTCGTCTCTTTCCACCAGTCCCAAGCAATGAACGCGCATCAGTCAAAACCACAACTCTCCCCCGCGCATCCCCACTCGAGAAGCCGTTCTATATGCCTGGTCCGCATACCACAATCTCCTACGTTCCCTTGCTCATGCATAGGAGAAAAGATCTATGGGGGGAGGATGCAGACGATTTCCTACCGGAACGATGGCTTGATGAAAAGCGCGTCCAGGAACTGACCAAGGATCCATTCAGATTCTTGCCTTTCAATGCAGGACCTAGGATTTGTTTGGGACAAGTTGAGTGTCATGGCTATCCTCGTCATTGTTTTTCCTTATTCTGATGCTGGCATGGTAGAACTTTGCCTACAATCAAGCGAGCTTTGGTAGGTGGCACGTTCGTAGGACAAATTCATTGAGACGTCATTGATATGCGAACAATTGTAGTGATGGTCAAGCTTCTTCAGAATTTTGACACATTTGACCTTCGCCAGAAGCAGGATGCTCCCGAGGGTGCTATCCCTCCGGAATCCTGGAAAAACTTGACTGGCCGTGCTGCGTATGAACAGGTATGGCCTCGGAACGTGGTTACGCTGTATGCTAAGGTTCGTATCGCACCTCTTGATTGGAAGGGAGTCCGACGTTCCGTTTAATCCAGGGAGGACTATGGATCTATATGGGCATGTCAAGGTCTCAAGAATGAATTCATTTATCAACTCCGTATGTGTACTCTTTGGATCGCGGAAAGGACCTATATCGTTCTAATGTATGTACTAAGCGCTGAAACATGATTACCTGTTGGGGAGTGGATATATGCTCCGGTGTCCCGGTTCATTCATATTGCTGTTTTCGTCCCTAGCTCTGACTCTGATTCCCTTTCACTCTGCATAGCTTGGCGTGCCCAAGCAAGCCATCTCTAACGTACTGTATGAGATTATAAACTCGCAGTTCGACAGGGTGTATATGTGCCTCGAGCATGAATCGCTTTCAACCCTGAAAGTACTTACTCCTTCACTGTGTATAGACTGGGCGATGATGGTGCGAGAACACTCTATATAATATATAGAGGCTGGAGTCCTGCCCATGAGAACGCCATATAGTGAACAATGTTTATATGAGGGCTTCTGGCTGGTTGACACAAAACGAGATCCAGAATCTAATATATACAGCAATAACCCAGCCCAGCCAATGCACATTCCCGTCCAATGCAACAAGTCCAAGTTCCACATGTCAGAATTCCTAGTTGAAATTGGAGATTCTTAATAAGTACAGTAGTTAATATTCATCATCTATGCCAACTCGGTCGGAGGTTCAGTTGCCAACAACTAATAATTACTTGCGGTTGGGTTTCTGCATGGATGCGGCAAATACCGGAATGCACCAATCGCCGATTGTGCGATGTCTCCGAAAAGGTACGTACATCGGGTATAGAATTTCCATGTTGATGACCGATGGGAACCATATGCGGATGCAAAGCGCCCTTGATCAGAACTTATGCAAAGATATACACCAATATGCACGAACATATATAATTTACTACAAATGGCTGCTGCGCTTGCCCTATTCTTGATCCCCTCTGTTACAGTAACGCCATAGAGAGAGGGTTGACCATCTTGTACCTAGTTCCATCCACCACTCACAGTCAAACTGATGTTTGAAACCAATTATCGGGTCTATTTTGCGAAATATGTAGCTCGTCGACTTACACCCCCTTTGCTCATTGCTCACTTCATTTCTCGGTTCTTCTTGGACTCACTCGATGCTTTCTTGGTCCCTTTCTTCTACCTTGCCGTTTCATTTATTTGGGCCATATCAGTAGTCCAATTTGGGAAACTGTACCAGCGCGTGGATGCACGTAGCCGTGATGCTGTCCTCATACCCGAAGTGAAGGGGCGCCTGCCTGGGAACATCGATGTAATGGCTCGGTGCGTCGACCTATTGTCTTGTTGGGCATAGAGTGGGCTGACAATCGAGAGCACTGTAGCCTTAGTCGTCGTTCCAGAGATTGCTATATTCTTTCTGGCCATGAGGAACTTTTCGATGAGCTCAATGCCGATACCATCAACTTGCGTTTTCTGTGGAGAGACATCATCCTCACTCGCGAGCCGCAAATTATTCAGAGCATCCTTTCCACAATTTCAACGATTTTGAAAAAGGGCCCTGCTCAAAATTCGGTTTGTGGTCTCAAATGACAGTAATGCGAATCATAACCGCATTCGAACAGTTTGTTCAGTTTGTTTGGGGACGGGATTTTCAATAATGATGGGGAAGACTGGAAAGCTCATAGGGCTTTGACGCGTCCATTCTTCGGTGAGTCACCTTCATGACCTATTAAACTCGACCCATTCTCAAATGGTGCACCCACCAGCTAGAGAGCGTGTTCGCGATCATCACCTCTTTGACAAGTATTCGGACATAATCGTATCCCTCATTGAGCAGCGTTCTCTCCAGAATGAATCCCTTGATGTTCAGGATCTCTTTGGACGGTTCACTCTCGATGCCGCTGGGGAGTTCCTCTTTGGCACAACTGAACTTCAAACATTGTCTCTGCCTCTACCATCACCTGCTAAAGGATCGAAACTTGGGCCCAAGGGCACGCAGCCAGATGTGGCCGCTGCCGTCGGAACCTATTCGGGATTCGTATACGCCGTCGATGGAGTTCAGGTCTCAGTAATTAGTCGGTTTCGATATGGTCCACTGTGGCCGATCGTTGAATGGTTCAAAGACGCGACGCAAGAGCACAACGAAGCTATTGACGCGGGGTTCGCACCTCTTATTACGAAGGCTCTTGAAGATAAGAAGATGCGAGCTGGGAAGAGCTGAGCTTAGAAGAAGGGTCGTTGACGGACCATTTGGTTGAATCTACATCGGATGTGAAACTAATTAGAGACGAACTAATGAATATCTTGGTTGCTGCTCGCGATACGGTACGTGATGCCCTTCCGTAAAGCCGGCACTGACACCTATTTCCATCATCATTTAGACTGCTAGTCTGTTGACGTTTATGTGCTACTTCCTTGCAATCCATCCAGAAGTGCTGAAGAGACTCCGCGAAGAAATTCTGACTTTGGTGGCCCCGGGGGAATCTCCGTCGTATGAAGACATTCGTAGTCTGAAATATTGTGAGTTCCCTTGGAAAATCATATAAAACCCGTCATCATCAAGCTTTTTCATACCTCTAGTGCGTGCATGCCTGAACGAAACTCTTCGTCTCTTCCCACCAGCCCCGAACAATGAACGCGCATCAGTCAAAGCCACGACTCTTCCCCGCGCATCCCCACTCGAGAAGCCGTATTACATGCCTGGTCCGCATACCACAATCATCTACACTTTCTTGCTCATGCATAGGAGGAAAGATCTATGGGGAGAAGATGCAGATGATTTTCTACCGGACCGATGGCTTGACGAGAAGCGCGTTCAAGAATTGAACAAGGATTCATTCAGGTTCTTGCCTTTCAATGCAGGTCCCAGAGTCTGTTTGGGAAAAGTTGAGTGTCATTGGGCATTCTCATCATCGTTTCCCTTATTCTGCTGCTGGCACGGCAGGACTTTGCTTACAATCAAGCGAGCTTCGGTGAGCGGCACGTGTGGGGACGACTTGAACAAAACAGTGTTAACACGCGAACAATTGTAGTGATGGTCAAACTTCTTCAGAACTTTGACACATTTGAGCTTCGCCAGAAGCAGGACGCTCCCGAGGGTGCTGTCCCTCCGGAATTTTGGAAAAAATCGAGTGGCCGTGCTGCATATGAACAGGTGTGGCCTCGGAGCGCCATCACGGTGTATGCTAAGGTTCGTATCGCACCTCTTGATCGGAAAGAGAGACCGACGTTCATTTCATCCAGGGAGGAGTGTGGATCCATATGGGCATGTCAAGGTCTCGAGAATGATTCTTTTGTCAAGTCCGTGTTACCGTGTGCACTCTTTGGATCGCGGAAAGGAACTATATCATTTTAATGTATGTACTGGCGTTGAAACCCAATTACCTGTGGGGGAGAGTGGATGCCCTCGAGTTATTGTTCATGAGCTCCGTTACTCATGTTGCAGCACCAACAGGAGTGCCTGCTTGCATCTTTCTTTCCTCTCAATCTTAGATCTCAATGCTCCCAACCATGCGGCGCCTCGGTTCCCTCGTCCCTGGCCCCAATCCTAAAATGGAGAGCCTCTAAAATTTTCTTTCACTGCCCATAATTTGGTGTTCCCACACGGGCACGTCTCCAACGTAGTGTGTGGATTATAAACGCGCAATTCGATAGGGCGTGGGTTCCCTGGCGGATCTCGAGCAAGAACTATCGCAAACAAAACCAAGATACCAGCCTGTCGAGTTGCTGTCACCCCGGAAGTGCTTCGTTAATTAGAGATCGAGCGATGACGCGAGAACCTTGTGTAATTATGTGAAGGCTTCTGGCTGGTTGACACGAATGCACTTTATTGATTCATATGCAACATCAAGCTGGGCCACTGCCTTGTGCCATGAAATGAAGCCAGGATGTCCAATCGACGTGTCGAAACAAGTACAGCTTAGCTTGAAGCCGACTCTGCAAGTGGCACCGGTAGCAGTTTCTCCTGCCCCTGCGTCTCCGCTCAAGAGAACCCTATGGTCCTCCTGGATGGTCGGTCTCAGCTTGGCTACATGTAATTGCTTCCGTACATCATGCTGCCACGCGATGAGCTTTGAGAGAGAGACGCAGTGTTATTGATGGGCGAGCACATGGCAGTAAGCTGACCGTATCATCCCTCGAAGCAACGTTGCAGAGCCTTAGAGATGACGGCAGGAGCGGCCTTACCCTTACCCCCTTAATTTGCTGATGTCAACCTGATCGCCCTGTGAGTATTTTGCACAGGAACTGGTTGGGTGATACACAGGCTTGCGCACGAGAATTTAAGTCATTGATTGCCGAGTTTGGCTGGCTTTTCCCATGCAGTGGATCGCGAAAACCGACCGCTGCAGGGTAGCACTACTTGTACATCTTAGTACTGCGGAACACTCCGCAGCACTACGGAACCACACCCGGGACTCGATGTTACGTAGGCAGGATCCCAGCCTCTACTAAAGTAGAGATGTTACGTACTGTGGGGAATGCCCGATCAAATTCGTGAAGTAGATCATGAACGCGCCCGTGCGCTGCGCGGCAAAAGCGGGCTGTGGCTGTACAATCGACTGGCCTCCGTGCCATCCAGACCGAGAGGGACACACGATGGCAGAGACAGAACTTGCGGTTGGCCCTGCGTCTGAGGGATCGGTGCAGTCTCCAAAGACCAAGCCTACACCAGAAGCAAAGTCGTTCCCATTAAAATTCACCTACTCAAATAGCGAAGATGGTATTGATGAGAATTTGCTCGTGCTACTTCACGGTTTGGGTTAGTTTTACTTAGTACCCATCATGGTGAATCTTATGCGCTGATTTTTACGTGAAACTGAAGGCGATACAGAGACCCCATTCGCTGGACTTGCTCGACGATTACGTTTGCCTCAGACAGCTACACTGTCTCTAAGAGCACCGGATCGGTAAAGCAGAATATTATCTTGTCATGAAGTTCACGGAATATCTAAGTGTGTCCACTTGGCGTCAGGATTCCCTTCTTCGATGAAGATGCATTTCAGTGGTACAGGTCTTTCGACCTCTCGGGAGAGCTCCTGGAAAGGCCAGATCCTACCCCTGCATTGGAAATCCTAGACCGTGTAATTGAGCACCTTACAGTCAAGTGCTCTTGGCCCATAAACCGAATACACTTATTTGGATTCGCTCAGGGTGGCTCAGTCGCCAGTGAACTTGCCTTAAGGCTATGGAGGAAAAAAGGGAGCGATGGCGGCTCGGTCTTGTCCAGCATTGCCTCGGTAGTTTCGATAGATGGGCCTCTGTTGTCATATCCAACCTTTAAACCCCCTTGCGCCACGCCTGCTGTGTACTTTCATCGATCGCAACAAGGAAACAGTGCGGAAGTGGCCGCATTCCAGAAAGGATTCGCAGATATGAGGGTGTTAAAAGCCCCTGTCGGTGGCGGAATGCCAAAGTCAAAGGAGGAATGGTCGGGCGTGATTCAATTCTGGGGGAGGGTCTTAGCTTCTAGGATGCCTGATATGGAGGGGTTGCATCCCATCATTTCTGGGGGGCCCACGTTGCCTACGCAGTCAAGCCGTACAAGTCATAGAAGGAAAGCCTCCTTATCGGGGACCCCTTATCGGCAGCTGGCGGTTGGTAATTTATCGAGTGATTAGAGTCTGATTTTCGAGAGTTGTTGTATTGGTTTGATTCAATGACAGTAGAACAAATTAAAGTTTACGTTTGAGTGAGGCGGTGAGGCTTTCCTTTTTAGGCACAGGCACTCCAACCGCTCTGCTCCGAAACTCACTTGCAAAACATTGACACGACTCTTCTAACGCCCCCCTGACGAAAAGATACCCTCATCCTCCCGCTTTGACACCTTGTCGTGCGCCCTAATAACGCCAGTCCCTGAGTTGATTGAACACACAGTGACTTTCAGCTATCCTCTCGAATCTGCGCGACTCCCCGCACTTTGCTCTAAGCTCCACATCGTGCACCAGATTCTCTTCGCACTCGTACCGCACCCGGTACACTCTATGGCTCAAAGAGACCGATCTCAATCTCCACCCTCAAAGGCAAACTTGAAAGCCTGGTGGAAGTCCTTCACTACTTCTCAGCGCTTCAAGCAGCATGCTGGGCAGCCTGAAAGAGGTAAGCTAGGCTCTCTCCTACTCCTACTATCGCGCCCGGATATCTCAATATGTCTCCTGCGTCTATGAAGATGCTCCGATTGCTTCTGGAAAAGTCTTTGGGGTTCCACTCCGTGAAAGTCTTCGATACGCCAACGTCCAGATCTCCACTGCGTCAGGTGGGACAAATGGTGAGGTATATGTCTATGGATATGTTCCCGTCGTCGTTGCCAAATGGTGAGCGGGCCCTCTTGTTATTTTGTTGTGCGTGACGTATCCTGGCCGGAATTGCTTTTCGTTGGTATCCCAGCGGCCTGTATCTGAAGGAGGGTGCAACCGAAGTTGAAGGTGTTTTCCGTGTTAATGGTTCAGCGAAGCGAATGCGGGAGCTTCAAGCGGCGTTCGAGACACCACCTCGAGTACGTGGCGAGGGTGCCTTCATACTTACATATTTATCGATCAAGACCCGTTTTGGGATTCTACAGTACGGGAAGGACCTTGATTGGAGGAAAGAAAGCTACAGGCCTCATGACATAGCAAGCGTGTTGCGACGGTATCTGACACAGATGCCTGTAGGTCTTCGATCTTACTGTTCTGCTCTGAAACCATTCAGTTTACTGTACGCAGGAGCCCGTAATACCCCATAAGCTGTACCATAAGGTAAGTAAGTAGCTTTCAAATAAAACTTGATATTGATGCTGTGTAACTGCAGTTCCGAGATGCCTATTGTGAGCACGCCTAATGAGCAGCGCAGCAACGTTCCTGATCAGCAATTCAGCTGAGAAGCCTCTCGACGTGGAGAAAGTAATTTCAGAATTCAAGGCTCTTATCCATTCGATGCCACGGGGTAACCAATATTTGCTGCTATATGTTTTGGACCTATTATCCGTTTTTTCGCGGAAATCGGACAAGAATCTGATGACGGCCCAAAGTGAGCTGGCTGTTTCAATTCCCAGCCGCCAGGTCCGCTGACACCATTTGTCCACAGACCTAGCAGTAATTTTCCGCCCTGGGATAATATCACATCCGGACCAAGAGTTATCTCCGGAGCAACACAAGCTTAGCCAAGCAGTCCTAGAGTTCCTCATCGAATATCAAGATCATTTCATACTTGAAATACCCCCGCCACCGCGGAACGATTCGGTTCTGGTAACACCTCCGCCTCCCGTCAATCCAGATTTGTGTGTAATCCCAAGCGAGAGTGAAGATGAAACAACGACGAACAGATGGAAGCTCGTTGAGAGAACGAGGCAAGGAAGGGTTGGTATCCGTTCAAATTCTACAAGAATGTCTTCACTTTCTTCAATTTTCATCGACGGCTCCAAACCCTGCCGGGGCCCGCCAAGAAATCATGATTTATTGATGATTTGGCTTCTCCCCAAACCAATCTCCGTCGGGGGATGAGAAGATGATTGTGATTCATGATCATTTCTGTTTTTCCAATAATCTGTTTCTTCGTATCAATCAATGTGCTTATCCTTTCTCTCTCTCCCCCTCCTCCCTTTCCTCTTTATCATGCAAACAGCCACCACCCCTCAATCTCACAGATGACAGGTCACCCACGACTCCGAACGCCACAGCGACACCGTCACCTGGCGCTGCAAGCGTTAAGAGGAGCATGACTATGCCTTCGAGACCCGGCTCCATCCGTCAAAGTCGGGATACAGGCAAGTCGAATAAGGACACTAGAGGCCCGTCGTCTGGGACTACCGAGTCAGGCAAGAGAGTCAAGCGCTCGGGCTCGATACACGGTTGTGCATCGAATGCTGCCTCGGCATCCACGCCGTCTGCACCTGTTCAGACATGAGCTCTCAGCAATCAATCGACATTTACCTCATCGTATATTTCTAGCCTTGAATCTCTTCGGACCAAATGCTTTTACTTAGTTGTTTAACCTGAATCCCCTTTCTGACAATGTTGCAGACAGCGAACTTGTCGTCCGTTTCTTTTCGTCCCATTTCATCTCATACCCATGGCCGAATAGTCTGTACAGTAGTGTAGCCGTTGTCCTTTAGTAGCACACGCTCTCGGAGCTTCCTACCCCTCACTCATTCTTAGCTCCCATTTTGGATTGTATAATTTGTAACCTACATGACATAACTGGACAATGAAGGGCTTGACCTCTAGTCGAAATGCCGCAATGGACCGTAATGTATCGTGCTGCACATGAGCATAAGTGCCGGAGTCGAAGACGTTTAGATGGTGTGTATCGTAATAATAAGCTCAGCATTCGTGCATATGAACCAAAAGGGAGGAAACTTGACCAACTGCATCCACTGATTACATGTTGATTATATAAAACCAAGATAGCATGGTCTCATGTTGTAAATATACCGATGGTTAACGAGTAGATGTCCACTGAACGTGAAAAGTAATGATCGTGGATATAATCATGGTCAAATCCTTCTGGAGTGTTTAGGGCCAACGTAGAGGTTAGCACCCTTGTGCTTATCCTTGGACATTGATTGGCCAGGATGTTTGAGCCATTTCTTCTTCGGGGATATGGTTGGGGAGGTACTAGGAAGGGGAGGGAGGAAGAGGGAGAGTCGTCGAGGAAATGGCGTTTAGTGGGTCTAATAGGAGAGCTGGCAGTAGGAAAGTCGATGATAATGTCATCTGTATCACTGTCCAAGTCGACGAGAATTGATTTGGGAGGCGAAGATGATGGGAGGAAGGCGCCTTGGGATTGTTTTTGGGAAAAACTTGAACGGTTTTTGGAAGGAGAGGGATGGTGTCCGCTTCGCATTCGCTTGAATAAGCGAAGTTGTGCACTGAGTTCTCGTTCCTGAATGCAGCAATATACATATGTGTGTTTATTCAGTGTTGATTATCTTTTCTTTGTCCCAAAACAAAGGACTTGCCTTAATTTTCAAAGTTTCCACAGTCTGGCGGAATCTCTCGACTCTGTCCTCGGCGTCATTAAGTTCTAGGGCAAACCGCTTGTTCTTTTTCCGTTCTTCCCCCAATTGCCTAATGAATCGCAGTTCGTCCTCGACGCGCCTGTCTTCAGCGGCTTTCTGCTTCTCGAGGGCCTCCCGTGCCTCCATCACAGAAAGATCTCGAGACTTGACTAATTCAATCTTTTCACGCTCGGCAGCATCAAGACGGTCTTCAAGAGCTTGGATATCCTTCCGTTGAAGTGCTCCTTTCTCCCTCACAGCATCGTCACGAGCGCGTAGCAATTGAGTCTTTTCTGTCTCCAGAGTTTTGACACGTTTCGAAAGGGAATCTTTTAGCTTTTCAGAAGCTTCCAGGTGGAGTTTCAATTGCTCAATCTCAAAGGTGGCGGCGGAGGAATGTACTAGCTGGAGACCTGCACTAGAACGAATGTGCGTCAACGGTGAGGCGGAAGAGACTGATCCAGCGGCTCCCTGCCTCTGGGAGGATAGCGCGCTTCGTTCGGGGGTATTGACTCCACCCGTTTGTGGTGAAGTCCTAGGGTACCAACTTGTTCAGTACAAAGGCAACGCCTAGGGTAGTGGTATATTACCTTAGGCTTGACCCTAGAGAGATTGACCTCGATCTTGAACCAGGAGTGAAGGGGACGGATTTTCCATAGGTGGGATGCAGGGTCAAATCCGGTAATTCGCCCGTCCTTGCCATCCGCTTTAGGATTTCTGAGGTCAATAGATAATATTTCCCTTCATGGGGCTGTCGGCATTGAGGGCAAGCGGCTTCCCAAGCTATCATTTTCTGGGCACATTTGAGGCAGGTGTGATGACCTTGCAATCTAATTCGTTTGCGGTGTCACCTGCGCAGGTAACGGAGAGCTTACCACAGGGCCACTTGGCTCGTTGCGCACATGTCGTATGCTCAGGGCAACGATTGAACATTAGTCCTGAGCCTCTGTGACGGATTGGGCGTCCGCGACAGTAGCTTATGTAATCAACTCTTGGCTAGAACTCTGTCATTTGAGGAAAGTTGATCAATCGTAGGATAGACACCCTGCCTCTCTCGTTTGGTGCCGCTCCGAGTGGTGACAGGTTGAATGCAGCCCCCACTCTGCACAGTTTGCATTGAGTCCGACATCACCCCAAGAGAACCTCTCACTTCCCCACTCCGGGCACCCTCTACATCTTCACTCTCCTCTTCCCCAAGTTTCCGGAGCTTTTCGGCTTAATGCCTCAAAAAAGTAATCGCCTCTTTCGGTTTGGGCACTGCTTCAACCGTGTTGTGTTCCTCAAGCGATCGACATGACACTGCCGAACCGCTCATATCCAAGGATGAGAAGGAGACTACACTTAAGCCTCCTATGCAGCTTGGCGGTAGTCATGATTCGTCCGGTCTTTCCATATTCATCCCAGGCGCAAGGGCCTGGCCTCCATAACCACACGCTTGAAGATTCGGCAAGGCCTCATGAACAGCTCCAGCGAGATGGAGGTGATGATTGTCGTGAACTCGGTGTCCGAATATGCCTATTCGAATGCGGGCGTTTAACTACGCGATTCATGTACACGCAAAATATTCTTCTTGAACATGAACCATTTGGTGGCTCATGTACCTGTTAGACGGTTCGGGGACAAACATGCGAGGAAGCACCCGTGTCTTGTGCTTCATATTACTCGAGATTGGATGCCAGATTCCGGTCGTCGAATTGGTTGCCTTTGGGGTCATACTCGTTGGGTGAGTTGATGTCCCCACACTATTTATCCTCTTCTAGGCAATTGTCTCTGGTGACTCTAGTGATCAGAACCTTCCCTATGATATATCAAGCGAAGGAGTTGTGTTGGATTTATTGCAACCGGCTCCATTGCTTAAGTTTGGCACCGTTTTCGAAACCGACTTCATCGAATGCCGCCTTGACGATCGTTCTGAAAAATCCATTATTTGTTCCCCTATCCTATCGGAGGTACTAAAGAAGGAAAATCATTTCTATTTATCAACTCTTGGGGTTATTCGTGGACATATTTAGCACTAGTTACACCAAAGGGGAGCCAATGCCTCCGCCTCTTACAGAGCTGACCCGTGCCCGAATTGGGAACACACTCGACTTCCATAGTCCCAAATGAAGGGCAGTTCTAGATATTTCCAGCCTAAAGACTCAGATCGTGCTGCATCCATGGGAACTGCAGATCGTTAAATCACTCGCTCCGCCTTCCGTTGAACATTGCAAGCACCATGCCATCACCACCCAACCCTGGTCTTGCGCCGCTTGTGCTTAGACGGAACGCACACTCACGGGATGCTGATCCTCAATACTGTGGGGCAATAAAATGATATTCCGTTCACCTAGTCCCTCGTTCAGACTGTTCACCACTACCATGACCAGATACCACCCACTTGCATTAGGTTGGATGGGCACGCTTCCCTTCTTATCTTAGGACTGACAATGTGTTCATTCAATGCCATTGTTCTTGACTTGAGCCCACAGCATGAGACTAACCTGTGTTCTTTAAGGATCGGTCAGCGATCTACACTATGTATTCATTATGGGTGTACAATCACCAAAGACAGGGGACCCTCTCCTCTACTGTTGTCTCCCGGTGCAACATGCTGCCCAGCAGTTGTCGCACCTAAAACACGGCTTTGCTAATAGCTAATAGAATGTACTATGAATGTTTAAGCCGACGAGCTCTCCCTACTTCCTCTACCTCACTCCCATATAGTTTACCAGACTACTCTCCTCATATTGGGTGAATTGGCGTGGGTAGGGGTTGGAAGCTTCCATTATTCGCGACAGCATTTGACTTCAGGAGGGCAAACCTTCCTGGTGTGCAAGGCATTCTACACGGCGTCACCTAAAAGACCAAAACACATAGTAACTCATATGTGCCTTCCCATGTCAATAAAATTTCAACTCACCGTCCCACCCCCGGACCTGGGGGACTGGGCTTCGTGTCCAGCGACAGTGAAAAACTCTGGCTGGATCGTACTCGAGTGCACCTCGTAGCCGTGTAGTACTTTTCTTATATCGCCGGCGACCTCCATGAATGCTCTACTTCCTTCCTCTCCCTCGTGCGCGACGCACACATGGACTGAGGCGACGATCTTGTTTTCCGAAAGCTCCCACACATGCAACTCATGCAAGGAAAGAACTCCACTGATTGCCTCAATATCGCTGCGAACGGCATCCAATGAAATGGACCGTGGAACGGCCTGTAACAGGATGAAAGAGGCTCTTTTGACTGTAAGAGTAAGCGGTAAGATTTCCGTGTGAAATAGGATCTTCCACAGAAACAAACTGACCCAGAGGTAGGGCACTCCTAAAGATAATACAAGTTATCACTAAACTGATAATGGGATCACTATAGTACTTCCAACTCCAAGTAGTCAGCCAAATAATGAGGCCGGACGAGATGACGCCAACGTTGCCCAACGCGTCGCCCAGCACGTGAAGTAATACCGCGTGCATATTCATCGAGTGGGCATGACCATGATCCGGTCCCTGACTTTCAATATCAAGGATTGAATGAGCATGTCCTGGATGATGTTTTTCGCGCGTGAGTATTTGTGACTGGAGTGTGCCCATGCAAAAATGCCTTTGGCTTACCATGGAAGAGGAAGAAGCCTAGGATGTTGGAGGCAAGGCCAAGCGAGCCGACGATCACAACGAGTTTAGGGTTGCTGATTTCTGTTAGGAAAACGAGTGATGAAAAATAATCGAGGCCCCAGGGCTGAGAAATCCCCACTAGGAACAGAGGAGAAGCGCTGAATTGCCTCCAGAAAAATGGACAAGCAAAGCGCCAGGAGAAAGACGCCATTCACAAGAGCTGCGAGAATCTCCGCTCGATGCCATCCATACGAGTATTTGGAAGTGGGCGAATTAGCAGAGACCTGTATTTCACAGTAACCCGCTTAACACAAAGCAATTGTAGGGATAAATGGTCATGCCTTGATGGCGTAGAGCGCCACGACCAAGCTCAGCACATCGCTATAGATGAAGGGATTAGGCAAAATAGCGCGCACCCCCTCAATCACCCTGGCTTACTTGAGCATATGGAACGCATCTGCTACCAGCGCCAACGACCCAACTGTATATCCCACAGTGATTTCAACAAGGAGAAAGATGAAATCGATGATGAGTAGGGCCCAAATCCTCAGTGATCGGGAGTCCATAGCACTACCCCTTAACTACGGAGCGTATTTCGAAGGAGGTATTGATGCACGAAAGCGAACCTCGAGTAAGCCTCCAGCTGGATTGAGCAATATCTTGTGGTCATGTTGAGGGATTATAAGCTTCCGCCAGCGGCCCGCCAGTCAGTTCTCACGATGCCAATTTTTTTTCTTGACGGTGGCCATAGTAGCGTTAGCAGTAGTGTTGAAAGATCGACCTCCATTCTGCCCCAATCCACGTTTAGCCAGCCAACGATATCGATATGAAGGATTCGTGGGGGTTTTAGTGTGCACATCCCAAGGTCACGAGAGCCTTACACATAGCACATCGGCTAGTCGCCAACGCATTTCCAGTAGACCCAAGACCCAACCAACCTCAGGGTCCCATCGTACACAAACCTTCCTTACCCTGCGAAAGCCACCTTTGCGCAGTCACGGGACAGAAGATCAGATGTACAAGTCACGGCCGGTTATCATTCGCTGATTGGGCCGGCTGCGGCTGGCAGTTGAGGTAGTGAAGTACCGGAAGATATTGCAACGTTTGGCTGCATGTAAGGCCTCAGCGCTACCGATTTTGAACCTCTGAAGGTACGTGCGTTTACCACCTGAACGTTGTCATATGGATTGGCCGTATTGTATCGCATGGCGAGAGGAGAGAGGCGAACGTGACGATATGTCTGAAGAGTAACAGTTCAAGCGTGCTTCAGTGAACACGGGCAACTCCTTCGATTCTAAGACCCCAGGACTAGGATAAATGTTGTTGGAGTCCAAAATCCGTGGCACGCCTGCTGTGGATAGGTGGTGTTGGAACGGTTGCGCTCGTCGCCTGCATAGTTTTTTTTCTCAGGATAGAATTGTACCGTGGGTGGAAGAGCGAATATCGACGATTTGCTAACCATACCGTGACAACAGCAGTTCATGCACCTGTAGTGAGGCTCAGAATGAAAACAGGATTGTTTTCAATTTTTTTGGGGATACGCGATGACGCCCAATCCTTCGGCGGGACACAGGGCGCAATATAATCATTGCTCGTCGGCCAACGCATGAGAGTAAACTTGCAATGACAGTTACAAAATTTAGCCCACGGTTTACTCTGTGTACCCGGAAGGAGGGCGGAGGAGGCCCTTGTCAAGCGCCTCTCGACTTACGGAGCGAGATAAGACCGCGCATCAGGAAAGTCTCTGAGTTACACATGCACAATGAAAGTGCTGCCAGCAGAGGTGTGCTGTCGGCATACGCCGTACTTGAATGAAGTAAAAAAATGTCAAGGTTTGTAACTGGGTGCACCGCACAGCATGTGCTAATAGGTATCCAAGATCTCAGCTAATGGCTTAATGAGATCCTTCATAAAAGATCCTGGATCGACAGCGGCATGGCCAAGCGCGGGAATAAAATTGGTAGCCAGCAATGAGTCCTTCCATGCTCTGCTGCACGATAATTAGGTACCATGTTGGTATGAAATCATCTTATATACGAAAGAGTGAATTGCGGCACTCCGGTGCCATCGACGGCGGCAAGCGTGCACCACTGGGTCCAAGCAGACCCCAGACGAACAGCACGTCATAATTGAAGTCAAAACGGAGTTGGATTCTTAAGACTACTTATGTGTGTGTGTCCTGACTGTGGAGGCAGGTAACTAAAAATTCATGATGCCATAAACAGACTGTGTCGCCCACAAAACCCGGAGACCCATATTGGAGGGGCGCTAGCCCTCCGCCGCTGTGCCTATATGACACAGGACTGCCTGAGAGAGGACGGCCAGTAATTCGAAGAAACCCACCCTTCCCACGGTCCCCATTCAGTCGACACGGGCAAGCACAGCACAAGAATTCATCAATGAGGTCTTGGTTCTAGATATTAATCCCTTCCCGCAGCAACTTGTTCAAGATTACGTTCACGACGACCACGACTTCACTGTGCATCTTGAAAGCGATCTAAGTGTAAATTTTGTCTAAATGTCTCATTATGGCGACGACACTGGTAAGCACCTGCTGCCAAGCGCCCACCAACACTGAAACCTCCTCACTTTCATTTACACTAATCCAAAGACCTCCGTGACTATTGGGACCGTGATCGAATACCTGCAGTTGAGCTCTCGCTCAGTGACTCTCACGAACTTAATCCGCTTACCCCAGTCTTTTTCTTCCACTCACTCTCCATAGCCACATAGACTTTCAGGCTCAGGAAGCCCATATCCAAGCATCTCGAGGAACTCAAGAAACTCTCTCGCTCTTTCCGAGTCCAGCGATCTTTTGCGCACCCCTCCTTCCGACCCACACGCGTCAGGCTCAAGAGGAACTTACGCGCCAGTCAACGAATCCGACGCCACTGAGATGAGGGAACGCGGCGACGAGGTCTATCAGCAAGTGAGAGATGAGCATGATACCCCTTTCGTAGCGAACTACGGTGGGCCTGAGAAGCGGTCCCAAACAAAAAGTTCCTGTTTTGGGGAGCCATCATCCTCGGAGGACTGCTCGTTATCGCCGGCGTTGTCATCGCCGTCGTCCTTACTAGGCACAAATCCAGTCATAACAATGCGATCGGCGGGACCAACAGTTCCGACCCGAGCAAATTCACAACAGACCCAAACCTCCACAACTCGTTCTACGGCATCGCTTATACACCTACGGGTATACTAATAAACTGCGATAATTACGACGTCCTCTCTTACGGTATTTCTAAATGCAGGTGCTATCCTTCCCTCTTGCGGAGCTACGCGAGGTAAATTGCCACTGTTCCCTTCATGAATCCATCTCATTTACCTCACTCCAGAGGCTGTCATCAATGATATACAGGTTTGCAACCGGTTATACCCAGGTCTTCTGCTACTAATCTACACGTTGAAATAGATCCTGTCCCAAATGACCACGGTGACTACTTACCCCTCGATCCCAAATCAATCACTGACGACCCGCATGACTCGATTAGCGGATACGAACGTATGGGGCAGACTGCAATGTGACTTATCTCATACTGGACGCCATCAAAGAGACCAAAGTAAATGTCTCGGTCTATCTTGGGATCTGTAGGTATTATTGCTCAGTAGACGCGGCTTAGAAAGTCTTACGGCACCGCGCACAGACATCGACACTAGCGATGATTCCGTTTACCAGCGCCAGAAGAATGCGACGCAGTCCGCTTTGCAAACCTTCGGCGGCGATGTGCGATATAGTTTACCCGTCATTCCAGCCCAATCTCACCCAATCCGATATTTTTCCAGAAAGTCCTAGGTTTAACCGTTGGCAATGAGGTCATCCTAAATGGTCGGCATATCATCTTCCATTCAACGTCATGACTTCTTCTGACATATTGCCGGCAGCGTGTACTCAGGCGGGGCAGACCAATCCCAATGATACCGCGGGCATCCAAGCTGCAGAACTTCTCAAAACCAAAGTCACCGACATCAAGTCCATGCTTTCGGGCATATCCCTTAGCAAGATCCCTGTCGGGACTGCGGATGCAGGCAGTTACTTCAATACCGATATATTGGGTGCTGTTGATTACGCCATGGCGAATATTCACCCATGGTATGTCACCCCAGCTATTTTTTTTTGTATTCGATAGGTTTATATTTTGGACATTGGCAGGTTTGCAAGCATTGGTCCTCTGCAGGGTGCTACCTGGACTTGGCAGTTCTTACAGGACAACGATATTGTAGGAATCCTTCTGCACCCTGCATTAAAAATTAACCTTTCTCATCGTGTGCAGTCTCTGGCTAAGGGCGTCTCGAACACTCCAGAATTTTACATTGCAGAAACGGGATGGCCGACGGTATGTCATAAAGTCGAGGAAGAGAACCGCATACGTCCAACTAAGCCACTTTGTGGTAGAACTCCTCGACTGTCGCAGGGCAGACGAACGGCGCCGGTGTGCAAGCGAGTGTAGGCAATCTACAGGTAACGCTATTCCCCCTTCACAGCACGTTTTTTCTGAAGATATATCGACCGTCTCGCTCCATTCTGTTCACAGATATTCATAGATAATTTTGTGTGCCAAGCGAATCAGAACAACACTGGGTACTTCTTCTTCGAGTTCATGGACGAACCGTGGAAACTTGTGCAGTACCCTGGTGTCGAGGGATATTGGGGCCTCTTCGATAGCAAGTAAGACATCCGCTCTTTTCCTGGCATTGTCGGCACTTCTCACGTTTTTGCTCAAAACAGCAAAAAGTTGAAGAATATTACGATTCCTAATTGCTCTCACAGCTGAGCGGCATCCACCCCTTTTTCTCGCTTTCCTTCCTTTATACATGATCATTCACTTTCAAATGCTTTCGTACACCATTTTCATATTCCCCCTACCCTGCACATGGACCTTCTTTCGCTTAAAACCACAGGACGGACCGATGGAATACACTGTTATTATTTGTATATGCATTCGAATTCTTGCGCCATACGACAAGCCATAAACTGGCCTCCCCTCCGGAGGTGCGATGCACCTTTCGCCACCCGAACCTTTGGGAGACGGGGCACGAAGTAAATTGAACACCAGTGGAGGTGTATGATAACAACAAAATTGACTAACAATGGATCGGCAGTCGGTAGCTTGGCGCGATGATTGAATCGTGAAAATAGAGGGCCATGTAATTCGGTGGAAAATCGTCAGTGAATGTGAATAGGTGTGGCCGCTCTGGTTACTCTCGAAAACCACATCCAATGAACCTCACCTTATAGAAACCATTGGCAACTTCTAGAACCTAGTATCCTCCGCACCCCGAGCCTGAGTAGCATCAAGGAATCTATCCCAATAGAGGCCGGTAGGCCTAATGAAGGGACTAACCTGTTTTCGACCGTTCCCGGCTGGCGCTGGTTGAAATCACCCGAATATTTCACACCTATACTGAGGGCTCGAAAGCCAAAACGTGGTATGGACCACAGAAGTGTTGCCATTGTTTCGATCCCATGTGTACTGCGATCCCTATCTAAACACCAGCTGCAGAAAGCCCCACTTTCCCAGACGAAAAAAAATGAAATGAAATGAAAATGAAAATTCGGGTGTGGAATGTGGGCTGCGCCAGTACCAGTTATAACTGGTGGATGCCGTCTGACGCGGCAGATCCCACCACCCCTTCTGCCTCGCATCAATCATAACTCTTAGGTCGGAAGCGTTTCTCATATGGTTTTTTGGGTCCGGTGGTAGCCCTTTCCCGTCCTTGTCAACGTGGAATACAGCATTACAGATGTCACAATGTGTAACCCAGCGAAGAAATACAAAAACCCTGACCAATTCCTTGGCAGGAGACGTCAACGCTCGTTAGTGATGCAATCACTAGCTGTAAGTCGCAAAGGACACTTAAAGTAACGCATGTCGATGAAGATTAGAACTCACTTGGGAGGCCGAGCCCAGACGTGATAATGAGAAGGTCCGCATCATTGGTGTTCAGAATTAAGGAGTGAAAGTCCTTGAGCAAACGTACTCGTTCATGTATGTCTATGGAGACGATCCATCATATTAAGCGAGCACGGTTAAGGTCATCAGATGTTGAAGTTGGTTTGAAATGTGCATGGAAGTGCGAGTCGTTGTGAATTGGGACTCCAAAGGTACATTGAATGTCAGACATCGGATGCGCAAAGAGTGAGGTTTGGAGCTGCGAGTTGATTCAAATGGCATGGCACACAATGGAAACGGTTGATCGCTAGCAAAGCAAGACAGCGCAGTCATTCAACCAGACGGAGGATGCTCAGGCGATCTGGATAATCCCAGAAATACTGAGGGACAAATTTTCCCGTGAGCAAGAGTTTGCATTCTAATCAATTGCACCCAAAGCGGTATAAACAAGGTGATGACCTGGGTAAGCCACGTAATTTGCAATAATAGAGGACCTCTTGCACGGGCATTCAGTTTACGCATTCAAGACCCGGGGATTATTTGGGAATGGGGATTGCTATGGGGAGAGGGCTGTTGTGATTGTGGTGCAGAATGAGCGAGAGAACCGTGATATTCCCTGGAGGAAGGCGCTGGTTCCCTAGGCCAAAATTTTCCATATCGCGAAACGAAAGGGCTGACAGCTTTGGAAGGTTCATCGAGGCTTGATGTCTCCAGAGGAGCTGAATTTACCACCAGCACTGTTGACGGGGTGTTCTCTCCACCTAGCGACCGGTTCGGTACCGGGGCTTTGGATTTTATTGATTTCTTTAATCCTCTTTGAACGAGGCGGAAGAAATTTGACGACTTCTTGATTATCTTTGACAGCCAGCCGGTTCGTGTAGATGTATCGTCAGAATCCGCGGGCCAGGAGATGAGGTATCCCCCTCCGGAACGCTTCCGAGGACTTCAGAGCCTGGGAACACCTCGAAGCGCGGGACCCGGGTCAAGGTACTGGGTACCCCCGAGCTCGGAAACACTCCGGGGCCCGGAAACGGGACCATGGCACTCCTGGGCATTCCCGGGCTCGAGAGCGCTTCAAAGCTCGGGTGCTGGTCTGGCCGGTTTTCTTGACGTAGGACCCTTCTTCCACCCACCGGGTGTAAGAGACTGTCAACGGCCATTCCCAGGACGCGATCAAGGCTGTGGAGGGCGAGAGATGCTAATTGGCGGGCGTTCATTCTGATGTGGATCACAACATCGAGAAAGAATGCGTTGAATGGCACATCCATGTCCCACACCCAAGGAGATTGTCGGTTCCAATTGCAGCAATCACTCTATGATCATTTCTGATGTCAGGGAAAGGGTGTTGATCGAACAACACCTGAGGAACCGGCGTCATTGATCGCGTTGTTCCAGACAATTAAGTTACACATGCCTGTATCGATGTGCACCCGAATGCGTAGACATCGCTGAACTCCGTCTTCTTCTCCTCAACGATGACTTCATATGAAGAGTATCGTATCGTGTATCCCAGCGGAGTCGATGTCGTCTGGGCAACTCTGGACAATTCATTCATTACACGGGACATACCAAAGTCACAGAGCTGCGCTGCGCCTTCATCACTTATCAAAACGTTGTCCTAGGAAGGGCAGTGTATCCGCGAGCCAAAGAATACGATAAGAACCCGCTCACTGGTTTCAGATCACCGTGAATGATTTGGGGTTTTCGGCTGTGAAGATGGTGTAGTCCATTTGCCATACCAACAACCTGATATACGTCAAAATAACAGTATGACAATCGCAAACTGACGCTCACCAAGTCGGTCCTATTCGAGTTCGGATGTGCTCTTAAATATTGCATAACATTCCCGTTTGTACACCATTTCGACACCAAAATAGCCTTCATGTCCGAGCGTTCGCCGCAATGGCATATCCGATGAACTCAAGGATATTGGGATGCCGTAGTTCCTTCCATATCTTGACTTCATGAGTCAAATGCTAGGAGGACGTGAGCATGCTAAGTGAGCAAAAAACCTGTGCCCTCACTTTCATTAATTTTCTAGTCTGGTTAATTTGCTCCGGCATACTGCTGGAAAGTGGCCGCAATTCTTTGTAACACACCTGGAATGATCAACATTACATGCATCACAAACCACAGCGACGTGGGCTGGGACTCACTCGAATGGTCTCGGCACCTGGCGGGGCCCAATCGGTCGCGTAGACAGAAGAGAACCCTCCGATTGCCTTGAGCGCCTTGACACGATGATCGAGTTCAGCGCTCACGTCTCGGACAGAGGACAATCCGAATCTAAACTCCTCGAGAAATGCTTGCGCAGCAGGGTCGAGGTAAGGGTTTTTCTCCATCGTTCACGCCCAGCCCACTGAAGACGAGTCTCTAGCCGCTGGCACACCTTGAGTACCGGCATGTTCCGCCAAGCCAAATGAAGAAACGAGAGACCTGAATGGGAGATCGATAACTTGCTGTCCAATAAATCTCAGTTTAATCCATTTCACGTGACTAATCAGGTGGATCCGCGCGCCTCAGAGAGGCCGTCTTGTTCTGCACTGTCGCAGTGCGGATGAACAAGACGGACGAAACCCTCCTCCGGCCAAACTTGGTCTCAGACCAGCTGCGGAAGAGACAAGTTGCATCCGGAGCGAGATAAATAGCGCACCTTATCCACTCCCACCTGCCTGCGCAATCGTACTACAACGTCTAACTGGTAGTTAACGGTAGTGCGATGAGGCTTCTAACCGTGTGTGCCCCGCTCCTCAGCCTGCACACGGTTATCCCTGCTCTCGCTATCACTAAACGCGCGCTTACTCTTACTTTCATAGTTCTTAACTGAATCTCCGCCTCCCACCTCCTTCCCATCGCTCCGTTGCGTTACATCATTTTTCACTTGCTACCTCTCCTGCATTTACTATTAATGTATTTAATTGACGTACGGCTCGCATCGCTGCGCACAATCATACGCATTGCAGGTCCATACGGACCGTGTCACTAACTATGGACGCTCACGGAACCGAACTGATTATCGATTCCAAAACATACCTTGGACGCAAATATCACCAAACATCAACAGTCAAAGTTGACAAACGAAGACCACGATACGGGAATGCACTTAAGATCACCAGAGATCGTCAGTTAAAGTGAAGTTGGAATGATTTGAAGTCGATAGGTGACCGAACAATCCTGAACACCACGTGAGAGTGGAAGTAAAAGCCCAATGAGAAATTGGTGAAAGCGAAGAGTCAGACAAAGGGCTGCTTGAGGACTGAAGACTAATAAAACGTGAAGGATTTTAAGGATAAAAGTGTTAGTATGGGCCGATATGTACTGAGACGGCGATAAGGATAAAGCCGAACCGATGAGCCAACCAGGATGATCGTCATGGAAAACGGAGAAAAATACGGCGGGAATTAAAATCCATTGAGACCAGGTACTGAAGAGAATGCGTTGAGAGAGAGGGATGTCCTCGGTGAAGGGACTCAAACGTGGTGGAAGAGCGAGTTCCACTGTAGGTAAGATCCCAGAACACACCAACACACCACCATAAAGTAGAGATCCATGAGAAGAGAGCCTATGGAATGCAAATAGAGACTTGCGAGCAAACTAATTCAACTCGTACAAAAACTACATAGAATTTCGACAACACTCGCACGCCTACTTAATGAAAACACGTTGTGCATTGTGTTGCCTGGTCTGAGGGAGTCCAAGGAACCAATTCGGCATACAAAGCGTGACTTCACCGGCATGTTTGGTACCACTAATTTGTTGTGACCAGGAACCATGCCCAGCTATCAAGAATGTCGCCGAAAACAAGTTGCCTTCCGGTTCCTGTGCCGCAGAGTGAGACGGATCAATTTGGCCGAATCCATTATCTCTATTATCCGCATACATTCTTCATACATTAGACCTTGACAAACCAGGAGCGCGCCAGCGCTCAAGTTATCCTTCATACGTTAATGGTTAAGCATAGATAGTTTGATCGCATTGGAAGCAGCAGATTAGAATATAGATTGTCTAAAGATCGAGTCTTCGCCTCGCATAGAAAATCCTGAGATGTTCGGACCCCAATTAACATGCCCCGTCCGCTGACTTGTATCCGATAATCCCCCACTGCTGCATCCTGGGCAGTGGAAGCTGAGGGAACGGTTCCACCAATACGCATTCCCTTACGGACGCCGGCTGTTGCTAAATGAAATACAAGTTGGTTAGCTGCTTGTCCATGCGTCAAGCTGAGCACGTCCACCAACTTCGAGTCAATCGCACCAGCATTCCTGGCATCCCTGAAATTTTAGAGTGAGGAGAAAGCAGGCGGCGCCGAGCCGACTTCAGTAACAAAAACCCCAAAACCGCAGGGTGACCTTGATGTCTACAAGCACACGAGAATTCCCGTGTCGACAAACGCAATAGCCCGACCCATCCAACCCATCGGGAAGCATCGGTAGCTTCGGATGATACATGATCCATCACAGTAAGAACGGAGGACGTCTTTACTCTCTTGCAACAACCAGACGCAACGCCTCATGGGTAAGTCTCCAGCACGCAGATGACGAGCAAACGAAAATCATGTGGTAGACAGGCAAGTTTTTCGGTGCATACAAGCACGGAAACACAAATTAAATTGATGAGCTAGCCCGGAGGCCCCGCGTGAGCGATCTATCCTCATAAAAAACTGGAAGGGGACTAGGTAGGACATACGAGAGAGTGCAACAGTGGCATGCGGGATGACTAATATGAGAGTCTCGTTGGTCGTGGAAAGAAGGCGCCCTTGCTCAATGGTTGGCCTGGCCTGACGTGCGACACGACCACGGAGAACAGAAAGAAGATGAAAAGAGCGGAATGGCCTTACAATTGGGAAGGGTGATGTACTCCAACACGATCCAACAAGCTCCAGAGATACTCGGTGATGCAGGGGTCAGGACGAACCGCAGCAGTCAAGGGACGTCTCCACGATCAGTTGCCAAAATCCCTTGTCGAGCTTCATGCTGAAACTCTGATGTCCGCTTTTTGCTAACGTGAGTATCCTTCAGGATGCACGGAGTCAAACTACAAGCAGAGTCATCAAGTCAACGCTAGCGTTATCGCTGTCGCGAGACTCCAGCCGGTACTCATGGCATTGATAGAGGACAAGAAGAATGGCTCATCGCGGCCGATTGGTGATACAGGATCGAGTTGTGACACCGAGAAGTCGGTAATCACATGAGGGTGTCACTTGTAGGCGTTGTAGTGCGTGAACAGAAAGGGCTGGAGCGCGCGAGGCACCTTTGATCACCTCATGGATGAACCCAATTGCAGAGCTCATATCCATAACAGCGATCTGATATCTTACAGTTGCGGAAACCTCACGGCGATTTGTGATAGCTAGACTCAATCTAATGCAAGAACCAAGACACGCGAGAGCTCCCGTGTTGATGAATATCCGAAATGAAAATAGCGCGAGAGGTAACGACCCATCGGGAGGCACCGGTTGATGCAAATTCCTATATGATCCAGAGTCGGGAAGAACGGAAGGATGTCCTGACTCTCTCACAACAACCAGGTGCAACTCATTGCTGGTGCAAGTGTCCAACGCATAGATGATGGGCAAGCAAAAAATGGTATTGGACAGGCGGGTAAGTTTTCGGTGCATACAAGCATGGAACACAAGTTACAATGATAAGCTCGCCGGATGGGACCCGTGAGCGACGCATCCTCAAGGATACTACAAACTGGAGGGACAGCGGCATATGTGTAGCGGCTTAGCACAGGTATCGCTGGTCAGAGAAGAAAGCGCTCCTGTTCAGTGATTGATGGCCTAGCCCTGACGTGCCGGCGCTTGCCCCCTGGGGAGATGTGTGCCTATGGCACCATGGGGTTATGTCTCCGACCACTGATGGCCGGAACTGACTCGATAACCTGACCAACACAATTGCTCATCAGTTCAATAGAAGCTACACATGAGCAAAGAAGTTCCCACAGAGATTGGACGAGCTGGGGGTCGTTGGAATTACGCGGGCCAGTTGGATATCCATCCGTGGCAGCGGCATACGGGAGTGCCATCCCTCCATACCTTGTGGAGTCAGATGCCTGGGACCCAATTGGCGCTGAACCACGACTCTGAGATCCACCTTGATGTTGGGAAACGGGCGGAGTCCCCCCAGTGAGGATTGACCAGATGGTTTCCCGGTCCTGGGCCTGTTGCCTTTCGTAGGACACGGTAAACATAGGGTCAACCTCCTGTGACTGAGGAGACCCGAGTGCGCGATTCCCCGACGTCGAAGAGCCTGGTGAAAAGAAATCCTGAAACCCATAACGTCAGTCGAACCAGGGGTGATAATTGACTACGCCTCCACCTTATTCCGTGACGGGAAGCCACAAACAGCACCTCTACAGATCTTGCAGCGGTTCTTTGGCATGCTATTCCGTTCAGGGATTAAACTAGTGACAACCTGTTTTGTTAGGTTCTGCATTGGATACGTGGGCCAGTGCCGCCTCACTTTCAAGAGTCACACGGTTGGAAGCGAGAAGAACAGGAAAAAGAGCAGAACGTCCCTTTGATTGGGAAGGATGATACGCCGCAACACAGGCAATACTGGACGTTGCAAGAATCAAGTAACACTGATTCTCAAGTTGGGAACTACTGTGCAAGGTGGTGTTTATTTGTTTGTTTGAGTTGTTGAATGCTGTGATAAACAAGCATCGGCATCCTCCCTCAGTTCTTGCATCACCTTCTTGAGTGCAGTTAAAAGACAATTTTATCATCCGCTGCCTAACTCCCTTACCGAGTTCCATGCTGAGCTTCTGACGTTCGCTTTTTACATCCCAACTTCGAGTGTAAACTTGGGCCTGAATCTCATCGGCCCTCATCTGTATGGCTGGCAGTATTTGTCGCACGGATTTGTGTCCATTGCGTTTCCATGCAAGAATACAGCAAAACCTCAAGAACCCATAGAATGATAGGGAAATGATGGCATAAAGAAATCTCAAGTGTTACGCCGTTGCGGTGCAACAGTTACAAACTGCCTTCTCCAAGGCGAGAGCATTGAGAAAGGAGCCTGCAGCCTACGCTTCTTGAGCGTCGTGCCATCTGCCTCAGTCAGTACGCATTCTTGTCGTTTGCGATGTCTACGTTACATAAGGATCTCGCAAATGCTGGCCACGTCATTGCCCCGCTCTAGGCGATGTACCGAACGACGTGCTGCAGGTTTCATATGCTCATTCGTTGCCTGTTTGGCTACTATATATTTGATCATACGTCATCCAGATGCACCCATGTTGTGCGCCAGAACCTGAGCCCTACCTGGATCACCCAAAGTTCCGGGATCGGGATCCCCACGGCGTTAGTGCTGCTCAGCTACCACCAAACTTCTCTTCGCAGCATTTAAAACTAACATCCTTGTGCGGCTGAATCGTCATTCTCACCTGGAGTACCGGCTTCGTTTCTGCATGCTGAGACCCTACCGCATCCGGCCCTAATGATCCTCGAAGTCTCGTTTCGAAACATTGTTCAGGTGTGCTTTTGGTTGCTCAAACAATCATTTTATCGGTTGACAACAAAAACTTTCCTTGAACATAGCGTCGCGCCGAGGATTCCGCACGGCTTTCCATCTTGTTGTGTATCCTGCCTATTTTCTGGGGCGTCAGGATGAACAAGAAGTACGCGAAGGACAATTTGGTGAAGCTGCAGCCTGTTTGTGTAATTCGATGATGACCGGGCTCTTTGGAAGTTAAAGCTAGCGTTCACGCAAGAAAAAAAATAATATTTCATTCACCACCTAAGCAGGTCATTCCGCATGACATACTGGAGAACTCCCAGTATACCATATCACGTCGTAATTCAAGCTGGATTCCGACACGGAGTCCACCTCGCGATGGAGCTGGTTCAACGTGAGCGAACCTCATCTCTTGTAGGGTTTTTTAACTCTGGAAATGTTTTATGAGGGATGCAAGGTCGAAACAACTCAGCAAGACCCAGCTTAACATGTCTTCGGAGTGCAGGGATGGACGCGAAGGCTTATATACTAGCGCGCTGGAGAACGAGGCCGGGTTCCTGACGGAAAGCTCTCTGCTCACCGGCTGAGGAAGACGACTGCGTTCGAGAACATACTCGAAGGCAATGAGTGCATGCGTATATAGCTGACAGTGCTATGAACGTCAATCAATTGATAGCACTCAAAACTATTATCACAGCATCGCGGCTTCATTCCTGAATTTTCTCAGGTCGATGGGCCGTGAACAACCTGTCTTGCAACTTGTTCATCGAGCAAGGATAGAACATTTCCGGCCCCATCACTCCGAATGAGCTTGTGTTGGAGGATAGCCTTCTGTTGCGCGCCCTACTACGTGCGTATAAGCACAGTTCTCGATGTACCCGGACCTTGCCTTTCGAGTGGAATGATTGCATCTGCGGGTTGCAGCATCAAGACAGAAAGGTTCTCCGCTACATTTTGAGGCACAGCGATGCCGACAAATGCATGGAATTATGCGGGGTTTAGTGACAACAAACAAAGGGTGTGGTGTGTCTTTCCAGGCGTGATCGAACACAAGGCAAGGGATCATGTCAGCATTTTCCCGCCAATCAATTTACACCCCTACTTGACTCTTCAGCATTGGTATCGCTAACTTCTCGATCAGAAACGCCCAGCTTGCAGATGTGTCTGTCTCGCAACTTGTTCGTCGAGCAAGAATAGATGAGGCCCCCACCTTCTGACATCATTGATCGGAGACATTTCCTATTAGCGATGGCCACCAATTGCGGGCTGCCAGCACATATGACCGCAGCCCATCGCGATAGAGTCAGCTTTGGCTCTTGTGTCCCGCCTTTACACAATCTCTCCATTTCAGATACTGCTCGTACATAACTGCAGAATGCGCCAACACGATCTAACAGGCTCCGGGGGCACTCGACGTTGCAGCAGTCAAGTAGCACTGCTGCTTAGGTTGGGAGCAACCGTGCGAGGATACGCTATGGGATACATGACTTGCTGAATGCTGATACATAAACAACACGTCGGCATTTTTCCTCTGAGTCTTTAATCTTTCTGCAACCAGTGGCCTGAATCCCTTATCGAAGCAAACTCGAGCTTCATGTTGATACCCTCCTTCTAAATCCCGACTCCGAGTACAAACTTGATGGCGGTCAGGGCATGTGCCCGCGCGGCACACCTCCCACATCTGTGTGACCAGCAGTATTTGTCGCACGGATTGGTAGCCATGGTGTTTCCCTGGATCACCAAAGTTGTAGTTTCAGAATTGTTACAACGTTATGCTGGACCGCTCAGTTGCCATTTCGCAACGCATGGGCTAGCACACACTGGGTGTCTTCCCGCATCTTTCTCGCCTGGAGCCACGGGTGTGAAGTCAACTTACGTATTTCTTGCTGAGTCTGCCACATTGGATGCCGACACTCCTTCACTCAATCTCAACACAACATTTTTCGCATATTACGGTCCAAAGTTTACGTTTACTGTTGGTTGCTTAGTCATTTTTATCAGATCACAACAAGGCACACTTGAACGCCCACTGCGAACCTGAACTGGGGTTCAGCCTGAGCGTTCTGGCTTCCTATCTTGTTGTTTGCCCTACTCATTTTATGAGGCGGCCCCCAGTACGAACGAATAAGAAGTGAGGGGCAAATATCATGTGTCGATCGGGCTTGTTGCGAGCTCAGGCTAACGTTTACCGAGAGAAAAGGCAATACGTGCACGTCTTTCTGTGTGCATAGGCATGGAAGACTGGAAGACTTCCAGAACATCAGGTCGTCACTCAAAGATCCTGGTATGGAGTGCGCCTTGTCTCCTGGAGGGTCGAGTTTTTTAACTCTGAAAAGCGATGTCCCACGAGGTTTAATTGGGATACAAGGTCGAAACAGTTCAGAGTCGATGGATGCGGGGACTCACTAGGTTCATGGGCGATAAGGAGTCCGTCAGTACGAGGAACATGGTCAACTATCTGGGGCTCATATCTCCAGCGCACGGGAGAACAAGAGCTGAACAAGTTCCTGACGAATGAGGTCAATGTGCGTATGCGTAGCCCAGAGCACTATCATGAGCGCTAATATAATCCATAACTGTTACTAGCCTCTATTTGGCACTGGTATCGCTGACTTCTCTCTCTCCGGTTTATCAGAAACGTCCAGCTTGGCGGATGTGTCTGTCTTGCAACTTGTTCGTCGAGCAAGACTTCACTTTATGACATCACTCGGAGACATTTCCTGACCTCCAATTGCGACCCACCACCTACATAACAGCCCACCGCGTCTTCCATTTCAGGGAACATTTTATCCGATGATAGATAGTACTGCTCGCACATTATACGGACCCACCATGGCGCGCACGCCAACGAATCTATACAACAGTATGTCTAAAGCAGGGGACATTGATCAGAAGTTATTCACAATTCCGCAAGCCTTGCTCTGTCAATCTCGTATAAATTGTATGTCTTGGGGATAACTCAGATTATAGCAGCTGACCAAGAGCGCAGGTAGACCCAGAGCCATCTTTTGACGAACGTCTCAAACACTCTAATATCGGATTGGCACCACCTTGGTTGGGCAACCCGCCTCCTCCGGAGTACTTCCAGATGAGAAAACCCTGAACTGCAAAGCAGAGTCATCAAGTCAATGAACCTGCACTAGCGTATCACCACCACAACCAGTGATCTTCACTACGTGTGAATCGACGCCAGCGCTTACCCGTGGTATTAGTAAAAGATGGGAAGAACGGTTCACCACAGTCGATCAATGATACAAGATCGAGTTGTGCCATCGAAAGGACGAGGAAGGATGATGCACGTTTTCGTACAGAGTGAGAAGAAGCATCAAAGTCGATTTTCCACAGGAAAGGCGAGGATAATCAGTCATATGGGTGAATCGGTCATCGTCGCGAGAACAAAAGCTGGGGGTGCGCGAGGCCGTGACTATGTATGTGTCTCACCTTATGCATAAACCCGGCTGCGGAGCTCATCAACCTAAAAGCGTTCTTGATGCATCTCACATTTGCGGAAACCCAGGAAACGTAGCCATACGAGAACCCGTGTTAACGAATGTCCTCGACGAAATGGCCTGAGTCAATGAAGAGTAATCTATCGGAAGGTACTGGTAATTTCAGATGATCAAAGAAGGGGAACCTACGCGTTCCACCCATACGCGACGACTTGAGAGTGGAGCAGTGTTTGGCGTATTTCTTGGACGGATACCCAAATCGGACTTATCTCTTTATTTTTCGCTTTATTTTCGTGTATTTACCCCGACCCCTCCCTTGGCTCTCGTTATAGTCTAACATATCTAGCGTGGCGACGGCCCCGACAGGAAGTCGAAGCCCACGCCAACCTGAACTGGGATCCGCTCACTTGAATGGTTTCACATCACTCACGTCCTGCAACCAGGGTGATTCATCTGTACCACCTTCTCTGTTTTGGACATTTACAATGTGCAGAGGTTATGTCCTCTGCGAGATCCGGTTTGGCTCAACTAATGCATCTCATTGGCTGTTGACTAATGACATTCAGTGCATTGCTGGTGCATTAATCCACACTCTTCTCTTGGTTGTTCAACACTCTGTGATGCACGCGTCTATCACACCTCTTTCCTTCTTTCCCATCTCAACTTTGACTCATTGCTGTGGCACGGTCGTCTTCGCTAAGTCTGACTGTCAATGTCCGGTGGCATGAATTGCGTCGCTGTAGTCTTCGAATACTCTGAATGTTCTCATCCCCATGCACTCCCGTCCATGTTCGCCGACCCCAAGAGATAAGGTCCACCCTGAAAGGCGGAATCCCCCACCCTTTTCGAAAACCGGCAGCATGATATCTGACCACCTGTCAGCGGAGACTCCCAGAGTGAGCTACTTAGTCATAGGATAAGATCCCATTATTTCGTGTATTTATTTCAAGACCTCTGCCCTTGGTGCTCTCACATGCAACCTATTGTCTGCAGGTTAAATATCCAGAGCCGCACATGCACACGCCCACCAGTATACATTGAGTGGTCAATCCATGGGCCAGGATGATCCTGGGTCTATATATCCAGTGAGCAGTTTACGATCAAAATTTAAGCAGAGACTGCTGAAATAAACGCCGTGTGGCCAGCTCGATGACAGGATGAAGAGGGACGTCAAAGATGCAAGGTGTATCGAGTGAATTCCGTTCTTTTCAAGGTACGAGGCATTTCCTTTCCTTATATGCTTCCTATCATGGGTTGCACTTATATTCGAATTTTCCCGAGCCAATGTTCAGGACATCCTGTCAAGTGGTTTTTGTACGATTCCCTGGTGAGCTTCTCACAAGGCATCCCTTATTCTGAACATTCTGAGATTTCGGCCAAACTTCCACGTCATTTTGATGCAAAAACAGGATCTAGGACACTCTATTTGTGTACTCTCATGATGAACCTTTTACAATTTCTCATTATTTGTACCACTTACATCGGATTTCACACTCAAATGCAATGCAGTTCCACAACTTACACGGTCATCATACGTTGGAGCCAGCCGAAGGCAGTTCAACTAGTTTGCAGAATAAACAACAACAACAACAACAACAGCGTGCGCGTTCCCACTCTTTCACCACACCTGTTCAATGGTTCCCTTCGCGATGCCGTAGTGTAACAGAGTCCCTTTTGGTGCTCCACGCTCTGCCCGGCCGTCAAAACCTTGCTGTCTCGGACTGGGTCGTGTTCGATGCTATTATTTTTAGAACTCGCTCAAGAACGGGGATCATCAGACCGCGCCAGCGCTCAAGTTATCCTTCATACGTTAATGGTCAAGCATAGATAGTTTGATCGCATTGGAAGCAGCAAGTTCGTAGGAATCAGCCATACTGATCAGTTTCCGCTTCCCCTTGACGACTGAAATACTTATCTTTGATTCTCAATTGAACTTAGTTGTTTGAAGCGTGGCTGAATCTTGCCGATGTTGCGAGGAATCCCAAATGGAGATTCTGATATGATCAGCAATTCTTGGCGCCCTTGCATTTTTATTGCGATGTTTTCTCCTCCTCCATCGCAACCCTCCTTCCTTCCTCAGGCATCATCTTCATTATGATACGACACAGAGTTGTGGGTATGTGCAGCATCCGATGGGCCATTCCTTCACGGTTTTGATAGCCCGTTGTCGTGCCCCCGCTTTATCTTTCAGGTATCCTCTCCATAATGGTTGCCACAATCCTAGGTGCCCTAGTCACTATTTCTCTTCCTACGGTCCCATTTGTGTGTACCTGATTTCGTGTTCTTGTTTTGGATGTCATCAACCTTGATCTGCTCGTCCTTAGTTTGATATAGTCCGTCTAGTGGGTGAACGGGCAAACGGTCCAGCCATCCTCGAAGGGCACCCCACCGGTCGCTTGGGTATCTGGGGTCATTGTGTGTCGGAGACTGCGTTCGGTTCCTACTGCGTCTACACGGGTCTGGGGTATCCTTTTGGGATTGGAACCTTTACACTCTTTGGCGATGATCCCGAACCCCAAATTATCACACCGTCGTACACTCGAGGACTAGTAATGCATCCAATCGGTGAGTTACATTTCATCTATTGTCCAAGCTATAGTGAGTATTCATAAATCATTCAAGCCCTCGCGTTCTGCATCATCACGTTGGGTTTGAGTTTTTGGAAGCATCTTGCCATAAGCCTGTAGGTCTTCTTGCATGCCACATTCCTGGGATGATTGACTGATCGACCCCATCCCCACTCCTTGGGCGGGTTGCGCACACAGTGCTGCGTCGTTACTCAGCAACTTCACGGCTATTCTCACAGCTATCGCACTGATTTTGGACATAAGGCTGTACACGCGTGTTCGAAGCAGAGCAAATAACTTGACCAATGTTCAAAACGACACCTGTGCGTTGGCATCTCATTCTTTCATTCAGCCCTGACCGGTATTTCTACAGATTTGGGCCCTGCATTCTGGATGACACTTACCCAGATCCTCTTCCTTGTCATCGCAGGATTCGCTATCTATCTTGCTCGTCATCGAGACCGTGCCGAGCAAGATAGACCTAACATAGGTCACCCTACTATGGTCCAGGACAAGGCCTAGCGGAGACCTTGCCCAGACATGTTAACAGGTGTGTCAAATGACTTCGTAACGACAGCTACGGCGTCTCACTAAATGAAACGATAGATTGGGGTCTTTTGTAATGCGTACTCCCGCCTCACCTTTTTACTTCTGCTCCCGGTGATTGTCTGATTGTTGTGTTATCGTAGATCTCTGCTTCCACCTCTTCCCCATTGTGCAAGCGGATGATCGGAATGCAATGTACATTAGCGCGTTTGTGGCTGCTGAAGATCTTGTATGCAGACGGATTGCAATCTTGAGATGTGCATTCTACCAGAGGCTCCAGAGCTATATATGGTGTTCGCGCTGGGGCTGAAAGGTGGGTTTGGACCATGTGGTTAAGATTAGTTGCTGCATCCTGACACCTTCGGAGCCGGCTTCGATCTAGGCCCACAGTCTCGTATTAGGCCTCCCTGAAGTTCGTTCGCCCAATTGCCCTGCTCCAACTGACGACCCCATACCTAGTTCCCGGTTTATATAATCTATCCATACCAAGCAGGTGCACACCATACATTCAGCAGATATATCAATTTATCTTTGCAGGACAAAGGCTGGAGTCGTGGCTGTGTGTACCCCACACACAATAGCCTTCCACAAGGGGGCCTGACAATTTGGAGATGGTCAACCAAATTCTCCGGTCACACCCTGATATGTCCTTCCCAACAACCATGTGCACCACCCTTTCGTTGGCTATTGTTACAAGAGTGGCTGAAAATAGGCGTGGACTCGATCGTTGGCGGCGGCGCGTGTCGCGTTGAATCCATGTGGTTAGTCGAACATCTAGTATCCCTCTGTTCGCGATGCTCAATCATAATGATATCCCCGAGACCACTTGTACAGTGTAGTGCAATGTGCGCATGAAAGTACAAACATTTAACCTTCGTACAAGAGGGAAGTTCCTCACTTGATACAGCCAAGACCGAGATAAACCGCTTGATCAATCTATGTATGTTCCACTCGTGCAAGGGCGTGGCTTACTAAGTGTCAGCCATACGGCACAGCTCGCCAATAATGATCTCAGCACTAAGTATTTAGTTGGGAGAAAATCTGCATCCTTAGACTCAGACTTGCCGGGCTTGAGATTGTACATTATTCAAGCATTCATTTTAGGACCAGGGTCATGTCCGAGTTTACCTTCTCAGAGCTGCGAGTAACATGAAGCGGCAATCAGCAATCTCGATCCAGGAAGAATATTTTTACAACGTTTCGAATCAGCAAGTTATACAAGTGTGAGCAAGACAGGTACATTCAGTTTGCAATCCATCCCCTTTACGCAACATCAAGAAAAAAAATTGTAAAAGACGCCTGGTACCCCAAAATTTCACGGTCAGCGAGCAGCATATTGCAATTAACAGATGAAAAGGATGCTCGTGTCCTGATTGCGAAAAGATATCTCATGAGTGTGCTGCAAGCATTGCTCAGGTCAAGGGACATTTACCATCGGGTGCGAGCAGGCAAGCTGAGGCTTTTGACTGTACTTGTTACGTAGCTCTTCTCGAATCGAGACCAAGAGCTGTTGATACGTTTGGTGAGGATTCTCGGCTACAAAACAGAATGGTTTCAGAGATCGAACTCGTTACAACTGTTGAAGGAAATCTCATACTAAGGCATTTAATGAATGCCTATGTATGGTGAGATGTGAGCATACGATAGGCATGCAAACTTTCGAGAACTCACATAGCTCATAGCGCCGGTGCTCTGCCCAGCCTCGACAGTGTCAGCACTGGTTTGGCTATCCTTGCAACCACTCCAGCTGATCGCGTCAGCTGGGCTAGTTCTCGTTTGCTTGGCGTGCTCCGCAGCGGCGTTATTTTTCCCGGCAGCGGTCTTGACAACATTGAAGAGACCTTTAAGCGCGCCTTTCTTGTCGCCTTTGAGGTACGTCAACCCAGTGTTGAGAAGGCCTTGACCTGCTTCGGCAAGGAGATTGGGTTCTTTGATTTTTCCTTCTGTAGAATACATGAATGGAAGATCTCATAACGTTTCTGTATTAGCAGCGCTGCATTTCGGTTTGGAAACAGAGAAGACATACCTAACGCAGAACCAGAATGGCAACACTGACCCCGTAAAAGATATTGTGAATACCTGTCCACACACACCAGCAGTGTCGACTGTGACTCACATCGAAGATCGCTGTAAGGCGACATCCTGGAGGCAAAGGCTTGACCATCACAAAATGCAACTCGCTGAATGGGCGTTGATAAGGGACCTTCTAAGTGCGAGAACACCACTCACTCGTCCACGATATGGCCAGCACTCTCAAAGTCAACAGGATAGATGACTTCATCATACCCATCCTCCTCGTCACCATCCAGATCTTTAGTCTGACCACCGTGGCCAGAAACTTTTAGAATTGTATCAGCCGACACCGGTACGCCAGGAAGAAAATTGTGGCTTACAGTGAAAGAAGAGAGAATCATTAGGATGAGCATCACCCACAAGCCATTGCATGGCGCGCAACATGTTAGCTCTGGTTGGCTGTTGTGCAGGATTGGCGGCATCGTCAGTAAGCATGACTATATCATCTGGTTTGTAACCATATTTCCCTGTTCACCGCATGTGTCTGAGTTAGGCTCCTCTGCGCGACTATTAAACAACGAAACATACTGCAGAGAAATTGCTGGACATTTGTGGCATCGTTGATACACCCCTTCAGCTCTGCTTGCTGACCAAAATAGTTGATCCCGACCTGTGCACCCCTGCGTTGAACGGTGTATCCCAATACGACAATGGATATACTTACACAGAGAGCTTTCTTACGACCATTACACTGAGAATATTGGAACCAGTTTTGCTGCCGGCCATTCTCGTACGTCGGGCCGTAGGTTTGGTTCCCAGAAGGTGGCATACCTTTTGTGACCACAGCGAGTGTTCAATTTACACATGATCAGGGACTGGGATCTTGAGCTTACGAGGAGCAGCAAAGTGTGCAGCCTGCTGAGCTTGAGCCGGTGGTGAAGGATAGTACCCTCCATGTTGCGGCTGCTGGTGCCATTGTGCGCCGGGATATCCAGGTCCACTAGGGAACCTACAGAGAGCGATTAAGACGCGGTGCGCAGATTCGTTCCGATCGCGTCGCTCACCCATGGCCCCCTGTCGGGGTTGGGAATCCATAAGGACTGCCTCCCCATCCAGGTTGCTGGGGAGGTCCTGGAGGGGGACCATAACCTCCGCCACCATGGTGCCTATGGAAGACGGAAATAAATGCGTGCAGGAAACGTCGTCAACAATGCTGGGACTGACGGAGAGGGGAAGCTATATCGAAGGATGAGGATAAGTTCTGAGGTACAATACCCGATCATACGAGTAGGGCTACTCACCCGTAGCCACCATTCTGACCAGTGTTCCAAGACATCCTGATTACGCTAGAGAAGAAAAAGGGGTCGAAAAAACCGAGGGAAAGCTCAGCTAAGAACAAGTGCTTTTTATAGATTGTGAACCCAGGAACTAGTACAGCTGAGCAGCCGCCAGCTGCACCGCCTCCAGGATCCCACGCTGTGCTAAAGTGAATTGTTACAAAAGCTCGCAAGCTCGGCCAATTACATGAGGGGATACTTGCTATTACAGAGACAAATATTTTAGGAGTTCATATGGGGAAAAAAGTCACCAAGTGTCATATCAGAGGAAGGGACACAGAGTCATATTCTCAGTCTAAAGAGCACTGCATTTAATGGTGACAACGCTAGTTGTCCCCAAATTGTCACCAAATGTGATCTCGTTGCCACTGAAGGAATCTTCCTCGCCATCGGACGCAACGATATGAGGCTTATGGATGAATGCGGATAGTCTTCGTCCATAAACGCAGCTGTGCAAACAAAGTAGACATTGGGTGAATCCCATCAGAGAACAAAGCTGATTAACCACGAAACATACCCCGAGTCTAACCCTTTTGTCCAGGGTCTAATGTCAAGGCCCCGAGACGCCCAATGACCATAAATAACAGTGAAGGGATGACAGGGCAGTTTCGTGTTTCCTCAGTCTTGGTGCCCGGGCGGGCCAATAAGGGAACTTCTCGCGCAACGTCAAGTTCTTCCTCTGGTGCACACGGAAAGCTTGTAGCAAACCCTTCGCACTTCTTCAGGACCATATTCCAGAGGTCGGGCCATGGAATACCCTCATCACCACCACGTGTGATGGTCCCATCGTTTAGAATAGAGCGGATGTTCATTACGTTCCACGGGACGGTATTTTGAGGACTAGGGAGAAACGTTGTCGACGACGGCAATGGTCCAGAAGACTGTCTCACATACATCTCAGTGACTACAGCCATTTCCTGCATTGAACGGAGCAAGGTGATATTTGGTGGAGAGCGGGGCTCTGTCTCGTTCGAACGGTCCGGCACCTTCGCAAGTGGTTGTTTGTGGGATTTGATGGATCGCACAGGATCCATAGGCAAAAGACCCCCATGGACGATATGAGCATTGAACGGAGCTAGATGAAGAATCTAGACCTCGTGAATCAGTAAACCATCTCACTTCATGCAAAAACACTCGTACAATAGGCAGATTTACAAGGTACTGGTACTGGCGATGGCTCATTCTCCTAGCTAAATCCCAGTGGTTCCCACCCCAGTCCCAACCATGGGATATGAAGTCTCGGGGGGTGGCTTTCTGGATGGAAGCCGACCAAAAGGATCGTTACCAGCGTAACGGCCAACACTTTCCCCATCATGGTCCAAGAAGACATTATGAGACTCAAGCCACTCGTTCCCCTTTGGTCGGGAGCCGATCCACTCAAAATATGCCCTCCATTCAATGATGGGTTGGTCTTGATTCCCTCTCACGCCTAAAGGGAACGAGTGTTCGTATTCTAATAAGCGAGACAGAAGTAGGAAACGTCTGACCCAGGGTGTTGTTCTCCGTAAATTTTGAGAGTAGTGCCAAAGCCTCGGGAACCGGGCCCTTTGCGATAATGTCTCCGGTGTGGATAAATACATCCCTCCTATGATTGAACTTAATCTTGGAGAGAAGATCACTGCAGTGTAAGAGGACATAAACACAGGTCATCCAATTTGAAAATGAAGGCATGATCCAACTTACCGGAGCGAACTGTGCATCCCATGAATGTCGCCAACAACAATCAGCCTGCCATGTTTACGATAAAACGAGCGTTCCTCGAATGTCAGAGAACGCAGCATTTGCTTGTGCATCGAAAAATCAGGAAACTTTGGTTCTAGTGTGCTGCGTCAGCAGTGCAGTAGCAACTGACAAGGGTCAACTCAACTGTGCGTAACACTGCATCCTGAAGGAAGGCAATGCCATCGTTAACAGCTGCATTGGTCCCCAGCACGCTGTGGTATCGGGTCTTCAAAAAAATGTGGGAAAATAACGTGCCGAAAAAGGCGAAGACGATCGCAGTAACTGCGACAGCTCGAAGCCACCTAAATCCTGACATAGCCGGAGGACATTGCGAACGCAGTAAAGGGGCTACCTCGCCGCGCTGAATGTCTCGACGAACGGCAAAGCCAAGAGACACCATCGACATGGGTGGTAAAAGGGTCAGACCCTAGGCGAGCTAAGCAGAAACATGAATGGAACATCACCGCATGTGCTGGTGGTTCATTGAATTTGTGAGACGTGCCCCAGTTTTTTTTTTTTTTTTTTTTTTTTTCATTTTATTTTGGTCACGTGATCAAAGATATTTGACTCATCTTTGTCGCCTAATTCGCACCGGCGGCTTGGCAAACTTTTGTCTCGATCTTCACCCCTGACTCCACTCTAGTCCCCACTGCACCAACGACTGCATCCTCTGGGGTATCTCACTCATGGCACAGAAAATACGGGAAGCTGACGATCTTCTCATGCACATTCCAAAAGAAGGGAAAACGGTGTACGTGCATTATACGCGAAAATCGCGCGTATCAAGTGTTGGGACTTACTCCTTATCGATGACAATAAAGTCTCCCTATTGAAGGGGAACGTAACATCCTCATAACATCGGCTCTGCCTTACTGCAATAATGTCCCACACTTGGGTACGTCGCCGGCTCCCTTGGATCTCAGCCAGGAGTTGAGCAAGTGGGTTAGGGAATCTGATCGGCAGCTTGCTGAGTGCAGATGTATTTGCACGGTACGCAGCGTCTTAGTGATGATCGATTTGATCTTGTGTTGATGAGCCCGTTTAGCTATAATCGTCAGTATATTGTTTTCGTCGTCGCGCCATGATCCTGAACCATTTGAAGGTACGAGAAACCGGAAGACATTCTATGTTTGTGGTACCGATGAGTATGGAACTGCCACCGAGACACAGGCCATCAAGGAAGGGTTAAGCCCTAAGGAGCTATGCGATAAATATAACGCCCTTCATGTCGAGACATATAATTGGTTCGAGATATAGTGAGTTTTGATTCACTCTGTAGTTGCGCGTGTTAGCAATTGCGGTTTGGGGACGTAGCTTCGACTATTTCGGTCGCACGTCGACGCCGGAACATACCCAGCAAGTATTCAGTTTTTTCCGGTGTATAGTCACTCACAGCCAATGCCAGCGTCTGTCAAGAAGCATATTTCCATTTGAAAGCCAACGATATGCTTGAAAAGCAGGTCAAGCCGCAGACATACTGCGATGGATGTGACAAGTAAGCATTCTCAATCTCGCGCCGTATCAAACACTCACGTTTATATTCATAGATTCCTCGCGGACCGATTTGTTGAAGGGACATGCCCCAATTGCAAATATGAAGTACGTAGGCAATTCTTATTCTACAAGAGCTGATGGTTGATATTTAGACGCCAGGACGCTCGTGGTGATCAGTGCGACCAATGCTCACGGACCCTAGACGCCGTTGATCTCATCAACCCGCGTTGCCTCATCTCTCCGAAGACCCACACGGTGACAACTCGTCCTTCATCCCACATGTACGTCAAGCTAGACCAAATTCAGCCCCAGCTAGAAGAATGGATTAAAAAGAGCTGGAAGGAAGGAAAGTGGTCGCCAAACTCAGTGATTAATGTCGATGGGGAGATAACGGACGCAAGATTGAAGACCGGGTTGAGACCAAGCCCAGTGACAAGAGATCTCAAGTGGGGTGTTGAGGTTCCCACTATTGACGACAAGGACGAGGATGGTATGAAGGGAAAGGTATTATGTCAGTATATTTCACCATCGGTTGATGATACAGAAGTTAATGGCTTGGTTCTTATTTAGATGTCTGGGTAGGTTGACATGACCTCCTCAGGTGCCAGATTCCGCCTCATATCTTTGCAGTTCGATGCTCCATTTGGCTATGTCAGCATGACCGCAGGATACACCCCGGAATGGAGGCAGTGGTGGTTCAATCAGAAGAATGTCCAACTCTACCAGTTTATGGGGAAAGATAATGTCTATTTCCATACAGTGTTCTGGCCGGGTGTCTTAATAGGCGACGGCCGAGATTGGACACGATTGCATCATGTTTCCAGTACCGGTACGTACCCGAACACGCATAGTTTCTTTTGGCCTGTATTCAGTGTTGCCACAGAGTACCTCCAATACGAAGCGGGAAAATTCTCAAAGTCGCGTAATATCGGAGTTTTTGGACCTGGTGCCAAGGAGACTGGAGTTCCCGCATCAGTCTGGAGGTTCTACCTAGTATCAGCGCGACCAGAGACCGCAGACTCTACCTTTTCCTGGAATGAATTTGTAAGCCCCTTCCTTGCATTGCTTCACGTTTCTGATGCTGTCCCAGATTGCCATCAACAATAACATATTGCTTAACAAGTGAGTGAGGATAACCGATGGACGATCGCGCTGATGGCAAATTCCGCAATGCAGCTTTGGCAATTTCGTCAATCGAGTGTTAAAATTCGTCGTGGGCAAGTTCAAGGGTGTCATTCCTGAGTCAGCGGAGGAGTCAGGACCCTTGAAGGAGGACGATTTGGATCCTACGTTCGTCCTGAATGTCAACACGCTTCTCAAGGAGTACATTGACTCCATGGAAGCTGTGAAGCTTCGTCATTCTCTTGGTGTCATCATGGCCATATCAGCGCGGGGCAACGAATATCTTCAACGAACTAAATTCTTCGATCTCTTCAAGACAGATCGAGAGACTTGTGCCCGTGTGACTTCGAGAGCTCTCAACTTGATTTGGGTGCTCTCCGCTCTCGTTCATCCATTCATGCCTTCAACAACTACCTCAATCTTGAAGCAGTTGAACGCACCTGCTCGGACAGTACCTATAGAGCTCTCAAACGACCTTCTGGCGGGGCACACCTTGGGGGAGCCAGAATATCTCTTCAAGAAGATAGACGAGAAGTGTGCGGATGTATGGAGATCCAGATTTGGCGGAGTCCAGGCTGCCGCGGCTGCGGTTGAAGTGGTTGTGGCAGACAAGACCTCGAAGAAAGACAATAAGAAGAAGAAAGGTGAAGCAGGTACCGTTGAACTCCACGAGACCCAAGCCAGGGTCATAAGCCCAAAGTCAAGAGAAGTCATCGAGCTTGAGAAGCAGATTCAAGTGCAGGGTGATAAGGTGCGGAGAATCAAAGCTAGAACTCCGCTAGAGGGTGATGAATCATTCGAGGACGCGCTGGAAAAGTTGAAGAAGTTGAAGTTGGCGTTGCAGGAGGTTGGATAAGTGGTTAGATGCCTGTTTTATTGTTGCATGCCCAATTTGTAATGCCTTGTAGATGCACGCGGAATGTTCAGGTTGACACTATTCATTTACAGCAGGCGCGCGCTAAAACCAAAAAGGTCTATCTACTGCGGTCACGATGATTGGGAACGGAAGGCCACCCTTGTCGTTGTCTTATTCCTCCGAGAGATTGCCTTCTGATCGAGTCGTCTCGCCATCTTCTTCTCGAAACCCCATATCTCTAAGGCTCTACAAAGCGCTTTCCTCCACATTTCATGACTCTGTATCGCGAGAAGCTCTGCAAACTCTTGATGCGTACTATGTGGACCCTTCCCAGCAATCTACATCTACCAATGGAATACTGAAGGACATCAAGGGCGCGGACGTAGACGACTCCTCCAGCGATGACGAAAACATCTTTTCGTATCCTTTCGCCCACTCACGCAGTGCAGACCCAGCGTTAGCCGAACATGCGCGCAAAAATCTCAGGAGGGATGTTGAGAAACAACTTACAAGCAGCAGCCGGAGGTTCCTTGAGGCTTTTGGAGAGGTCGATAAAGTAGGCATCTGGTCATTCCATTGAGACTGTCATGGCTCTAAGTCCTGAAAGAAACTCGAAGAACTGCAAGCCCAAATGCACACAATGATGGCACGCTGTGATCAGGCCCAGATGAGCTGAATAAGACGTCTGATTCGTGCAAATATTTATTGGACAAGGCTGGTGGACTGCGTAGCCAACGGTGAGCGTGTTCAACCCGCGCCAAGGTTTCGCATCTCACTTCAAGGAATAATAACAGTCAGCTTACCGCCGCTCGCCAATCAATAATTACTGCGTTTCTCTCTCGATTTACCCTTTCAGACGCCGAGGTCGAAGCCATCACATCGCATGATGTTCCAGTGGGGAAACAACTGTTTGCGGCCATGGACAGGGCTGAGACTATTCGAGGAGACTGTAGGATTCTCTTGAGTGGAGATGCAGGGGTAGGGGAAAGTGCAGCCAGCACCGCTGCAGGGTTAGTTTGCGAGTTCCATCGCACTTGTTTTGACGCGCTAATTGGACACCCTGGCCCCGTCAGAGTCGATATCATGGCACAGACAGCGGCCCAGCTTGATGTTGCATATGCCAAAATCCAACGGTGGTGCTCATTTGAGTTCCACAAACTTGGAAAGGACGTGCATTTGGAGGTTCAACCAGTTCTGTGCGAATCAGTGAAGCGTCTTCGCGTCAACCGGCCAGAAGCTCTCATGTAAGCACTGTACATTTTGTGGTGTTTTCACGTCATTGCTCAATCTGTAATTAGCGAAGCGCTTTCAGAGTTAACAGCGGCTCGTCAAACCAGCATCCTAAATTTGTTTATGATAGCTCTTACCCGAGGAGGTCCATCAGGGCACCCACGTCCCATTGAATTGCACGCCCACGACCCATACGCTACGTTGGTGATATGCTCGCTTGGGTACATCAAACCATGGCTAGCGAAAGGGAGTTTTTAGAGCTCTTTTTTTCGGAGTCGGCATCCGGGAAGAAAGTAGCGAGGAACCGAAGCGGCGCATGGTTGGGAGCGTTTGGGTCCGGGATGGAGAGGAGAAGAAAGATGCAGCAGGCACTCCTATCGATGCTACAACATGGGTAACGGAGCTCATGAACAGTAACTTAGATAAGCTATCCGCTCCTCTAAAGGTAGTTGACCTCCAGTTGATCGCTTGGTGGTTACTTAATGCAATGTGTTTCCTAGCATCGTGTCCAACAAACCATTAGATCCCAAGAAGGCAGCATAACAGCGTACAAGATCACGAATCTGCTTCAATTTTATTACCTGACCATGCAACGTACGTTGGGCCAAGCGTCACGTCTAACACGCACATTGAAAGAGTGAGCACCAGAGCTCAGATGCCAAAGACATACCGCCTGATGTTGTTTTAGAGTGACAGAGGTATCTCATAAAGTGTTCTTAGACACCATCGAGGCTCAGGGCCGGAGCATGCTTCGCTATCTACAGGTAAGACCGAATGACTGTCACTGTCACCATTTACCCTGCTTATTTTTGCAGCCACCCAACTCAGACCTCCTTCCTCCCCTGCCCCTCCGAGATTTTGCTCAGGTTCTTCGTGAGATCATGACCATTTATTCATCTTCGCTGCTTGAAGATGATCTCCCCAACTCAAAGCGCGAACAGGATAAACTCAGAGAAGGGTTTGAGCGCATGCTTGACGCTGCCATCGACCCTTGTCTTGAGATGTGCAAACGGATGTCTGAGTTGAAAAAAGGTGCTACTGTCTGGGAAAAAGAAACATTCCTGATTAATTGCAGCACCTTCCTTGAGGTACGTTAATATGCATTACACCAGACATAGTATTCTAAAAAGGAGCAATTGTAGTCCTTGTTCCAGCCCTTCGACTTCGCCCGAGGTAGGGTGGCCAAGCTCGACGGGCTAATCAACGGGCATGTTGAGCACCTTGTTCAGGAACATGTGAGTTGGCATCTTCCTCGCCATCCTCGTTTCTCAATGTTGTACAGTTCACGACCCTCCTCCGTGAGAGCGGACTAGCTCCAATCAGCGAAACACTAGCTACTAAGCCAACCGAGGTACGCAAGCTTCTAGTCGCAATGTTAATTCCCTTGCTTATACATATGTGTATAGACTCCTTTATCATTGATGCCAACAGCCTCTTCGACGGCACTGACGAGTGCCCTTGCTCATTTTGACAAATTCCTCTCGTCTCCCACTCTGCTCACTTCGTCCCATTCGCCTAACCTTTCACTCATTTCTTCACCTCGACTCTCGAGTTTGATTCACCGTCAGACACTCGAAAGGCTTGGTGAAGCGTACCATGCCATTGTCCAAGCGGTTCGGGACCCGAGAATAAGTATGAATTTTCCAGCACTGTGTTGGGTGCAAAGCGACCCTTTGGACAAATGAACGTTCTTTGGCAGGTTCTGGGAATTGAGAAAGCTACATAAACCATCCATGCTCAACATGATATTCGCTTTGCAACCGTTGAAATGCTAATAGATAACACGACCATGACAAATGATATATCGGCTTCCCACGATTCCAAGCATGTACATGATTAGTACGGACTTGATAACGTTATCATTCTTGGGACGTTGACATGCCCATATAGATCCATACTCCTCCCTGTTTGAAAATGAATGTTAGTTTCTCTCCGGATCAAAAAGGCGCGGGTGCGAACCTTAGCATACAAGGTAATTGCGTTCTGGGGCCACACCTGTTCACACGCAGCACGACCACTTAAGTTTTTCCAAAACTCAGGAGGGAGCGCACCCTCGGGAGCATCCTGCTTTTGCCGAAGTTCAAATGTGTCAAAGTTTTGAAGAAGTTTGACCATGACTACAATTTAGATGTCAGTATTGCCATCGTAAAAGTCTTCCTTCACACGTGTCCGCGCACCAAAACTGGCTTCATTGTAAGCAAAGTTCTATCATGCCATCAGCGGAATAAGACAAACATGATGACATAGCGATCAGACACTCAACTTGTCCCAAGCAAATCCTGGGGCCTGCATTGAAAGGTAAGAATCTGAATGGATCCATGGTCAATTCCCGAAGGCGCTTCGCATCAAGCCATCGTTCCGGTAGGAAATCGTCTGCATCTTCTCCCCACAGATCTTTCCTCCTATGCATGAGCAAGGTGGGATAGGAGATGCTGGCATGAGGACCAGGCATGTAAAAAGGCCTTTCCAATGGAGACGCGCGAGGAAGAGTTGTAGCTTTGACCGATGCGCGTGCGTTGTATGGAACTGGCGGGAAGAGACGAAGAGTCTCGTTCAAGCATGCACGCACTGCAAAAAAAAAAAGTTATGATGAAAGGGATTCATATGTTGTTCCAAGGGGGACTTACAATATTTCAGATTACGCATGTCTTCATACGACGGAGATTCCTTCGGAAGCGAAGTCAAAATCTCCTCACGCAGTTTCTTCAGTACCTCGGGATAAATTGCAAGGAAATAACACATAAAAGTCAACAGGCTAGCAGTCTAGTGACGACGAAGAACAGGTTACAGCATTGACTTTGAAAGTTGGCACTCACGCACCGTATCACGAGCAGCAAGCAAGATATTCATCAGTTCATCCCTAATGAGTTTCACATCCGTCGTAGATTCGGCCAAATGGTCCGTCAATGAGCCTTCTTCCAAGGTCAGCCCTTTCCCGGCTCGCATCTTCTTATTTTCAAGAGCCTGCGTAATAAGAGGCGCGATCCACGCGTCAATGGCTTCGTTATGCTCTTGCGTAGAGTCTTTGAACCATTCAAAGAGAGGCCACAGTGGACCAACTCGAAATCGATGGATTATCGAGACCTGAATTTGTTCGAAAGCGCGTACGAATCCTGAATAGGTTCCTACGGCGACGGTATCATCTGGCTGCGTGCCCTTGGGCCCAAGCTTCGAACGTTTAGCGGAAGGAGGCAGTGGGAGAGACAACGTTTGAAGATCAGTTGTGCCAAAGAGGAACTCTCCAGCAGCATCAAGAGTCAATCGTCCGAAGAGGTCCTGAACATCAAGAGACTCATTCTGGAGAGAACGATGCTGAATAAGGGATATAGCTATGTTCGAATACTTGGAGAAGAGATCATAATCACGGACACGCTCTCTAGCTACGGATGTACCATGTGAGAATAGTTAGGGTTTCATGAGTCATGAAGCTGACGAACCGAAGAATGGGCGCGTCAAAGCCCTATGAGCTTTCCAGTCCTCCCCATCATTGTTAAAAATCCCATCGCCAAATAAACCGAAGAGACTATCCGAGTGTGATTATAATACATTCTCCGAGTCATGAGTATGATCAAGACCACAAACCGAACTTTGAACAGAGGCCCTTCTCGAAATCGATGAAATTTGTGGCGAGAATACTCTGAACAATCTGCGGCTCGCGAGTCAGAATGATGTCACTCCACAGAAGACGCAAGTTAATTGTGTCAGCATTGAGCTCCTCAAAACGCTCTTCATCGTCAGAGAGAGGATAGCCTTCTCTGGCACAGCGAAGAGAGCTGCAGCGCCCTCGATTGTTAGCTCACCCCGTCCCAATCAGGATGGCACATCGACGTACCGGAAAATTATATCAATGTTCCCAGGCAAGCGCCCCTTAACTTCAGGTACGAGAACAGCGCCTCGCCTACGTGCATCGAAGCGTTGGTAGAGTCTCTCAGACTGGACCACAAAGGTGGCCCAAATGAGAGAAACGAGAAGGTAGAAGAAAGGGGCAAAGAGAGCATCGAGTGGGCCTAAGAAGAACCGAGAAATGAAGTAGGCAATGAGTAAAGGAGGTGTAAGTAGACGAGCCACAGATTTCGCAAAAAAGACCCGATAATTGGTTTCAAACATCAATTCTCGTGCGTAGTGAGCAAACGTTGACTGCAAAGAATTGACTTCAACAAAATGTTAGGCTATTGTCCTGGCGTCAGTGCCAGGGCAGACCTAATATGGAGGTCGCAGCGAGGGCTTTTATGCATGTGCTATTTTTGCAGGTCAGATTTGAAATGGATGCCAGCGGGACTTTAGGCTACCCGAACTGCCGTTTAATACCGAATTTACCCGGAAATGAGACAGCAATGAGATAGCACTCTATACTGTAGGACAAAAATCAGCAGGGAGGACACTCGTTCCCGCAACAGCATCGGTCAGAAGCAGACAGAATTGCACGACAGCTACCATTGCATTCTCAGCTATCAATGCATGAGAAAGATCTTCCGCTTTCGTTCATGCATACAGAATATGACGGCCGTGACGGGACTGCTGGCCGTGAAATCAACGCTGGTGCCTGTGTTTAGTCCTTCCCTGTGCGCATTGCACTCAGCTACATTCCCGTGGCAAACCCGCATCCTTAGTCTACACCGAACTTGCCCCGGGAGATGAGGCAGCACTTGATACTGTAGAGAAAAATAAGCTGGAATGATAGCACTTATTCCCGCAATAGCATCGGGAATCGCGACAGCCACCATTCTCAGCTGTCTATGCGTACATGTACTTCAATTGAGACAAGTATATACAAGTTAACATTAAAGCATGCAACCCTGGCAGTCTCCTGGCCGGCATACATGGGAAAGGATAAAGAAGTGGAGTAAAAAGTGGAGGTGAGATGCCCGCCCCGCGGTCGGAACACTTTTATTTTTGGCAAAGCATATGTGTGCAGCTGACTGCATTTGCTCAATTGCCTCGGCACACTGTGGAGGGTATCAGAATAAACCGAGGTTCCTCACAGCTAGGTGTTCGCCGCGCAATCAAGCACGCAGCCAAATTTTGTAGTGGTGATACAGGTACAACAATTACAGGTCCAGGCAAATCATGCAAACCGACCACGCCTTTCATGCAAAATGCCAATTTTTTTGTGAGACAACAGCCTCAATCAGCCTCTCAACTGATGCCGAGGCGAACAATTGATCAGAAATCGGCGCTGTCGGGAGAACACCCACGCCATTTCCTCCAATACTCGTCAGGTATGGTACGAAACCTGCTTCGCGAATGCATTCAGCAAGGAATCGGAAGACTTTGATGAGGTGTTAAAATCTAAAGAGACATTTGGACAACCGTAAGCCTAAAATCGGATGAGCGTGACCAAGCTTACCATCTGGAAGTAAAGTAACGGCGCAGCCTCCCCCTCCAGCCCCAGTCAGCTTTGTGTGGAGACCAAATGGAGCCACGCGGAGAGATTTCGAATGGCTTCCAACGCGGGATGCGAGACCCCCAACGAAACCAAGTGCGAATGATTTCGTCAATGAGGTCCTCCAAAGAAGAGAGTAATGCCGATCGAGGTAGGCATGACGGATCGGTGGCCAGCAAGATTTGTGCGTTGTCACTGATCTGCTGGATAGAGCGTAAGGCGGGTAGGACCAATTCCGGCTCCTAAAATTATGACAAATACAGATCCGAAAACACACGAGAGATTGACCACGCTTACTTTTTGCTTCAGCAATGCTACACCGTAACGAGACTCTTCGTGTCGCGGGGCACTTTCGAGTCTGTCAGGAGGAAGTTGATCGACTTGAAGCTAAGAAATTTGTTGACAGTCAGTAACAACTGCGTGAAGTAACAAGGCACTTCACCCCGAAATTTTTTCCATTCCGGCTTCTCTCGTCCTAATCTCGCCTAGAGGGTCAATGTCCCTCGTAAACGCTAATGCCCCTCCATATGTAGCGACCGAATTGTCGACTCCAGATGGGTTACCGTGCAGAACCTTTTCGCTGACGAATGCCCATCTGTTCACCTCGTCGGTGAATGCCTGAGGTAGATTTGAAGATCCAATCTCCAGAGAACGTTCCGAAGTTGCCGGAGAAGAGGCGGTGGTGTTAAGAGACTGGGATTGTGGGGTGGGGAGAGAAATCCGATTGTACAGTAGCAGCAGTGACGTTGCCACGCAAACAGAGTAGGCAGCTGATGACCCAAGGCCGGCACCGATGGGCAATGCAGAACGAGCAGCGAAGGTGAAAGAAGGCCTGTCAAGCAGAATAACTCCATATGCTGCCCCCGATGATGTAAGTTGGCACTCACCTCTGTTTATCAGTGCTCAACGACAGGTACAAATACAGGAACGCCGTGATGGCTGCACGCAGCGATTTGCTTTTTGGATCGGTGCCCGAGGCAGCAGATGGTATGCTTTGTCGCTCGATAGCCTCCATCAGATCCGAGTCGAGTGCGCCATCAAGACTTCCTTTTGCAGACGGGACGTCGCTCCAAGGCAAATCCTTCTCAACATCCCACTCATGTTCGAAACCATCGAGATCGGGAAGCGATAAATGCAATTTACCATCTTTCTGGGAGCGACACGACCATAGAAACGAAGATCGACAGACGCTGCAATGGCAGTCTGTCACATACGCCGGTCGGGTAACGTTCCGGTCCCAAGAAACTTCAAGACTTACCACTCCATACACGACCGCATGTTCCCCGAATAGTATAACCTTTCCAGGGGCAGAAACCATGAACTCTCCCAATGCACGAAGATCGCCCTTTTCAGAGGATGAGAATGTGCCTCTTCGGCACTGAGGCTCAGATCCCCAACACCATTAGTTAGCTTCGCCAGAGCGTTCCCAACAAGACCACCAAACTCAGATGGGTCCTTGAACCGCCTAAAGGCCACGCCACCCTGTGGCAGTGGAACTTGTGTAATCGCACCTGCCTCAATGAGCGCGAATTCTAGGTCTTCTATGAGGTCGTCAGCGTCTTCAATACCAACACACAAACGAATAAGGTCTTCAGGAAGACCTCGAGCAGCGCGAACGGCAGGATCGATGGATGCATGGCTGATTTCATGAGTGAACTTAATGTGGCGCACTCCCAAAGGGAGAGATGGTGTTGAATACTTACGACATTAGGCAAGGCATACTAATCAAGCTGTTCACAGCCCCGAAACTAACGCTAATGCCCCACAGTCTGGTAGCACCGACGATTCTCTCGCTCAACTCTTTGTCCCCAGTGATGAAACTCAGGACTGCGCCCGTCCCATTCGCCAGTCGCTCGTGAATACTGCGTCCAGGATGGTTCGGAAGACCAGGGTAGTGTGTAACGAAGCCGAGATCGTGTAAATATGACGCAACGCGCATCGCGGTGGTTTGTTGACGATCCATGCGGATCGCAAGGGTCTTGATCCCCTTAATAGAAGGAACGAATCGAAAGGGCTAAGACCATTTCCGATCGAATTAATCACATTGGCCAATTGCTAAGGCAAATCAACATCTGAGTGTGGAATTGCGAGGTATCTGACTTGAATGTACCTTGGCCAGGTCATCTCTATTGCAGGCAATCACACCAGCCATGAGATCATGATGGCCACTGAGATACTTTGTAGCACTGTCATAGACCAAATCAGCACCATGCTCCAATGGTCGCTGCAAGTATGGGCTCATCATAGTATTATCTACAACTACTACGGCATTTGGAGCCCTTTCCTTAACGTCTCGGGCAATCTGAGCCAGATCCACATTTTGAGAAGTGGGTTTGTTGGACTTTCCAATAATACTAAAGTTGTCTTCGAGGTGATCCATGGAATGACAGATTTTGTATCGGTGGTATCGACATGATGAACAACGACCCCCATGTGGGTTTTTAGGTATACAAGAAGGCGGTTGGTTCCCCCGTACAAGTCGTCACCGGCGATGACTTCGTCCCCGGGCTTAAGGAGCCGGGTGATAACGTCCAACGCTGCCATACCGGACGAGACGGCGAATGCATGACGCGCAGATGATATTTTTGCAATATGGTGCTCTAAGTAGTCCCGGGAGGGGGGAGTGTAAATGTTACTCCGACTGAAAATCGTGTGATGCCCATGGCAAAAACCCACCAAGGTGGCTGCGAGTCGGGTTTCCACTTCTCGTATAATCATACTGTCCATCCATGCCTTTGAACGTGGCAGATTGATATATTGGGACAGAGCTAGCATTGTACTGATCTTTTTGCTCAGGGTTTTCAACAGTTGCACATAAAGTCGAAAAATGATATCTTCGAGTCCTGAATCCTGCAGGAGAGTCAGGCAGTGGTGTTTCTGAGTCTAGGAAAGACATCTAAAGACAATCGGCCTTAAAGCCAGAGTATTTTAGCTAGTCCTGAGGCTGTTTTCAGCTCCAATCAAGAAACGACTTTGGGTGCTAGTGGTTGTTGTCCTGGGGGTACAATCGCGAGATGGCGTGACTTGGGGCAATTCAAAGAGGTCGGTATTCCATTTTTGGAGATAACGTGACCATATTTTCCGCTAACACACCCAACGTCATGGATGACACGCTTGAGCGCCAAATCTTCGGTGGTTCTGATTCTGAACTTTCCTCAGAAGTTGGTGAGTGTGTTCGTCCGTAGTGAGCCGACATTTGCTGAATTTACATTAGAGGACATCCCCGAACAACGCTACGATGACCAGCCTTCGTTCCCCCCCCAGTTACCCTCGTACCCAGAAGACCATGAGGGCTCTGACGCAGATGATGAGTACAAGGAGGAGCCGAGAGCATTACCAAAGTTTAAGAAAAAACAGCGTGATGATGACATTGAAGCAGACCACACTGAAGTCCCTCGACGGAGGAAAAACAAAAAGAACCGCATCAGACGTGAGGAAGAGGTGGAGGAAGAACCAATCCCAGAAGAAAGTATGTCTCTCCCACTCGTCGTGACATGTGGTTGACTAATTTCGTTCCAGAAAAAGAAAAGGATATCAATGATAAAATTGATGCTTTGGTGAAAAGCACCAAGGTCAGAGGAAAGAAGAGGAAAAAGGATGCCGATGAAGATGTAAGCTACAAGTTGTGGAAACCTCCCTTATTCGAGTCCTCCATCTCAACTAAATTGCCCAGGTAATGGATGAGGCGGCAGATGCGGAAGTTCTTCGCGTTAAGAAGGCTATGGAAGACGCTGCTCTTTCGGATCAGGAACACAATAAGGGGGGACGTCCAGCATTACGTAAATTCAAAATGCTGGGGGATGTCATGGAAGTTCTGCAAAAGTGAGCGAAGCAGATTAACACATTGTCCAATGTCTGACCACGTCGTGCAGGCAGTCGTTACTGCAGTCCATCATCGATCATAATTTCCTTGAAGCAATTAGACTCTGGCTAGAACCTCTAAGTGATAAATCACTCCCTGCACTCAATATACAACGCTCATTATTTGAACAGTTGAGTAAAGTGAGTGCTATGTCGACGACCACTGTTCATTTTTAATATCCCACCCGGACTCCCTAGATGTTCATTGATACAAACACGCTCAAGGATTCTGGGCTTGGGCGCATTGTCTTATTCTATACCAAACCTAACAAGCGCGTGTCACCGCAGATCCGTTCCCAAGCGGATAACCTTATTGCACAGTGGTCGCGTCCTATCCTTAAGCGGTCCGCTTCGTACAGGGACCGTCATATTCCTGTTGCCGAGGCTGACGCCCCAGCCGGTAAGCGGGTGGGAGGCGTCAGGTTGTCCGCGATTCTCGCGCAGGGGCGTGTGGAAGATGCAGGTCGCGTTCGGAAGAATGCCGTTCGCATTCCCGAGAGAACTCTGGCGAATTTCACGGTTGCTCCAAGAAGCAATATTAGCGGAAGCGTACTTAGTACTGGCTCTCCTCTTACTCCCGCCCAGAAGCAGCTGGAACTGGAGAGACGGAGAGCTCAGGCCGACAAATTGCGCCGTGTCCAGAGGAAGCTGGAGGCCAACAAGCAGCGAGCGGCGAGAATGCTGTAATCTATTACCATTACTCATGGACTATGTGTACTGTATACCATGTAATCATGACTCGTGTCCTGTAGCATCCTCACCAACACCATCTAGATTTGACCATTTCCAAACGTAGAAGGGGCTGTGCTCTTGGCCTCGGCACCGAACAATTCAAACGGACACTCCACTATTCCAATAGTAACCTGCCTACTCAACCTCCTAAGCTGAGATCCTGCCTATCTCCAACCCCATGGATACGGGTAAATGGCTCAACATTACAGAGGATGAGGATGAACTTGAGGACGAATACGTATGTTGCATCTGCAATGGGAGCTTCTGCGGGCCGCCCTCTCACTATGCCCTAGATCCTCAGTTCAACGAAAGACACAATCCTGTTCTGTATTGACGCATCACAATCGATGCAGTCCCCAATCGGTTCGAATGGAGCAGAGGCAGTAGAAATTGGGAAAAGAGGGAAGCGCGAAAGGCCAAAGAGTCACTTTTACCAGGCCCTCAAATGCGCTTTGGATATAATGAAAAGAAAGGTCGTCATTAGCCCAAATGACAGTCTCGGTATCCTGTTCTTCAATACCGTAAATTATAACTATCATCTCGAACATTTCCATTCCTCTTAACGTCCAATTCAAGGCAGAGAAGAAGGGCGAAGTTGTTATGGCGAACCACTATCTTTATCAACCAGTGTCTCAAGTGGGTGTTCCAGTTCACAGTATCACGTCGATACTCCGCTCAACATGCAGGAAAGCTGAACTCAGAGATAATCACTCGAATACAAGACTTGATTTATGGTGCGCACCTTTAATATTTTTGTACACAGATTTTTACTGTGCGTCTCCAGAGGCCGCTGACGACCCGGAAATACTTACAAAAAAATTTCAGCCCGTTGGTCCCAGGATTAATGTGCCAATTGGCGACGTATTCGCCTCGTGCAATCTCGTTCTAAGGGCAGGGTAAGTAGAGAAGCCTAATGCTATGGTTTACTTGGCGAATCTTTCCCTAGAGCACCAAAGACTTCCGTGAAGAGGATTTTTTTCATTACTAATGAAGACGATCCTAAAAGTTTGGAAGGCCCGGCAACGAAACGGCTGGAGGTGAGCGGTCTAGGTTTCTCGTTTTAGCATTCAATGAGTTCACCGAAAAATTAGGACTTGGCGGCCCAAGGCATTGCAATGGTGCCATTTTTCATCAGCACGGAAGAGAAGCCTTTCCTTATCACGAAGTTCTACTCTGTGCGGCTCAGCTATTCCTTCATTCTGGTTGATCCGGCACTTACCCTATTATAAGAATGTGCTCTCCATTGGACTCGAAGATGATGGTGCTTCACCCTTCACATCAGTGTGCGAAGGATTCGAAGGAGTAATTAATGAAATGCGAGTTCGAGAGATGCCCAGGCGTGCAATGTGGAGTATCCCGTTGGAGATAGCGGAGGGACTTACGATCGGAGTGAAAGGGTAAGGGTTTGCATGACATCCGTTCCGATCCATCTTATCCGCACACTCCAGTTATGGTCTTGTTACTGAGCAGAGAAAACCTCAATATAAGTACGTTTGGACCCAGGGGGGCACAACAAAGGAGGTCCTATCTAGAACAGTTTACACTGATCAGGTTTGTTTGTCCTATAAAGTACATTTTCCCAGACCAATGAATATGACTATAACAGGACCAGCAAACGGAAGTGAAAAGAACTAAGATATTCTATGGTGTTAAGATGGGTGACGGAGTTGATTTTGGGTTGGAAGCCTCGCCAAAGCTCGCAATTGAGGGGGAAGACGACAGTGAAACAGAAGACGAGGACGTAAAGCCAAGTCTAAAGAATTCAAGAGGACAGGGTCCCAAACCGAAGAAGGTACCGTCCCGATCTCCGAATCTGTCGGTTATCACTCATGAAGTGTTGGCAGGTTCTATTTACAGCCGAGGAAGTTAAGGAGTTCAGGACCATCGGCCTTTCTCCCGGTGCGATTCAGAACTAGATTTGCTGTGGGGATTCGTTCAAACATGGACATATCCCTTCACTAGGCGTGAAGATTTTAGGTTACAAGGATAAATCTGAGCTGCAATTTGAAGACAACGTGAAGCACGCCTACTTCCTCTATCCCGACGAATCGGTGGGTGATGCATGTTTGGCCCATTCGAATGATTATCCCAATCCTATATCCCATTAGAAATATATTGGGTCAACGAGGACATTCCTTGCGTTGTTGCGGACTCTAGTTGCGAAGGATAAAATTGCGATCGCTCGCGTGGTGATGCGGAGGAACATGAGCCCTGCGTTCTGTGCAATACTTCCCCAGGTTCCTAACTTCTAGCGCAAGGGCCTTCTATCGTTTGCTAAGTACTCTTTTAGGAAGAAGTGATTGATGAAAGTGGCACGCAGAAAGTTCCTCCAGGCTTGAACATCATTCAGCTACCCTTTGCCGACGAAATTAGGGAACCACCCCTAACCCAGTGCTATCGAGGTGAGCATTTGTTGATTGACAGGAAAAAATCAACACTACAGCAATAAGTTTATAGGCTCGGATGACTTGTCCGACGCCGCCGCTGCGATCATCAAGAAGATGACACTGAAAACCGGCTACCGGCCTGAAGCATTTCCGAACCCAAGTAACGAGCGATCGTGATGTCGAGGGATATACAGCACTCTAATCCATTGAATTAGGTCTTTCCCTTCATTACGCATTCCTGGAGGCAAACGCGCTCGCAACCGAATTCGATCCAGATGCTATTGAAGACCATACTCTGCCGAACTACGATATGATTCATGAGGTCAGCGTTCACTTATGATGCCAGGTCCCAGGTGTTGATTTGCGGACCACTCAGCGCGTTGGACCGCTGATGAAAGCATGGGGCGATCAATTAGAAAAAGAACGGAATGCCAATCTCATGTTCAAATCGAGCGCCGCCAAGGGTAAGAAGCGCGTCGCGTCAGAGGTGCGCCTGATAGCCCCTAATGAAAAATTTGGTATTCTCATGGCGCTCTTTGCAGGCGACGGAGGACGGCCCGGATGAGACAGAAATCCGCGCACGATTTGAGGCAGGAGAGCTGCGCAAGGCGGGTAGATTTCCCCCGAGTCTATGCAAATTACCTTGCTGATCTCACCACGTCCTTAGTTAACGAACCCAGTTCTAAAAGCATTTTTAAAGCATAAAGGAGAACGGGTGGCGTCCAACGCCACAAAAGACGTCCTAGTTAAGCACGTTACTGCCTGGCTTGACAGCCATCCGGGGAATTGAGCCACGCAATGCACTGTTACATTTGCGCCAATCCTTGACCCATGAATCCTCTGTCAATGTCCACAACACCAGTTTGTAATGCAATACTCTGAGCAAAATCATTCTCATGAGACTGGATAACATTAGGGGTGCCACGGTTCGGTTTGGTTCGGTTCTGGAGCGATTTTTTGAGAACTGGAACCGGAACTGGTTCGAAATTTGATGATAATGCCGAACCAGAACCGAACCAGTATGTGAACCGAACCGAACCATTATTTGGTTCTCTTGCGGTTCGGTTCGGTTCTGGAACGGTTCGAACCAACTTTGTTAAATGTGATAATTTCAATGAAATATTATATTTTCGGCGGAACATTCTAAGTGTCCATAATGAGGCCCACCCGCTCTGCGCGTTCTATCATGAGATTTGCGTCACAACCCTGCCACTCTCGGACCTTTGCTGCGTCTAATGCCTTCCTTGCCTCCCTCTCCTTGAAGTAGTTACGCTGCATATCGGCCTTCGCGATTTGAATAGCCCCGAGATGCTCGGGAGTGAGACGGTTCCGACTGTCAGTGTCACTGTGTTTAGCGGCAGAAAATGCCCTTTCACATGGAATAGAGGATGCTGGGACCGAGAGCAGATCTCGGGCGATGGAGGCTAAGACAGGATATGTAGCGCCTTTTTTCTGAAAATTAGTATAGATAAGTTCGAAGTTAAAGCATAGTTGAGACAAAATACTGGTGCCGCTCACCATCCAAAAGTCGAGGATGTCCTTTCCAGGCAGTTCAAGTGGGTCGTTGAGATAGCATTCAAGTTCCCCACAAGGATCATCGCTTGATACTTCCTGAGCCCGTCAAGCTTGGCTGGCTGCAAGACGGCGAGAGAGACCAGAAACTTCATCAGCTGAAGTGGCAACTGGCAGCGCATATACACCCTCGCCCTGGTTTTTTCCAGTTGTATTGAAGGCAGCAGACCGGGTTGCATATATGGAATGATACTCAAGAAACTGGTAATAGTCTGTGACAATCAACACTCTGGGAGATGAATGGCGCGACTCACAATGATGCGCACGCTCTCATTTTTCATTTGTGTGACATAAGATACTAGTAAGGTTTGGAGCATGACAACATTCCTACGGTTCTATGGTTCGGTTCGGTTCAGAACCGGTTCACATTTTCCCCCTAACTTAGAGAACCAAAACCGAACCATCAGAGAACTGGGTCAAAACCGAACCACGGTTCGGTTCCAGCATGGTTCGGTTCTCGGTTCGGTCCCGGTTCGAACCGGTTCTCTGAGAACCACGGCACCCCTAGATAACATCTGACGGTTATGTCTGCATGTCCTATCCTTGAGTGAAGTTAGGCTACAATTTTCAACCATATTGCCTTCCTGCAGTTCCCCAATCGCCCCGATGTTATCGGAGCGCTGGGCGCTAGCTCCATTGAGATTGAATGTTAATCCGATGGCGCAACCCGTCACATCACAGTCACAACCTCCACTTCTGTCGAACTCCCCTGCCTAAAGTCTGCGGGCTAAATATCCAGAATAAACAACGACAACAACAATCCACTCTGTCGATAGAAGCATGTCGAATTTCCATAATGGCGAGCCCCTCTTTGTTCTCCAGGACTGAGGCGACAAAGTTCTAAGATATCGTACCTTCTATGCACTAACGATGCACAGTCGAGTCACCCGATCAACTCACAGAGCTCCTCTCGCAAGATTTGGAGCGTGTTTCCTTGTTGAGCTTTTGGGCGCCATGGGCAGAGCCTTGCAAAGAGATGAACAAGCATGTCGAGGAGCATGCAAAACAGTACTCTGATGTTCTTTTCTTATCGGTAAGCATCACAACTCGTCTCGGCGTTGGGTTCTCTTAACTTTGCACATCTCATCAGATCGATGCCGAAGGCCAAGACGAAATCGCAGACTCGTTCGAAATAGAAGCAGTCCCGTCTTTCCTCCTCCTTCGTGTTTGTTCCCTGCTTCCATATGCGATTATATATGATGCTGAATGACTTTGGGCGTTTAGGGCCACACTCTTTTGCAGCGATTAACAGGCGCTGACAATAATGCACTAACCAGTGCACTTGCTCAGCATGGACGTAGGCCTATCAAGGCGCTTTCCCATACCGATAAAGCTCCCGCTGCCCCACCAGCTGTGCCGGTGAAGAAAGTTGAGACTCCAGAAGAATTAACAGCCCGTCTCACAAGGCTCATGAACATGGATAAAGCGGTACTATTCATGAAAGGCTCTCCCGATAAACCACAGTGCGGTTTCTCTCGCAGGATGGTAGCTTTACTCCGAGAGCAAAATGTTCCTTTCACCCACTTTGATATTTTCACTGATGAAAGCGTGCGGCAAGGTAGGCAAGCTTGGCAGGAAAACTCGGATAATACCAATTCACATTTGTGCCTTAGGTCTGAAGGTGCACAATAAGTGGCCGACGTTCCCGCAATTCATCGTGAACGGAGAATTCGTCGGAGGACTGGACGTGGTAAAAGAGTTGGTTGAGAACGAAGAATTCGAGGATATTGTCAAGGACATCCGTGTCGGGACCTAAGATACTAACTGTTTGCAGGCCCATTTGATACAGTTCTAATACAATGTACATTTATAGCTTGGTGGATTGCGCCACATAGGGGTTTGAGCAAGTGTGCTGGTTTACTCGGTGGGACCGCTCGGACTGAACGGAATATAACTTACCGCCCACCTGAGAGTCAGTGGTGAGCATTGGAGGGGGAATAACTTTAATGTCAAGAAGTCCGGCGCCCAAGCGCTTCAACGAATCGACATGCTGCAAATTCAATTAATTCTGTCACGCGCAGACGGAACAGGCGATTTGAGTTGGAGTACTACTAGTATTGCCTTTATGTCGAGCAGCTCGTCGCCGCCTCTCGGCAATTCTTTTCCCGAGCGCCCGTTCGCGAATCGATTGCGATAGAATTCTTTCAGGTGACCGCGCGCGACATTTGAGGGAATGGCGTGCAGATGCTCTCCAAACTCGAATACGCCGAACGAATCGAGCGCGCAGCTTCTGTAGCTCCTAGACACGTGGTGTATTATCCCCTTTCCGTTGCGCCGTGCATTTGCCCCATTCAATTCAGCTTCATTCGGCCTCGGCGTATATAAAGGCACGTCAAACGCCTCCTGGCAGGCAAATCTACTCCACTCATCCTCAAGGCTTGCACCGTTCACTAGGATCTGTTATCCTGAACATGGGCCGCGATGTTGGGGAGTGCTGCGTATGCTTTGGAACGATCGAGATCGGGGGTACTCTTTCATGTGGTACGTACATCCTTGGCGTTAAAAGCCGGCTCAACTGAAAAAATTATGATAATGGAATGCCGTTACCTGCCCTGGCTGCAATGCATCCCAGGTCATGTTATGGACTTCAGCTGCCTACAAGAATGTCTTTCAACGAACCCCAACCAATGCCCGATGTGCGGTCAAGAAGATGCAAATCCTCCGATTAAACTCTTCTTCGGTCAGAATTCCGGCGGCCCATCGTCCCAAACGTCTGCCCTGCAGGGAGATAGTAACCCTGACCCACATTTTGTTGAGAACCTGCAACGCGCTGTGGCAGAGTACGTTAAGGTCATCAGTAATCTGCAGAACATCGTCTCGAAGGAACAGAACGCAAAGGCCGAAGTAGAGGCTCTCCTCAAAGGGGCGAAGAAGCGGTTAGAACACCAGAACAGGCTATTGTGGTCGCTACACCACCGCAGGCTCGCTGATGCATCTGTGGCACGAGCGAGACTAGAGGCAGCGCTCAGAGAACATCGCGAAGTTCGGAATAATCTTCAGCAGAGCATACAAGTCTTGCATGCACAAATTTGTCAATTGAACGAGGCTGTGAGTGGAGCCTTTTTCCATCCCGAGGAAGCCTGTTTTCCCCTCACAGCAGCTTTCTGTCAGACGAGCCAACGTGAGCAAGATCTCAACTCGAAGATCTACTGGCTCCAGCAAGAATGCACACGTCTAGAACAGGCACTCCATGCCCCCGCCCCCATATCGTTTCAAAACATGGTCAACACTGTTCCAGGCATGGGTCCTGGAGCTCAACTCTGGATGGAACCGTCAACATCTCCCCCTTCTTCTTCGTTTGCACAATCCACTAATTACTTCGCAAGTCCGTCAGAAATGACGACTGTGCAACCGCAAGCTGCCCCTCATTCGGATTTTGAGAACCAGTCTTTCAGCAACTCCCAGTACACAGAGACGTCGAGTGGTTTCGAATATGGAAATACCGTGAATTGGAATGCAGGCTAGCACCCTACGTTCCCAGATATGGGTCCAATCTGCTATGTTATAGGCCAAGTTGAGTTGTGATGGCAGGTCCAACAATTCCGGTCATATAATTCTATTTGCAGCAGGAATTTAGGATAGTTGCATGCTTAAATTCGAGTGATCCGTTTGCATGGTCCAAAATCCAAGTTGAGGATGTTTATCCGCACGACGCTACCTATCACTGAGAAGGAGTGAGTTGCAAGTAGTTATCGAATGAAAATAAGGGCACACGGCGCTAATTGGCGCTAATTGCAACCTCACAGCAAAAATAGTGCAAACAGCGGCACACGTGACTGATCATTCAAATATATTGATTGCAAATTGCCACAGAAATCGGAAACCACTGCAAACTTTGTGCAAACTTCGACGCGTCGAAATCGCCAAAGTTCCTTCCAGATGTCCTTAAAGCTCGGGGAATGCGCCGTGTGCTTTGAGGACATCAAGATTGGTGGCACTCTCAAATGTGGTATGAGACAGCTATAGGACCGCCCCTGCTGAGCTCATTGATCTTTAATTTTTTCTTTCTTTTTTGATTCAGGGCATGTTCTCGACTATGAATGCCTGAAATGCTCACTTTTGGTCCTACCTGAAACATGCCCTGTTTGTCGCCAACGTGATGACCAACCTCCCGTTAAACTCTTCTTCGACGAAGGACTGGGTCCCGATGACGAGTCTGGTGGGAACGACATCAACGTGCGAAAGGATGGACAAGGTGAAATGGAGACTCAATTCCGTTCCAATATTTTCCGGACTATGCAGGAATCCCTCGCTGAGGCCCAGAGTATGTTGGGTCAAGCGTTGGCCCAGCTGTCGAAGGAACAGGATGAGAAGGAAAAGGTCTCGAAGAAGTATCGGGTCTTGAAAGACCAGCTTGCTAAAAATATGGCTTGCGATTCTGCTCGGAGGAAGACGGCAGAGATTCCGCTTTGCTCGATCCCCGGGTCTGAATTTTGGAAAGCCGTTACAGATTTGACGGAGGAACGCGGAAGGACTCACGCAGTTCACGTCGAAATACCGTCTGTAAGCCCAAATGTATTCAGCGGCAATTCCAGCGTTTAATCCTCTTTTCGCCTTACAGAACAGACCCAGGCTAGGAAAACGTCCAAGCCAGCCCATGGATTCAAGTGGAAGTGAAGTCTCCGTCCGCGCTTCTACCTCGGGCTCAAATTCTGCCGCTGGGTCTTCAAACCCCAGACGTCGATCGCTAATGCCTTCCCGGGCCCCCACTTCGTCATTACTCCCTCCTTCATCTTCTAATCACCACAGATCAAGCGGCGGTGCAGAGGGAAGCCGCAATCGTCAAGCAAGTTCCGAGCGGCGCCCAGTGGTGGTTATTGATGTGGATTCTGGATCACCCCGCAAGCGGCGACGCCAGTCATCCTAATCGCCGTACGCCTGTGCTACATGAATGATTAGCTTAACCCCTTGAGTATCTATTTGCGATTACACCTGCATATATCCTTATCATGAAGCTATTGCACGGGATCGTTGTGAGATTAAGTTCCGATTGAGTTGCCAAATTTGGTATGTCCGCGTTCAACAACTGTAAACAGGTGCAACAGCAAGGTCGCGCACGCGTTCTTCGAGGTTCGCACCCCATCATACGGGGGCTTGTACTCTGCGCACGAAGTGCGGACGCGAACTATATTGGACATCGCGCTTTTTTCTTTACATACATGGACTTACCGCCAACAAGCGACAGATTCGGACAATGCAGTATTTGTTATAGTGAAATTTTCAGAAGTAGCCCACCAGGGTGCCTTAGGTGTGGTATGTGACTCCTGCAATCTATCTTTATCATCTACGAATCTTCGTTTCTAAACGACTTAGGCCATGTATTCCATTATTCATGTTTACAGCGATCCCTTCGACAAGTGTCTGGTGCATGTCCTTTGTGTCGAGCGCGTGACAAACATCCGATCCGACTCTACTTTAACGAGGATGAGGACGGGTACCCTTTGCCTTCCAGCAGCTCCGACCCCGGTGCGACTGCTTCTAGCCAAATGATCGCAGAGCTTTCTTCCAGGATCGACGAATTGTCAAAATTACGGAACGAAAATCGCGCTTCGTTGGCTCAGAAGACAAAGGAAGTTGAAGATCTGAAGGCTCGGCTGCACGCCATCCATTCCAAGGAAAAATTAACGAAGGAAACACTTCGAAACCAGGTGGAGTCTATACGCAATCTCGAAAAAGAGAGAAAACGTTTTCAAGTGCACAACGAGGAGTTGCAGAGTTCGATACGAAGGATTAAAGATGAGAAGAAAGAGCTTGGGGACGAGTTGGACGAGTTGAGGAAGAAATATGATTTACTTGACACTGCCAGGAAAAGCGAGAAGAAAAAGGCGAGCAGTTCTGCCCCTCGTAGAAATCCTCATTTTCATCGATTTAGCCATTAACAGATTCAAATCGTCCTTGCGAGAAATGATAAGGACCTTTCTCGTTTACGGGAAGAAAACAACCTGCTCAGAGAACAACTCAGTACAGCACAGCATGGATCACTGCATCTCTCGCAACGCCAGGACCAGGCTGACCACCCCCGACCTTCCTCTCATGCATTTCCCGCATTCTCCCCCAGCTCCAGCCCACAACCACCTCGCAAACGATTGCAGCAAACTCTCAAGTCCCGTCCGCCGCAGAATCATCCATCTGATGACTCGGACTCATTGATAATACTCCCCAGACACATCCCCTCAACTTCCTACCCCGATCTCACACCTTCATCTGACATCGAAGAGCTCTCTGTTGAGACAACTGCGCTTATATCTGGTAGCCATCTGAAAAGGGCCGCGTTGGAAGCAGATGGCGCTCCATCAAAGCGAATAAAAGGTGGAGCAAATGCTCCTCTAAATCTGAATTCTTCCAGCTTGGATTTTAGAAGAGGAAAAACTTCAGCGCTTTACACGACGGGTCCCCGGCACAAAGTTAACTATCGCATAACATGATGTCCCTCGTCCTCATCCTCTAATCGACCTGTGCTATCATTTACCTTGTACTATTCCTACACAATTCCTTCAGAACTGTAAATGATACTAATTGACTTTGTCCCAATGAACACAGAATGGCAAGTTGTGGAATGGATAAGATTTGTGAAAGTGACGGCTACAGGGCCGCGTTCTGTAAATCCTAAAAAAGACCTCTATTTCGTATAAAACAAGATCGCGGGTAACGCCACTAGTACTGCACATCGTGGGATGGTGAGAGACGGGCACGGAATATGCCTATCTCCGATCATTCCCGAGCAATATTGGTTCAAGGGTCTTGCGCGGCGATTCATGACAGAACGTGAGGCCTGCATCAGATCTGCATTCAATTCGTATTGGTCATCAACAGGAGTACAATGTCCGAGCCCCTGGGCGTGTGAGCGCGAGAAAACTTAGGCGAAGGCCTTTTGTGCAAGGAATAAAAACATAATAACGATGTGGCAATTCCATTCAGTCACATCAACTTGGCCGATATTGACGAACCCTTTTTCTTCTTTTCCGCCACAGTAACCGTCCGTCGGAAAGTCAAGGAAAATGGATCCAGCCAGGCAATCAAGCAAACAAAAATATTTACTTGAGAATACTGCCAGGAATCGTAATTCGCAGATCCTGCGCTACTGCGTCCGTCATAAACACTGCCTTCCTTATAGGCTAAGATGGAAGCGGATACCCTCGCCCAGCCTGTTCAAAAAATTTCCCGAAAAGAACACGAGGTGTGAACGACCCACCGTCGCCACGCACAGATCATCGATTTGATTGGTTCTAGTGACGGTTATGGTAATTGGAGGCCGATAAACCGATGCAGAGATGACTGTTTGCGCCTTCCAATGATCGGCGGCAACTGAAATTATGTCTGCTGAGGAATTATTTTCAAATGCGATTCCGCAGCATGCTGCAGGGTGTGCAAGTCCCATTGAGTACACAGCATCGTATCCCATAGGCAACGAGATCCATCTAAGACACTTATTCATTTTGATGTTCCAAAGAATAATCTTCAAACAACGTTTCCGGTGACATGGCTCTAAACACAATTTTCAAGTCCGAGGAGTTGTTGACCGAAGATGAAAAAGTACCACCCCGGTTCCACGCTATAGAGGCCATGTACCAGAGTGAGAAACCCGAGAGCCCGGTACCATGCAAAACGCCAGAATTAGATGGGGGGGGGGGGGGTCGAGCCGCTGATAAGAATAAGCCTGAACCGAAGGCGTGATATGTCGGCCACGTAGGCAGGTTACCGGCCTATCGGTCAGGGGTCGTAGAAATGAATCGAACTTTCTTGATGGGGAATTTCCGTGCCCATCGTGCAAGTGGACAAAGATCTGACGGAGGATCTGTGTTCCAAAGGAAACGCATGTCAGTCCACAATGGTTATTTTCCTGCCATAACTTGCGGGGTTTATGGGGGCGCATCATGAATGCGGTAATCACTACATACAACTCGGAAGGTCTCCAATAGATCAAAGAGCAATAACGATTGAGCGTGGATTGATCAAGGGAAGACTGGAAAAATCTTCCAGGTTGAAACAAGCGTCCAGGGCTCCATACCAAAACAGGTTATATCGCGCAGATCCAGACTTTATGTTTATATGACCATTCGTGTCATATGAAAAGGGGCTGCAGCTTTACGAACGTTCCCTGGCGTATCAATTATTGAACAATAATTGATGGGCATGCGTAACGAAGGCAGTTAGCGCCGGAAAAAGGGAAGCTCGCACTTCCGCGCTGCATGTGGGCCGGCGCGAGTCCCAGGGAATCTTCTCCTGACGAGCTGTGGCGCGAAAGGCATGGACACGTTGCGGAAAAAAAAATTGATATCATATTCAAGTCACTTAATTCGCCAGACGTCTAAAGACCAAGCAAGGCAGGAAACCCGAGACCGAAAGAGCCGATGTAGCGTCCAAGACTAACACGCTACTACCCAAGATCTACACGATCGGGAGTGGCAAGCCAAATGAACATGTTGCCTCTTGCTTCCTATTACTGTTAAAACCAGATGCAACGTGGTGACAAATACGAACAGCGCTGGCGCTGTTCCTGAGTGGTGCGTGTTGCATTCCGATAGAGGCTGGGAGGGTGTGATTCAGTTTGCATCATGTGCCGTTTGTGTTGACACTGGATAGCCATTTTGGGGAGGTGCCGACTCAGACGAACGCGAAGTCGCCACAGTCTGTTGAGTCTTAGTTCGGGACCACAGAAAAGTGCGAAGATAGCCCAACTAGGATGACCAAACAATGCATTTACCTGTCCATCATACATCATATCTGGCGGACCCATATAGGCGATTGAGATACGGTTCGTTAAGCTTTATATACAAATAGATACTGGGGAGAACCGAGAGAGATGAGGAGTAGTTCAAAACTTCGGATTTTCATCCAGTGGAAGAGAAAGTCGAGCGTCAGGAATCGGACTCACGAGATGAATGACAGGACTGCCCTGACATTGGTATATAGTTGCAAAGCAGTCATGGAAGGGATTGGGTATGCCAGGTCTAGTGAACATGAGGAGCAACCCACGCCAGAATTCGACACAGAACAAGTGAAATTTCAGGGCGGTTCAAGAAGAGTTACTTGGGAGGTTTTTCTGCTGGATTTATTCCGAGGTTAAGCCTGGGATCCGTGTGTTTGTAATTCACAGGCTTCTGAAGGATACCTTATCATATGATGAGCTGCATGACAACCGGGCTGGACTAATGCGACACGATACGACTGTGATTTGACGCGGGACTTTATTTACAAATGGGAAGAACGGCGTAAAGAAAAGGCTAATAGATTTTTTTTTAAAGTCTAAAACAGCAAATGAAAAAAGGACCCACACAGGAATTCATTGCACGATAGAAGGTGAATGAAGTTAGGTTAAAGGAGGGCAAACAAATGGAAAGGACGTCAGCGAGCCAACGAAAGGCAGTGCATATCATCGATATAGACGTCCTACTATGGTGGCACCATCGCACCGTTCCTGATCAGCTCAGCATCCGAGATCTCTGGATAGAAAATATAGAATTTCACCATGCCCCCGTTCTCTGACGCAGCGATAGCGGAGAAGAATCCAGCAACTCCGCAGAAGGGGCTGCAGATCTTCAGCGTCCCTGACTGTTCACTGTCCAAAGGCAACGGGAGACGCGAGGTTTGACAGGTAATGTCCAGCGAGCAGAATCTCGCCGAACTTGATCGCCCCTCAATTTGTACCTCACGGCGGAAAGCGACCAGAGAGCCTTCATCCTCATGAGGGTCAATGACAGGCTCCTCGAAAAATTTGGACAGACCATCCCAAATCCCAACGGTGAGGTACGGATCGGATTGGTAGCGTTCAACTAAAAAGACATCCACATTCTGCTCCGCCCCGGTTCCCGAGTTGGCTCTTACGACGAAGCGATCGTGTAAATTTTCTCTATGAGAGATAACGCGGGACCAGGGCTGAATGCCGAGGAATTGGTAGCCTGCCAATGACGGGTGGGCATGAATCTGCATATTGACGAGAATATGACTGAAATCGTCATCGTGGGTAATGGTCGCAAAGAGGATCCCCTCGGGAATATCGGAGCTGACTGTTAGTGAGGCGTTTCCCCCTTGCAAGAGATGCATTGCTAATGGAATTGGAAACTTTATTTCATGTAGCGTGAGTGATCAAAAAAAGGCACCCGGAATAGACGCAACGTACGCGAGTGTGAGTGAACCGAAGTAGGAGTGAGATAGGGGATTTAAAGTCCCACAGCAGATAAGCGGTGTGGTAACAGACATGCACGTTGTCGCCTCGCAGCGCCCAATCCACAACATCGCTGTCACGTTTCTCGGTTACAAGAGTGTGTTCCCTGACATGGCCCTCCTCCCAGAAGAACTCCAGCACCACGAATTTTCTACGAAAGACTCAGAATCAGGTGGTTTCGCGAGAAAGATGAAATGCTGACGAGAGTGGGACATTGAATCTATGTTCCGAAGTGACCGCCTTGACAGCGATTACGGCCTTTGCTTCATCCAAGTGTAGTTGAAAACGAATATTCTCCAGCACGTCGAGGACTCCAGGATCCCGGGCTCGGCCAGCTTCGACTATATGACGGAGGGAAGGATACAGCGTTGATGGGGAATCGTCCGACCAGACGGCAGTCTTGAGATCAAACCAGTAAAATACGATCAAAACCCTGTCATTCTGGGTTCTTGCAAGAGCAGTTGAAAGAAGCCAACGACCACCGGGGAAGACCCTCGTGTAACCTCCTCGATGATGGAGCTGGCGGATATTTTTCGAATCGGCCAAGTCAAAGCAAAGGGAGAAGGATTTGGAGACCAGAGAGACATCCTCGGAAAGAAGACGTTGTCGGAAGGTGTTCGCTAGAAGCATCCGAGGCCGATATAACAGCAACGGGGAGTCGCACACCAGGCCCAGGGCCCCGCGAAAGAGAAGGGAGGCGCGGCCCCAGTACAGAATTCTCCACACTGCACAGGAACTCTTCAACATCTCCTGGAGCCACCTAGATGTCTGTGGCGAGTCAGGCTTGTTACCTGGTAACGAGGTCACAGCGTAAAAGGGCAAAGTACCTGAAGTAAGGCGCAGATGCTGAAAACATCAAGTAACAAAACAGCGCGCAGCGCAACGTCAGAACCGACGCGCTCCAGATCCCCATTAGGCTGCACCGAGCTGTCCATGTAGGCGTTCGGGCAAGAGAAAGTAGAGCCAAGTTGGTAGAGAAAAATGGGGGGACGTGAGCATCCAGAAATCCAAGTGTAACGTCCAGTATTTGAGGAATCCCGTTGAATGGGTTCGCGAAAAATCTGGATCTCAGGATGCGTGCTAAATTGGGCGTTTGTTGGCATTCTTTAAATAATTTATGGAGTCTTTTATGCGAAAATTAGGTGATCTTGACAAAAATTCCTGTGGGAACAGTCCAACTTCAAGGGCGACTGCATCTTGTACATTGCCAATTTCAGAAATCTGTGCGACGGAGCTTGAGGGATTTCTCTCACCGTCGACGTCGGGGTCGAAGAGCGCGCCAAATGAGACCCTCCTGATTGTGTGATCGTTTCCATCGACCTGTGTGTGGAAGTCGCCGGGCTCGGCCGTTGGCGAGTCCCCAAACTTGTTCTGGAAGGTCATCAGCAATACCCCTCGCTGGGATAGGTGGAATTTTCTAGGCGAAGGCGGCAGCAAGGATGCCCGGCTTCTGTAGATTCTTATTAGCCATGCAGCCCGTTCCAATCCTGCGCATCAACTTATTATACTGTAATATTAATTTAGAGTCAATACAACCGCATGCATCGCCTTTGTCAGGTTGGGTCTCAATGCACAGAAAGGGTTATGTCTTACCTGCGTCGGCAGACGAACGGGAAAGATCCTTTCTTGATGAAGTGCCATCTATCGTGCGCCGGAAGTTTGCAGGGCGGGATCAGCGGAACGACTTAGAACCCTTGGCTAGAGTCCGTTGATCACTCGTGACTCTGATCACTGTCAACAGGGTGGGCAAATAGCAACGGGCCAAAAAAATTCTAGGCTTTGCTCCTCATCACCGCCGATGCCGGTATGTAAGTATCCGTTTGTTTGGCGTGCTCCACGAAGATAACCGCAGGGGCCTACATTTTTTGCGCTCAAACGACCTCATGCGCGGTGCAGAAGTGCTGGAGTCCTGCCGACCTCAAGGATGACTTTAGGACCCTGACTGAAAAATAGTCTGGCCCAGCGGTTTAACGAGATATGAATCCAACATCTCCGTGCATGCAACGTTGCTGCTGGTGTGCGAGCTTGCGACTGTGAAGGGCGCGGTGGGCGGGTTTGGGACGTCCATGGTGCCCTATGTCGAGGACAGTGTCAAGGGCGTCTGACCCGAGCCTCGGGCCACCTCTCTATGGTTCACCGCTGCGGCGTCTGCAGAACCCACTGTTCGGCAGCGACGCCCAGCACACTCTTCGGATGCGTACTGGACGGTTAGAGACGACAAACGTGCACCACGATCCTGGCAACATCAGTGCCATCTCAACTTCACGCCGTACTGGCAACTTACAACTTGTCAAGATTTCTGGGGTCGTGAGCAGCGTTGGGTATCAATCGTATCCATCCGCCATCCTCCAACGATACGGTCTCGCCCTCACACTGGGACGGACCTGCTAAGCCTCCGGTTCCTATAGATTCTTCATCCCCTTCTCGTTCGCGCGGGACGTATCTCAAAACTCTTCAATACCCTCGATGTTAACATAGTAGCCCGCGGTGCATAGTTTACATCTCACCATAATCCCTATGCGGCGAGCGTTTGGACAGTCTCGGCAGTGCTGCCTGCGGAAGCGTTGGCACTCACGGCGTCAACCAGACTTGTCCACATTCCTCCTACAATCCTCCGTGCTAACAATCTTTGTTGCTATGGGGCTTCGGCACAGCGCTATGTAGCCAGTCCGCGAGAGCAGCAGCGCAGTGAAGGGAAGTACAGGGATACTCTTAAAGCCCTGGAATAGGACTTCGAGGGATACGCCTCGCTGCTAGGCTCGAGGCTAATCGCGAGAGCGGTGAGATAATCGTTAGTGTGATATGCACGTTTGGGCCCGCACCTGCAGGCAGCCAGGTCTCCAAGGACTCAATTTCGTCAGCGAGATATCAGTTCACCGCGGCATCCCACAAGGCTAGAAGGGCAAATTCCCGTTCGCCATTTCTTCGCTGCTGGCCATCTTGCAGGTATTGCCCCGCGCCTTCCCCTGGCACGCATTTCATTGCAGGCATATCGCCGCTTCTACTAAAAATGCTACGTCATGGTCATGGACGGTGCGGCTGGCCGTTTCGCTGCCCCCTTGTTATTCCCAATCAACGCAGAATGAGGCATCATGCAGACGCCGGGCATGTCAATGGCCCCTCCCATTCGATACCACTGTGATTGCTGAGTGAGATACGTAAAAGCTTCACTTGTCCAAGCTAGCTGCGAGGGCCAAAATTCATGCTTATCCGTCAGAGGTCCTTGAACAATGCTTCCAAGACGGTGTCATGGTGTCAGATCGCACTTGACATCGTTTTCGATTAATTCTGACTTACCTGTAGGCACGTTCCAATACAACTATCATCCCGTTGGTACTGAGCTCTTGAGCGCTTGCGTACGGCTCAAGGCTCCGTTATGCCAAGCCCATGGACCCAACAAACCATTGACGATGAACTAAACACAGGCTTCACAAACCTACTTGCCACCTCAGAGGGTTTGCTGTCTGGAGCATTTAAGACACAGTTGACAACCTATGAACTCTCCTCAGCATCTAATTCGTGCGCAGCTCACGAGTGGAAAGATCATGAGGCTCGACATCTGACCCCTCGCATTACAGAGGTAGCTACCAGTCAACCCCACCTTGGCTCGACATCTTCTCCAATGAAGGGGCTTTTCACGATGGGTTCGTCGCCCCTGTCAGAGGAGCCAACTCGGAGACCAGGGTGGGGGGAGGGATGTATAGCCATGTGTTCTTCGTCCGCTGCGTCTTTCGCCTTCGTGATGTGGGATGTTCTGCCCATATTTTTTTCGGGACTGCTGTCGACCCTCATTAGAAGGTTTCCTGGCAGGTCTCCGCTGTGGGGCAGAGTTGCGTGGTGTTCTGGTGCCTGTCAGGCACCACACCCGCAACTCCTTCCGCGAGGTTGCCAGGCCCTCTGTAATTGCTGGGTGTAATAACAAGGACTTGGTAAAATTCTATGGTTTTCATACGGAAGTTTCGGACGCCGAGTTGATGTCGCAGCGATGCCGCTCACAGCAGGGAGGGCAGTGATATACATAGTATGTCAGGATCGAAGCCCGACTGGATTGGGTCACTAAGCATGAATCAGCTTCACGCACGTATTGGTAACCTAGATTTAGCACGACAAAGAGCGCTGTGGCAAGTACCATAAACATGATCACTGACGTGAGATTCACTATCGCTGTGACAACATATGTGCCATGTTATCGGCAGGAGTTGCTAGCACGGATGACGCAGTGCACCATTTTACCAGAGACTTGTCTAGAGACCGGTAGTCACCTCGTGTCGCAGGGGGCGAGCATAGCTGCCGAGGATATTGGCCGTAGTTGGAGGAAGTTTGTCATTGACCGGGAGCTAGGAATTCCCTACTGGAAAAAGCAAAGACGGGTCCTCCCGAACTCCCCTCCCCTCCTGCGTCCGTGACTTCAGGAATGACTCTCCTATTCGCCCTCTAATCACACTACTCTAGGATCTCGCTTAATCTCAGGCCCGAAGTCCAGTCTCATGCTGTCGTGACCGTTTCAGAGGATTCTCCGTGCCTTACTTGAAACGGGACGAAAACTTTTGCAGGTGTGTGGTAGTGGCCAGTTCGTACCCCTGTTGGAATGGTGGCGTGTCCACGCTTCCCACTTTCCTTTTTTCTTTGTGAATGCTGAAGAGCGCTTTGACTATGCTCAACATGTGAGACTTTGCTTCGCGGAGGTGTACGCTTTGAGACAAGCTTATTCACTCCCCTCACTCATGCATTTAGATTCTCACCCATATTGGCTCTGCCGCCGGCCGGTTTGTGGAGTATTTATCAATATGATGCTCTTGCTCTCGTCACCTACCCCCCGAAATCCGTCTTTGATCGCTGCTCGCTATACTATCTATTTGTTGTAGAGGGTCGAAAGGAGCCACCCACTTTCCCAATAACCTTGGCACGTAACGCCCACCATAAATCCAACGCGAACTGGTGCCGGGGCTGCGCACGATTGAGTGGCGGGCGTCATCCTGAATGGTATGAACGATGATTCAAGGTCTCCCGCTGGATGCCGTTGGACGTGATTAGGATAGTGCGCCTCAATAGTGTTTCAGCCAAGGCTGTCCTGCGTGCAACCAGGATGGGACGGGTACGACTACATGTGGGGAATCAATTCCGCGATGGTGAAGGGACGACATTTAGAACGTCGTTCCCTTCAAGCAGCTGCCACACACTGTCTTGATATCAGTAAATCCCCATCAAATCCATTTCCGCTAGCGTATCCTCTTACCTGACCTAAACGCTGGATTTACGCTTTGAAACCGGTTCGGGGACGAGAGGTTGCGGATACTGCCGAGTTCCTGTTTACATTTGTCGCACCCGAAGAAAGCCGCCATTGTCAGTAGGGGTACCCCTAAATACCCCATTACCCCAGTTGCTGACTGCCTCGACCAGAGCACTTGAAGCTCCCGACGATTCCAGCCCCCCACCGTACCCAAACAATCTTCAGGAGAGGGTGAATCTCCGACCCGTCTCTCCATGTCTTCGTCGTATGACGCCGGGAACGAAATACATCACGCCCATGACACTCACCCACATCGCCGACTTCCCACGACAACGGTAAACGCGCCTTCTCCTGCTGTGGGGAAAGGCCAGATGATCCTGTTGGAAGACTTGGGTTGGAGCGAAGACCCCCATGTGCCAATACCTTTATTGGCTGGTATCGCAAATGAGGATGTATGGATGCTCGTGCGAAGGTTTAATAAAGTTGAGAGAAATTTGACTATGATTATGAAGGCGTCGGCGCCGTATTTACTATCTCACTGAAGCAATTATATCGTGTCAAAGCCCTTCCCGGACCTCCAACGAGTATGCTAGACCTGAATGTGTCCGGGAATGAAGAATTCGGCCCTGATATACTTCGCGCCGGCTTTGCATGACGTGGGTACGTAAATCATCCCTTCGAACATCATGGTTCATCTTTCATTCATGAAATGTAAGATCGTTGGCGTTTCAAGCGCGGCTAAGCACATCGCCCGTATCCGCTCATGGAAGGAACGCAAATGCACAGCCTGGTTTTGCATCATAAGTTCCTTCGCATTGGTCTTGGGTTCCATGGTTCCGATATTCTCTGCAGGGATATATCGCTGCTCGGTACTTCCACCTCGTCTTTTCTTTGTTTCCCCTCACCACTGTAGTGTAGGTAATCCGCTCACCCTCCCGGCATATTCTCTTCCCCTCGACGCCGTTATCTGCCGTTTCTGCTGCAACCGGTGCCCTTCAAGTCCCACCTGTCGGCAGGCTCGCATCCAAAGACAGTCTTAGTGGCGCAGAAGAGACGTGTAAGGGATAAGCAGTCTAGGCCTAGGTGAGCGGTTTTGGGCTTGACGAGTATTGTTGTGGGTCAAGGGACTCCCACCGTCTCAGGTGACATAGCCACCTACGGATCTGGAAGTGGGAGCAAAATTTTTGACTTTCGCGATCTTCCACAGAGGATGCGGGAGTTAATCTCCCAGACCCTACCACAGTTGTTGGAGGGGTAGCAGAGTGTCGATTTAAGAGCAGCACGGTCGAGAGGGATTAAAGGAACCAGAAGCACCAGCAAGCCAAAACTCCTGTAGAGCAAGCGATGTGGACTAAAGCCAAGCCTACGATGAGGATTATCAATGATTTTCCTGACGTGTTGAAAAGGTTCTCTGCGTAAGAATGATAGTTCCTCTGGAATGCGTAAGGCATAGACTCATGGTCTAGTGTCGTCTATAGCGTCACCTCCCCAGCACCTCCGTTCGCAAAGTATGCAGGTAGACAGCAGTAGCGCTACCCTTGTTTCTCGCGTCACTCATCATTGCTCCAGTAATGGTATATGAAACCCTTGTGTGCACGCAGGAGACTCAAGCGATTAGCGGGGCAACAGTCCCGGCAAATGCCAGAACCTCTGGAATTGAAGGCGACCCGGTTAATTTACAATAGGGAGGAGACCGGGGAAGGAGGAGGGTTTCGCAAACGACAAGGACAACGAGCAATAAGGAAAGAAAGACAGAAGTTACAGCGGGCAAGGAAACAACCGAAAAAAGGAAACCTAGAAAAACCTAAGTAAGCAATCGGGATCCCACCCACCGAGAGTAACCGAAGGTCACAACACCTCCCCCTCGGCGAGACCGAAAGGCTTACCGGAAGCAAGGAAGACGAAGGAATGTCTTCGTCAAAAAACAGCATACAGGACAAAAGAAAAGACTAAGAAAGAACACGCCTTCAGCAGAGGAAAGGTATAAGAGGGCCAGAGCCCTGTAGCATAGGCGGACGAAACTCACGGATGAGATTGTCCGGAAGAATCGACCCAGGAATGCAGCGGCAAAAACCTGAATCGGCATGACTCTAACCTCGGAAGGCACAGTATGCGTAAGGCCGACAGCGGGTACGGCGCATAAGATTAAACACCACCCGGAAAAATGCCACGCGCGAAAAGAGACCAATGAGTGCGTTTAGACTGAGTGCGCACAAGCCTAATTTAATCTCGTACCTCCATTAAATAACAAATAATGCCAGGTTTAGGTTTGCGCAGCCAATAATTGACAAGTTGACGGGTGGCAATATCGTGAAGCGACTGGACAAGTAATTATCGGTAACGATGTCCTTTAAATGTTGTGGTCAATTAACGTTTCTTCCTAGCCATGACTAGAAGGCGCTTTCCTAAGGGCATCCCCACTGATGCTCAACTGACCCTAACCATCCGTATCGGCGAAGCGAACCATGCTTTTGTAAATCAATATGATTTTCATACGACGACCAAATCACTAACGATATAAGTACAGAGCTGGCTGAACACGACCATGAATTTCATATAACAACTCGCATTGCCCCCATGGCCGAAGCCGCAATCTCAGGCGTCGGTGACCGATGGAAAACACAAAGACCAAAAGAAACACTCGATTTTTTTTCTTACTCCTCTTCCTCCGTGCGGCGGGCATCCAGGTGCAGAGTCATCCGAATGTTGGAATGAGCAGTGAGTTCTGCCACCAGATCAATTCTGCTCATAGGAGGTAGAGATGAAGCGAACATACCAAAGGACAGATGGGAGCTGAACAATACATTTCGTTTGTTGGGAAGGAGGATTAGCCTCCGTCACTTGTGCCATCTGTGATAGATACTGCTCCCAGATATGCAATGTTGTCGGTGGCCCAGTGTGTACGATTGACAGAGTCTCATTTCCATTTGATTGCTCGCGAATACGGAATTTGTCGAAACGATAGTCAGAGTGGTCGAAGTGCAGACGAACTTCAAATCGTATGTCCTGAGCAGTCTCCGTCGTCATTTCACAAAGAAGTGGGATCTCAATCATTACAAAGGACAGCAGAGGAACCTTTGCGCTATAAGCGCCCACGTTGAGACCAAATTCTGGAGTACTGCCATTTATCCTGACTTACGAAAGGGGCAGTTGCGAGATGACCGTTGGAAGGTTGGATGTCATCCGCCAGTATTCCGAGACTTTCTACGGTTGTAGCTTCAAGAATCATTACAAGTCGACCACGTCTGGACCGTCGTTCAGCAAAGATTCGGAGACATATACCACTGTTTCCGAGACCGGACGACTTCAGGATGGGTGGACATATGAGTGGAGAAACAGATTGGAACGACGGCGAGGATATGAATTTTGGGTGAAACATTTCATTCCATCGACTCCGTAACAAATCATTTACACACGATCGTATATGGACGTTAGTGGTCGCGAATAGCGAGTGGCGTAAACGCGCTGCCCAGGTGAAGATCTCAAGCCGTGACCGAATGAAAGGGGCCGGAGGGTCAAGAGGTCGAAACGTCCGGTAGCTGGATAATTCCTGAAGTCCCCGTGAAAGTGGAGTGGTATGGTGTTTCAATAATACTGAGCCGAGTGATACTGCCAAGGGAAAATTCCCTGTGCATGTGGTACGATTTAGTGAGGCGGGTCGGGTATTACCCAAAGCAAAGTCAGCTTCTCTGGATGGTTAAGGTGAGGGATAGCCAGACCTCCCCGCCAAAACTATGCCAAGTGTGAAACTACGATTTAGGGGCTTCGTACCTCCAAACAGAATGGATAGAATTGTTGAAGGGCAGCATCGGCACTTGATACGTGGCTTTCCCCAGGGCGCAAAAGTTCTGGGAAGGCACAACTCACGATCTGATATCCATGGCTCTACAACGGGTCGGACAGATGCTTGGACCATGACCGTTGGCTTGCTAATGTGTTTGATAGCGCAGATAAGGTTGATCTGCGCTCTGACAAGCCCAAGATCGGAAACACTGCTGATATGCAGTGGCAGTCAGGCCTTGCTGGAGCAGCGCAAGTGGTTCAGACTTAGAGTCAGTAATTGCAAGCAGCAATCACTTGCGCGATGTTTGGTCCTGGAACCAGGCATCAGTGACGATGATAGTGACGTCGCAATATCGTACAGTTGGTACGGTAATCAGAGGACCTTAACATAGCAGTACCAACATTAAGTGCGATTGTTGTCTTCGAATTAGAATGGATGAGAGTGAGGCTCACGGACTTGCACCATAACCCTTCGCGTGATTAACAGCCACCCGATCCCGTCAAGCGGAATGCGCCATTGTTGGCACTAAAGTGCGACACCGCCACAATTCAATGTACACACATTTTATTATCATCACGTGAATACTGGCTTGACTCTGGTGGCGCCTAAAACATGGCATCATTAGACTACGCGCCAGTGCCCATCTGCGCGAGTTTGATGCCCCTTCAATCAGGTGATAGCCGGGTTAGTAGGGGAGATGAGGAGCTATCGCCCGGCGCTCCGCCATTGCTCCCCGCTGTCGGAGAGGAAGCTTCCACTCGTCTTGCCAGTCCTCGCTCCTTCAACCTTACCAATTTGCTAATATCTTCCGCAATTAATATTCCCAGTACTTCTTCTTCTCCAAGGGGGGCACAAAATTTCCTTCTTTCTGCCAAAGAGCCTCTGGCGATTCCGCTGATGACATACAACTCGCGGAGGTTCATGAGTCGGGTAGGGTTCGTGTTTTGGACAACAGACCGAATAGAGGAAATCGTAATGTGGAGGAAGGGCTGGACACATACTCTTCCCTGGGTAATTGTGTACGTGCTGATTTGTAAGTTTTATGCTATTTTTTAACGTATGGGCACGAAAGCGGCTTAATCCCCATGGGGAACTATGTTTAGGCTATCAACCCAAATTATTGTTATTTGTGCCCAATGTGGTAATCTTGTGCATCATGCTGATTACATACCAACCGTCTCAAAATATACCCCGCTCCAATGGGACGCGGACCACCATAACCGATCCATCGCGATCTATTCGGTCTCACCCGCCTCTCCCAGTTCCGGCGTCGGAAGGGAGTGCAGCGTGGCTAGCTAATGTTCAAGGTGTCCAGAATCTAATGGGTCTAGTGTATGTGTCATTTCTGTCTTACGCGTCTTGCTGAAAGTTTTCCATCAGTGCGGATGCATACGATGCCGCTGCACCCATGGTTCCGTACCTGACTTGGAGATCTCGCTCGTCGTCAATTCTATTCTTATTCGCGCTCTTCCTCACTATCTCCTTATGGTTTATCCCGCTCCGTTTAGCCTTTCTCAGTATTGGCCTCTTTCTTTTTACAGCAACCCATCCTTTGGTCAGGGAAGCGCTTATTTCCCCTCATGCTCAACTCTATTTCCGCCAACATGGACCATTTCTCTGGGACCGAGTGCGCCAATTTATGAATGACGCCCACTTACCCGAGAGAATTATCCCTCACCTGAATGGTAAGCTCTCCTGGCGTCCTCTTCACCCCCTTGAGGTTACTGATTGCGACTACTTCCCTGTGTGACTCAATTCAGAATTGCGGAGCGTTGAAGTATTTCAGAATGAGCGTTGGGCGTGGCCGTCATCTTCAGCTGTTAGTGCCGCTCATGGCGAAACTCTTCCCGCGGGATGGAAGAACGGTGCAGCAAATCTCAAACCAACAGAACGTTTACCCTGGACCCGAGGCAAGGACGGAAGTGGAGGAGTCGGAAGCGCTAGGTCAGTAACGCTTGGAAGCTCGACTCATCGAATGATGAACCCAATTGATCATCTACCCTCCCGATAGTGGAGTGCTCAACTTCTCACTAGAACCTCACTGGGCCTACGTAGAGTCCGAAGATTGGGAACCCGACTTCTACGGCTGGTGGACAGCGAAGGACAGTGTATCACGGACGGATTCAGGTACTGTTCTTTTACCACTTCCCTTCAAAGGAAGCAAGGAAGCCTGATCCGAACACTCTTTTTTTATCATGGGATCCTTTTTTATATGTTCCGATGATGGATGGTTCTAGATGGATGGCTATACACGAACGATGCATGGCTAGACCCACACCGTTCCCCGCCGGCCGAATGGCAAAAAGCCGGACTCATGACCAGACGACGACGGTGGACGAGAAGAATATACTACATTGGCCCTTAGTCGCCCCCACTCTAATTTCAGTGTACAGTACCCATTTTGTGCATTATCTCCGTTTGTTTCATGCCATCAAATTCGAAGCCAGAGCCAAGGGACTCAAACTCAACTTACCCCTGACATTGTAAGTTTGTGAATAGCTATCAGCACAACCACATCAAATCATGCATACCACATGGTGACCCAACGAATTGTAATATGTGGAAATCACCAACACACTAATCTAAGCAGCATGTTTCTAACAACTAGGTAGGAAAAGCCAGAAAGAAGTAGTTTCAACTGAGGGCGTACGAATGGTATAAAGAATCCAATTGCAGGAGCTGTTGATTGCGCTGATACATGAAACTAGTGTGTATATGTACCGACTGGCACCTTATGTGTTGGATCAAAAACAAGGCCGGAACCCCGTCGCCGCGACTACAAGCTGAAAGCCCTAAGAAACGGAGAAAAGGACCATATGTCAGCGAGGTTCCCAGGAAATTTAAGAAATACTCCAATGGATTTCATACGCTCGAAGGAAGATGCGAGGAAAATGCGAAAAGAAAATACTCACTCATCATGAAATTCTATCGATTCCATTGCCCCTAGAGACCTCGCATCCCAACAAAGTTTCCTCATGGAAAGGACCAAACCAGCAGGACCACATGCACCGACCGCAATACCACCACCACATGCACCAGCACCAGCCAAACCGCCCGCACCTCCCATGCCCAAATTCATACGGAGCTTCTCGCCGAACGACTCCAAAATTAGACGTTTCCGAGAGATGATCTCTTTGAGAATAACTTCATAATCTGGTCTCCCAGGCTTCAACTCTACTGGTGGCGAAGCACAACCATTACCACCATGACTTTCGAACCCAATCTTCGGAGGTAAAGGTGGAGGCAACGAATCTCTTACAGGGTCCGCAAAAGGATTCACCACCCTCATTCCAGCCTTCTCATCCAGTTGCCCCACAATAAATTGCCTCCCTTCCTCCAGTTCGACGCGGCTCGAATTATTATCCAGTGCCAGAAGTTCAGTAGTACTGTTGGGGCCACTTGCCAACCCTGAGAGGGGGGATCTGCCATAACTCGGGGGATGTGGTGCTGTCGTCGATAAAAATGCTGCGGAAGAGGGGAAAAGGGAGAATGGTCGAACAATGAACCCTCTACTGACGGATGTATAATAAAGGTTGATCCGAACGGTGAAGTGTGGTATGGACTTTGACGAATCGAGGATCTGCTCGAAGAATGGAAGGAGATCGTTCACTGCCGCGCGGTCACGAACGCTCCAAATGATATTGAGTTCCCTCGTTCTGCTCTTGCCCAGCCGAGCATCTGCAACCATCCCCTGTGCCACTCCAAGGACGTATGAGACACCAGATCCACCAGCCACGAGCAACACAGAGGAATAGGCAGAATAAACAAGATTACACCCCCCATATGGACCTTCGATGAGAACCGCAACGGGATATGGCCTGCCCTTCTCATGGCCAGCTCCCAATTCAGCGTCACCTCTTCCCTTCTTTTCAGCAATTTCGAACAGGCGGTTCGTCCAATCACCAGCTGCTTTCACAACAAGCTTCGCCCCTTCACCATGTTGCGGAGCAGTGGACAATGTGAAGGGATGACCCTCCCACACCTGGGTGAGCCCCATGCCACCAGTGAGTACTCGAATGCGGACGTGCTGACCCGGTATCCATCCGCTTCGGATACTTGGAAGGTGGATAATGGTTGACTTGGAAGATGGAAGAGGTGTAAGGTATGCAATGTGAAGTCGAGATGTCAAAATACGTGAGACCGTAGCAACGAAGATGATGAGTACAGAGTACAGCACCCAAGGACGAAGAAGCTTAGAGTGATAGTTAAGCTGTTGAGAAAACATATGAGTGATGACAATGTCGTTCAAAATAATAAAGCTTTACTTACACCAACAATGAAGAGAAAGACGCCAAAGTGGTGGCAGACTTTAAATATATGCCACCACTGGCGACGAACGGTATCAATCGATGCAAAGAAGATGAGGCAGAACCCAGAGTACGAAATAGAAGCGAGGATATTAGAGGATTTAGACATTTCGGAATGCATAGTATGCGTCTGAGCGAAAATAGTCAAGTAGGCAATGACATGGACAGTGGTAATGAGGAATAAAAGACGACCCAGCCATCGGTGAAACCAATTTATCTAAGAATGATGTTAGGTTCGCCACCCTGCCAAGACAACGCTTGTCCCTCACCGTGGCATATCCAACCTGAAGAATAGTTCCCAGCCCAAAAACCTTATTCCCAAGCATGATAACGCACGGCACAAGTGTGATCGCAACATATCCCGTCCTCGTGGAGTCCGTCATAACATTGCTGCCAACGAAACTCGCAAGAAACACCACGAGCGTGGTGGTTGCTAAGAGAAAGGCCTGCGGGACGGACAGTTTCACATAGGGAATGACATACGTCGGCAACGCCAACGGTAAACGACCAATCCTTCTGGGGAGACTGATATCGGTTTCAGGATGTGGTTTTCCTGGAACGACACGATTCTTGGTAGGAACGGGCGCAGGCGGTCTTGATGACAACCGGAATCCGACCAGCCAACCAGCGTGTTGGAGACGAGAGAAAGTCCAAGGAAGAGCAAAAAGTGCAAAAGCGAGAGAGAAGAGAACAAAGAGAACTATTAGAGCATGAGAAACCGCGAACGTATCATCCGAAGTGGTAGTCGCGTTACGGAGACGCTCTGCGTCAGTGGGGTTGGTGACTGGGGGAACAGTAATAGCACCCATGAAGGATCGTGAGCTATGACGATAAAGAAGTTACTAGCGAGCGTGTGGGTGGGCGGCCTGTATGTACGCCCACCAACGAGCGGACAGCCCACGATGGAAGAAGGAAAGCAAAACGAAAGCAGATGACAACGGCAGGGGCGGACAATAGGCTTCTGATTACGTAATCTGTCCGTCAAGCCAAATGCGTATTGTGAAGGAGCAAGTACTATGGCACTAAGGCGGGGTGCGTAGTTCGAGTATCTTATAGCCCACCCACCTTGATGTAACTGCACAAATAACTTACACAACAGTTGTCAAGGCGCGTATATGGATCTATGGACGAAACGTCACCATCATAGCCGAGCATATAGCTAATGTTCTACGGTAATGGCATCGACACTCTGCACCAATATCCTCCTTATTACCCTTGCTACGAGTTCCAGACTAACTCCCTGGAATCGTGTGAAAGGAGGGGGAATTAAAGTTTGACGATACAACAGTCGTATCCTGGGTCATGTTCCAATCGTAGCCCGAGGGGATGCGTATGAAAATGCCCGGGCGGCCTCGGATCGCGCTCAACCCGAATCAACTGATGATTTCGAAGATCCAAGTACAAACTTCCGGCCGAAGCGCTCTGTCCAGTTGCTCCGTCGAGATGAAATCTCGAGTCTACTCCTCGCCCAACCCGACTGAGCTGTGAGTACTGTTGTACCGAATGATAACTGGATATATTACTTCCATCGATGTCTCAGCTTGTGATCGATTAGTCCCGTAATCAAGTCTCATATCAATCCTAACAACCCTTTATCTCGACCGGTTCATCTTTTTAGCTGGCATTATATATCTTCCAGAAACTTCGCTCTCGAATTCGCTACTCGGTTGTCGCGGCGCCTGCTGTTGTCGTGTATTTTTGCGCGCTCTGCATTGTGCAATTCAATTTGGACAAAACATTCTTCACTCGAAGAGGTCATTGATCACAGTTCATCCAAGTTCGCAATCCTAGTTTGCTCCCAAACAGTGGCTACACGTACACATGGCCAGCACGGATGTTTGCTGAACTCTCACGATCAAGCATTGGCGTTTATGCCGAGCTCTGGGTCCCTCATTCAGGACATAATCAATAATGTGTCCTCTCTTCCATCACCTCTCTCCATATCACCCATTAATTTTCCTACTCGTGGGCAAGGTGAACAAATCTCACATTGGAAACGCGATAAATCACAATGATATTCGGCCAACTCCGCTAATTTACAGCCAAGGAGTCAAGTCAAGCCCGATACTTTTAGGGGTTGGTGGGGGGTTGGGTTGGGAACTGGCATCACATTGGCGATTGGCTGGCGAATCCATTAATATTTTGCTGGTTCGCAGACCTTCTTTGGTTGTATTAAGGTGCCCACAACAACCATGCTTTGAGTGAGATTGCACCTAAAACCGGACCTGCGGCAACGATCGCTCTATCCATGGATTTGATTGTACACAAAGGTTGCGAAGCTGATCCATGAGCAAGAAGGCCGTAAATAAAAAATAGTTGCCCAAATGTCCAAAGTTGAACTTGAATCTCCCTCGCCCGTGATCGGGGTGAACAAGATATTGTGGATGTATGTACGACGGAACAAGCACTTCACCGTTCACCTTCGGGAAAAAAAAAAAAAAAATTGCATTATGTACTGAGACAAACCGCACACGTAACATGTGGCAAGTCGGGGAGGATGCATTCACAAACATTTGCCTGTTGGGGCAATCGGCTACCATACCGGCGTGGCGTGAAGGCAATGGACGCCATGACAAATAAACGAGAGTGTATGTCAGCCCTGATGCAAAGCGCCCCATACGTAGCACGTTGGGTCTGTAGATGCTTTGCACACCAAGACCGAGATTGAGTGAACATACATCGCCACGCTACACCAAACTACACCACGGAAAGTCATTGGCCATATGACCTCGCTATAAATGGCAACGCATGTTTAGTTCTATGTATCGCAACGTCATGAGAAGTAAGGGTCGAGATCGGGAGAACTCCAGATCAGCCGCAGAAGTAATGCGGTAAAGCCTGGCGTGCCTCTAACATGATCTTCAAGTCGCAGGCACATAGCCTAGCTAGGCGTTAAATTGTAATTCGTGCTCACGAGACCATTTTCAATACAAACCGACACGTTTTCGCCGCCACTCATCCTTCCCTCCTCAAGCTCATTGCTATTACTCGATAACTAGCCCAGGCCTGGAAATGCCATAACACAATCCCAGTTCATTTGGGGGGTCGAATACACAACAGTAGGCTAGGCCCATAACGTCACACATTCTAGGGCTAAGGCCGTGTCGCATTGGATTTTTTTTGGTGGAACTGCAGGACCAAGCCAGCGTGGCTGGCTTGGGCTTTTCCCCCGCACACAGCCCCGCGGAGGGTCAGTTTTACCTGAAAGAAAGGCCGATTTCAGACATAACCCCAATGAAATTCCGGATTAATGAAGTTACAGCTGCACGTACCGATCGCGACACATTACGGCTGCTCGATCCGATCCGAGAAGCCCCATGTCTCCATCCTAAAAGTAACACCGCGGCTTCTGGATAATGTTCGACTCCAGCACCATCTCCCACAGCTGAGATGTTATCCTACCATAACAGACCGCATATATTCCACTCACCGATTCACACGCGTACACGCGACGTGAGCGTCCCTATTATAAAGCCTCAAGGTGCATCCAGGGTCGATCGAACGCGGGAGGTTCAAGTCCAATTGTGCTTATACGTATGGAATAATCAAATGAACCATGGATGCAATCCGACTTTAAAACCCCGAGGCCCAATGGAGGCGACTGTCCAGCGCGCGGGGGCGAGTAGCATATATGCATTAGTCCCATACTGCAGTGAGCTAGGCAGTCGGGGCCGTTGGAGTTGTGAATTTCATGAGCTTCGCAAACTGTTCTTACTTACCTAGGCTAGCTCAGCAATACTCAAGAAGTAAGAAAGCCTGAGACCTTCCTAGTTCCACCTCTTCGGAACCCTCCAATGGAAAACCCTGCTATTAATTTGCACGGCTCCTATAAATCCTAACAGACGGCGATGCAGGGTCGGTGAATACGATGATCCACAGCAATACAATCCCCACGCTCAGTGCAGCAGCTGCAGATTCTATCTTCAAAAACAAAGCTGCCACGGCACCACCGCTGTTCCGTCCATGAAGGGTGTTTCTTTGAGAGAAATAAGAGGAAAAAGAAGGGATGTCGGATCCAGAAATGAACCCTTCACGGGCACCAGCAATTATCACGCAGGTAATTGGTCCTTTGATTAATCAGCTCGCAAAAATGGCACGTAAATCGGACCTACGACGACCCGCATTTGCATGACGCATGTTTTCCAACAGATGTGATTGGCTCTTCACGGGCGTTGCTCAGCGGAATTTCGCTACAACCACACCACAAGCACAATTTCCTCAGTTCCAAAACTTTCCTCCCAACTTTCAAGCATCGACGTCCGACCACGATAGTATTTAGACAACACCGGATACACTGAGGACAGGTCTCAGATTGCCGGTATCTTAGCCTTCAAGATAGTCAGCAAAATTACTCGGATATGATAATCGCGCATATCTAGTTCATTAGCACCAAAGAATACGAACACGCCTGGCAGGTCGGGCAGGTCGGGCATCTGCGGATCGTGAAGTGGAGCGGAAACCAGGTCTATTGACCGATCCTCAATCGGGAATGAGAAGAAGGCAAATAATTGAAGCGTAGCAGAATTGAGAGGGAGCGAGGGGAGCGAACAAGCGTCGCGAGCGATTTTCACTTGGAAGAGAGTAGTAAACTGATTTAAGGAGTTCCACCCCGGACCGAACCGATTGTATCTGGTCTTGCAGCAGAAGTGTTTGAGCCAAGAATTGATCCGAAATTAGACGAATTGGAAGACCGAATACCAAGAGTCGACGAAGGTGGAATGTGATCTTTTCGCCCGTGAAAAACGTATTATGCAGAGGACATATCAACATTTTCGGGGCTAATGGGTGTGTCCAGACTAGCCACAGCCTTCGGGGGGAGGAAGGTATCATACAAAACGATTCCTGCGCAATTAATGCCAGTGAGACTTCTGTGCTCGAGCGGAGTCGAGCCGTATGTTTCGCGTTCGACTGAGCCCTGACTAGCAACCTACCAGATGAGCACGAGCATGTCCAAAAGATCTAGTATGTAGACCTAGGCCAGGCGACTCCATTGGGTACGCAAATTGAGGGTTCTGCAGTCATGCATGCCCATGGGCAATTAGAGCGCGTTGCAGACACGTGTTGTCACATCTGTGTCAATCCACAAGGCAAATCCGATGAGCGACCAAAAAGACTCGTATACCGTGACCCAGTATTCAAGCGAACCGGTGAAATGAAGCGGGGAGAACGTTTTGGAATCGACAGGTAGATGGATGACTTTGATCGTTTATGATTTGCCATTGTCGATTTTGAAGGAGAACGTTTTGCGTACAGTGTGAGTTCTTTACAATGCCAATATAGTGAGAACAGTGTAGCACGGGGAATGATATGTAAATGCTCAAAATATTGGTGCATGATGAAGATCTAGCGGTGAAAGATATGACATGTAAGATGAACTTGGGAACAAGTATCATTGGGCTACAGCATGCAATGCGTGCGACCACACTCGGCCAGACCGACACCAGATGTCCGAATAGACCCTCGTCCGATACTCCCACGTAGGAGGGGTTCGAGCCGGGTGAGGAAGCAGGCGAAGGTTGACCGGGCCCGCGCTGCGCGTTCGCTGAGTTGAGTGCCGCTTAGGGCCCGAAAGCCGTCACAAAGGGAAAGGAAAAATACAGATGCTAGTGCGGATGTATGCATCAAGTAAGCGAGTGAGGGAGCCAATCCAAGACAAGAGTTGGAGAATGCATACGGGTTCGAGTGCCGAATCACCCAAGAACATGTGTTGGGCGGAAAATCCTGGGAGAATAATTCGCGAAAGAAGAGGAGTTCAGGGAAAAAGTGCTTAAAGCGCACGGAACGAGATCGAAGGAAGCCAAGGATGGAAGGAAAGGACGATTGGTCTGGCACGTCAAACTTCGAGACACGAAGCGCAAGGAATTTCATGATGACTCGGGAAACTTGACTTGTGAAATAAAACATGCTGTGCATGCAGCACCTGTTGTAGCGGGCAAACAAGCTGAACCAGCTACCCAGACATGCGATTTCCCTGACCGGGGGGCGCCCATTGTATGCCCGATACACGAGCCTTCGCACTCATCGATACTATAACTGGGTATCACTTCTGAATAAACGAGGGCATGCATACAGAGATACATACATATCTGGGTTGGGTCGATTCTGAACCCCTGTTCTGCTTGAATAAGCTCATGCATTCCAAGGAACATAAGGAGGTAAGAGGCCCTGAATTACACGATGCCGTTTTGGAGGGGATTGAGCCTGAGGAGGGGCTAGATCAGAGGAAGGCAGGTTGCTGATGTGCGTGGCGCTTGAAGCCGCGCGAATCGCATGCGGCTGGTTGATCGCGGCGCATTTTTTAGCACCGATGTGAGGCCAGAGACTGGCGGAAGGCGGGAGGCGACGGATCGGAGAAGGGAACGAGGCTTTTTTCTTTCTTCATCTTTCACCTGGAACAGAGATGCTACAAAAATTTGAATTTCTCACCTGCAGGATTTTATTTTCGATTTTCCCATATTATCATTACCATTTCTTTTTCCTTTGTTTTTATCATTTTCTTAGTTTACGGTAACCTGATTGGGGAACGAGGATCCAGTCCAGCGAGATATTGTTCACTAGGATATTGCTTGGTGCAGTCCGATATATAACCAAAAGTCCACAGGAGATAGGATAGTATTGAGTCTTGTCCCATGGCACTTCTAATATGTGCCACGGTCCCAAAAAGAGCAAAGGGGCCTCGTTCTCTCCCTTCCTTTCCGGCTGCACCTAGCTGACTGAGTACTGGTCCTGACGTATATAAGGATGAGGAAGGAGAGAGATAACAATCCCTCCCAGCCAACCGAGACAGTACCACCGCGCGCTCCTCTTAAAAATCCTTCCTCCTTCAACTGTTTCACTCACTCATTGTCCCCTTCTCCTATCCAAACCTTTATAATGGGCATCGAGATAACCACCCTCGTCAAAGGCGACGGCATTGTGAGTGTTTCTTCCTTCTTCACGTACTCCCTTTCCGTTCCTCGATGAGCGTCTTGGCTGACTGTCTCCCTCTCCGTCTCTAACCCACAGAACTATCCCAAGAGAGGGGGTCAGTACCGTTCTCCACCCCTCGATCTAAGCGTCGAGATAACACCTACGCCCTCGATCCCTTCTTTCGGTCTAGATACTATCATGATGCACTACGTCGGCACCGTCGACGGCAAAGAGGTACGTCTGCCTCCTGTGTTGCCGATGATGGTTATCCCCGCCGTAATCATCATCACCATACACGGTGGCATTACTTATTTTCAACGTGGAATATGTCTCACTAACGGCCTGATTTCTGTCTTTTTTTTTGATCGACCTTTTTGTTCTTCGCACTCTGACCGATCCTACGCATGCTTTCCATTTCCAATGAACTCCAATCTTGTGACCAACCGCGGTCGAATAATTGGAAATTTCCCGGATCTTTGGGACTGACGAACACGTGAATCGAATGATTTCCGCTCCTTAGTTCGACAATTCTCGCTCGCGACAACGACCACTCGTTACAAAAATAGGTGTAGGTGCCGTGATAAAAGGTTGGGATGAAGGTACGCAAAAATTGGACCTGTGCCTCTGGCCCTTTATGTTCTCTAATTCGATCTTCTTCATACATCTCTATTCGTACGTACTTGGACATGCGGGCCTGTTCCTTACTCCTTGCAATTCTGCCATGCCCTGGATTTTCAGGCATACCCCGCCTCTCAGTAGGCGAACGCGCTCTTCTTGTCACCTCCCCTGATTTTGCATATGGCGAGAAGGGGTTTCCACCAACTATTGTACGTACAGTTAATTCTATTGTTCACCTAGGTTCTTTTAGTATTGCTTTATTTCATTTTCTTTTGGTTATTTCTTTTAGTTACCGTTATCTGCGGTTATCTCTTCTAACCCTTGCCTTCTTGCAACATTCCCCCTAATGTTGTCGATTCTACCGTAAAAAAAAAACTCGTCACGCTCTTCTTACTGACGCCCCTTATGCGTTTTTAGCCCCCAAATTCAACACTTCGGTTCGACGTCGAGCTTATCAAAATCAACTGAACCTGTTAATTTCTCTTGGGTCTGAAAGGTTCTTGTTCTGGATTGAAACAAAATACCCATCACTCCATTGACCAAGTAGCCAACTCTTCTCACTAATATTCGTCGGGTCTTGGAATGTCGCTGTCTCCTCTTCTCATCATCATTATTTCTTTTCTTTCGCATAGAGTTCTTTTTTTTGGGGGGGTGGGGGCTACAACCGCTCTCTCCAATTTTAACATCCATTTTGGGTTGAGTCATTCGCTTGTATTCCAAGCAATATCACTCCGTTTGTTACCTAAACGCGGTTTCGACCCTCAACTGACCTTTCTTCTGTCTTCCCACTTTCCATTCTCAGCTTTTTTCTTCTCTTTTTGCAATCCTCTCCTGCATAATTATTCCTGTAAAAAAGCTTGTACCATTGGAACATTCCAACGAACGGACCGGACGGCGTACGCGCAGTCCAATCATACTTGTTTCCGTATTTTCCTTCGAAACAATGTTCGATGATCTTTCAGATAGATTGATCATATCGTGTCTAGCTCTTTCATTTCGAATCTGTTCCCGTTCCATGCATGCATTTACGTAGAATGGTACGATACTATCCAGAGCCTGGAGTTTATATGATTGAACCTAGAACGTTTAACTGGCCGGCACGGTGACAGGTTACATCATAAATCATCATTTGATTAGTGCCAGCCCAACCCAGCCCTTGACGGGACCAAATTTTTTTTCGCGACTTCGATTCGTTTGCGCCAATGTGGTTGCAGTTTGATTTTCTTCGTTTCTTTCAGCCACGAGTTGCGTTATTGCCTCTCTGACAGGGGATGTATCAAGCCGGGAGATGGTGGGTGTGTCATTAACTGGTTTAGCGTCCTGGAGACGTTTCGGTTTCGGGCATAATTGCGCGCGTGCCCGCACGTCCATGCGAGGGTTTCACGCACAGCGAGCGTGTAACCGCAAACTGTCGGCAATTTCTCGATATGCATTTCATGCAGGTGCGTGGGTGAGTTTTTAGCATGCATGCATGGACACCCAGTATGGGGACGTATATGGCTGTATGCATTCGTTCGAAAGTACGTATAAAACGAGGATATAGATAGAGCCTAGGCCTCCATTCCACCGGACCAATTCTACCTCCCTCTCTGACTCGACACCTCTTTGTCCACGAAAAAAGAGCAGCTACTTCGAATCGCAACTCCTGTGGTTGGAGTGGCGAGCGGCGTGCGTGGCTTGGCCATATACCTCACTCCAACTGCTGCCAAGCGGCGTGTAGCGGGCGAGCTTGAAGGGGTCACAAATAACCTTACCTTCTACTCACGAAAGCGGAAAGGCATCAAGCGCATCTAAAATGGGAAATCAATTGAAACCATGTATACATAGCCACCACGCATGGCCGCGCAAGGGGTCGAAGAAGGCAGCGGGGATTGAGAGGAGAGAAGGTCCCAGAACGCCTTGGTTCGCTATATTTGGTGGTTCTACCATACACATACCCTCAATACCTGATCTAGGTAGGAAGCATGTATGATAGAAGCTCACGATCGAGCTAACCGCAGGGAGCTAGACACCCTTTCAGAATGTACCACTCTGGAAGGATGGAAATCAGAATCAGTGAGATGACGCACTGATGAGGTGCAGGTGTGATCGACGAATGGATTTTCGGGTAGGTAAGCAGGGGAAAACCTTCAACCCCGCAATGAAGCCATCTGTCCTCCTCGGCCTAACAGTCCGTTCCCCCCTCCCCAATATACATCCTTCCCATCGGAATCAGAAAAAATTAAGATATCAAGCATCAATGTATCGATCACCTAACATCTTGATAGCTGAGAGATAAGAACATACGTTCGACGGACTTCCGCGGGCAAAGCCTCTCTCCTTGACAGAAATGGGCGGTTGTGTCACTGTGCACATAATTCAAAGCAACCCTACCCCCGCTTCGGCCTCAGCGTAACATATCTAAACACACCTTTTCCATGACCCTGCGCAGCATTCAGCAAATGCCGACTAAAGAAGTTGAAGCCTCCAAAACAAGGGCAAGAAGCAGTGACTATACTAGGCGACGTCAGGGCGGACCCGTTATTTCCTTTTAAAAGGTCCTCTCCGCTGATGGCGGAGCTTATGAAATTCGGACCGTTGAGCTGCTTTTGTTTATTTCGCTCTCCGCATCTCCAGACAGGCCATTACCCAAGCATGAATACCAAATGAAAGGGGTCGGAAGCGAATTATTTCAATATTTGCGGGCGGATAATCGTTCGTTCCTCACCTTGCAGATCGTCACCTTGGACCGTGTGCCTCATCGAGGATGATCGGCGAAGCCAGAACACCATATCAGAAGAGGCTGGGTACTTCTGCATGCTGATTAAAACCGAGAAGTCATGATAGAGGGAGCAATTCTTGTGAGAATCACAGGGGTGTCTATTCAGAGCCAGATAGCCCCCAAAAGCTGGCACCGACGGTATCTTGGATTAGATCCGGCTGAGGGTCTACCTGGGGCGTCGGGATTCTGCTCAAATTGGAGAAGGAGCCCAAGGAGAACGGTCTTGCACCCTCTGTGCAAACCCTAGGATAGATCATAGTTTCTGTTTAATATCCGCGCGGGCCCGCGGATGCATGAATCATTCGCCGTATGACTACAAAGGGAACAGTAACCATGCTGACGATGTGCCCGCACTATGTACGCCGAGGCCATCCTAACAGAAAAAGGACTTAGGACAATTCATCAATAGTTGGGGCAGAAAACATGAAAGGGATCGGGAATCGGGAGTGCGATCCCTGCCGGTCTGCTTTTCAGCGGTTGCTTGAGGTGTCCGAAGCTTCCCCAATCCGATTGAAAGAGAATGACGGAAATGGAGATGATCTGGGGCTCTGGACGGCACGCGTACGTTAGAATCTCGGGCTAATTTCAATAAACTTGGGAAATATGTTTGGACACGAATCCACCTCTTGATCGCTCCAGGGGAGAGGGCTTGTGATAGACCCACAAGTGCGGAGGCACCTCCATAATGTTTCAGAGTATCATATCCTTATGCCTCCTTGCACAATGATGGAAATGTGTCCTGCAATTTTGCGCGGCGACAGCTTAACCGTGAGGACTGTTACAAGCGTTTGATCCCTAAACATGGCGATAGGGGGATCCACCAGAGGGTATTCTGGGAAATAGATGGGATAGCGGCTGATGCATAAGGGCACAGACAGCCGACTGTCCTGATTTCCTAGATCCGGGCACAGCTGGTTGTGCGGACTCAGGTCTGTGAGTCTGTGAAAAGCAATGAACCTGTTTGGGGTACCCGCAGTCACAAGGCTCACAGCGATGCTGTCATCCAAGTGATTTCAGATACGAACTAGGGCGTGGGCTTTCATGCTGCCGAGTAGGTTGATGAGGAAATGCGCATTGGCAGCTATACAGCATGCAGACCAGCTGACTCGCACGTTCCGCGTGATCTAGTGGCCATGATATCGGGGAATATGAGCCGTTCCTGACTATGATAGCGAACTAACGCTTGTGGCTTGATTATTAGACGGCTAGGGGTGCCACAAGTATTGAGGTCATTCCACTACTTCATCTGGTGTACCCATAGGAATATAATCAATGCAAGTTCCGACTAGGATATTCATGAGGGGAATTACGTGGAATAGCCTAAAGATTAATAAACCCTCAGCTCAGAAGTTGTGCAGGCGTGTGAAGATCTCAGCATTCAAAGCGAAATGAGGCGTGTAGCATTTGGGACCCCGATGGGGTTCCTTTGTTTTCCTAATTTGAGTCGAGTATGAAAGGGGAATCAGGGTGATAAGGCAAGATAACGCTGCAGTTAAGGCATCCCTGTTCTCCACAAGCGGAAAGATCATGCCCGTTTGACTTGACCACCACGGTGCAAAAGCCACTCGTAAGATGCCCCCGGACAAGGCAACAAATTGAGCACTAGGAATCAGATCGCAAAAGCCTTTCGAGCTGCTGGTCCCGACGAAGGAGAGGGGGACATCATTGCACGAGGCCAGTTAGGTAATATCAAAGGTCACGTTACCCGATGATCGGATGCTTATCTCTTAATGACCGCTCTTTACTGTTTTTCCATAGGGGCCCTCATGTGAAGTGACAGGTGTCCAATTTCTTCAGAGTCAGTCACACTGGGCCATGACGGATAGGGATGTTATTAAGAATCTAAACTGTGACTGAAGTAACGCTTATCTATCGTATCCGCAGTAAACGCGTATCGGCCTCCGGAAAACGCTATTGACTCAAATGGCCTTTCTGATACGGCGGATTCCACTAGTGTCCAAGCGCTGCTGAACCAAATTTTGCAGGTGGGTTTACACACGATGAAAACTTTGAGCTTGGCCACACGCCTCTCGGTGTCGGCCCAACTTGACCGCCCAATTTCCCCGGGATGGTTGCAAATTAGTGTACTACACGTTAATTTCGCTTCGTCATGTTCATTTTTGGGGGTCGCCCGCCCAGCAACCCCCTCTCGGCCTCTGCTCCCTTTCCATGGATGGCAATTTCCCTTGGAGATTTCTGAGCACGAATGAAGGAGACCCTGCCACATATCAGGAACTGACTGCAATTGGAGCCAAGCGAGATCTTCAATGGAAATTAGGGTCAGATTGGCTAGTTTCGGGGTCTATAGTGTGGGCAATGCGCTTCTCCGAAGTCAATCGCTGCTGCTCTTACTCTCACGAGAAAGATTACTTTGGCCCTTACTAAAAAAGAGTGCAAAATTCTGCAGAAAATGGTCCTGCATTATCTCACATCTAGGGCGCCGGGTCACTCTAGGGGATGGATATCTCCCGGACAGGTCCAAATAACACTCGCTTATTTGTCATTCTTATCGGACAGGATCACATTGACTTTAGCCTTCCTCATGTGTGATGCCATATGGCTTCACGTTCGTGCAAATGCATGAACACGCGAGGCGTCTGATATGCTGCTTCCAATTTCGGCGTGGCAGTACAACGCAGCATTGATTCCCGCCATGCTCACGCCGGCAGTGGATTTAATGAGCGCTGGTTTAGTTGGGTTCTACTGAGGACTACAGCAATGGCATAGTACCCGAGGCCGTACTACGCGAGCCTCGTGGCATGCCACTGTGGCCAAAACTTTTGAAAGTAGCCTCACCCTCGCGTGCAACTCATGCGAGTTGATACCATGACATCGTTTGCGGGAGTTGGCTTCGGATTGCCGAGGCCAAATCCTGATTAAGCTAAGCACATGATTCGCACCTGAGATTCCCATTTTGGTGACGGCAAACCTCTGTCGATGTCACCTCAGACTCTCGGTGCAGGATGACCCTGGCAGGGCCATGCTCCGATACCAGTCGGATCAATGCGGGCAGTTTTCCTCAGGAACACCAATTCATTCCCACGGACACTGCGTTAGAGTGCACGGTCATTGGAACATCATGAGACTTGATATTGGCTAAGCTTGTGTAGCTCTCGCACTCAGCCTCGCGAATCGAGGAATCTGAGCTCAATACACGCTCTCTCGGAATTGGCAAGTCCTCTTCCCTCCTCCCACCACACGACCAGTAGATCTCATTGTTCAGTAAACAGCATTATTTTGGAGACCCATCACAACTCGTCATCTCAGGATGGTGTCCTTCACCTATGTAAAATCTCTGCATTTGCCAGTCGTTCAGCTCTGAGGTCGGATCATACCTGTTCCCTCATTAGACTGCCGCTAGTAAGAGCCTGGCACTAGAAACCAGAACTCAAAACGTCGTCGCGTTAATTCCAGCTCAGTTCAGATGATTTGGGCGGGTCTTGTGATGAGGTTCTGGTATGATATCATAAGACTTGAACCATTAATTTCTGGGAAGAAACATGCAGTGCTGAAACCGTGAAATGATTACATATGTACACCTGAAGTATTCTGGGCTCAAGGATCAAGGACACGACCGCCGCATGGCGCATCCATTTTGAGCCGCACGCGTGACATCCTGAAAATCCGTAGATACAATCGGGTTGGTCACCTGGCAATGGCTCAGACGCGGTTGTAAAAGCACCTCTCACTCATTTCTCCGTCGTAGAGATTGGATCCTAGCTTAATATATTGGGAAGGATATATACTGGCTTGGCCCCATTTAGGTTTCAATTCAGTTCAAGCTTATGACGATAGTGGCTGTGGCACTTCTTCGCTTTTCGACATCGACAAACGAGTTTCTTTTTTTTTTTATGTCTCTCAGGTACCTATCAGCAAAGTTAGCGCAGCAGGTGCATTGAACCATTTCATTCATCTTCTTCAAACCGTTCACGTGGATGCTTTTAAACTTTGGTTCAAATTCATTAGATCGATGAAGAACTCATGGGCGCAGCTGGTGCCTTCAGCTTGGACCAGGCTCGTACAACTGATCCCAATGACTAAAAGTGTGATCGCCTCAACTTATGTGAGCAGTTAATGGAATTAGCTGGGCTGGCATGCGCGCAGACGGTGGCGAAAGTTTATGACACCGAAAAATACAATCGAGTTCTTGTTTGCTGTGGCCCCGGGAACCAGGTATTATAAAGCCTCCCCTGGCGCGGAGGAAAGACGTAACTGATGCCATCGTGCCAGGGAGGTGACGGACTTGTGGCCGCGCGACATCTTAGTGAGCGCCGCTCAATAGACGTTGACAATATTCTCTGAACCTCATGAGTAGGTATGTTTGGGTTTAGCCCCACCCTCTATATGCCAAAGGTAATTAGCGTGTGCATCTATGATCGTGTAGTTTACTGACAACATGCGCAGCCAGGCTCTAAAGACATATACAAAGTACTCGTATCCTCTTTCACGAGCCACAAGAAACTCACGCTGGATCTCATAGCGCCTGCACAGACAGTGTGCAAACATGTCCATTCCAACCCTCCCACATGATCCACCAAACGACCTTGCTACGTCTTACGACCTCATTCTTGATGCCATCTTCGGCTTCTCTTTCAAACCCCCAGTACGTACACCGTTCGACACTTTATTGCCACTTCTTTCGAGAAGCAAACTCCCAATCGTGAGCGTGGACATCCCCAGCGGATGGGATGTTGAAAGGGGGCCGGTAGAATTAACGAAGAATGCAAGTGGGGAGGATAAACAAGAGCAGCTGGACATGTCATATTTAGAGCCAGACGTCCTCATTTCATTGACAGCCCCTAAAGAAGGCGTCAAAGGGTTTAAGGGGAGGCACTATCTGGGTGGGAGATTCGTTAGCCGGTGCGTCGAGTCCAACTTGCTGGATGTTCCAATGCCATGCAGATGGGTTAACGTATTTTTACAGAGAACTGGAGAAGAAGTACCAACTAAACCTCCCTCAATACTATGGATATGAGCAGATCGTCGAGCTCCCCCCAGAGACAGACGAGACAACGCAAAAGCTGTGATGGAGGATCATACCGATGGCTGCGATTCTAATAAAAATGTCACAATTACAGTGATTTGCGTGTACTGGTTAATTAGCATGACTAACGTCGTGAAAGCCATGAAATAGTTGAGCTACGAAATGAGGTCCAACAGGTATATGCGAACTAGATATGGGGACGCCATTACGGTGCCTTACTACCAGCCGCTAGAGTTGCTTGGGGGGAGGGGTTGTGTCAATATGCTATCCCAACCGACCTTAGTGGCACCTGCAATATCCCTCATTTCATAGTCATGGGCATGAGCATTATCAATTCCGAAGTCAAATGTGGGGATTGCACCAACCCTCTGTGAGGATGTGGGCTCAGAAGAATTGATTGTGGACGCCGTCGGAGGAACAGGAAGATCCCCGGGAGACGCATCGGTCGCCCGCGAATCATGGGGAATCGAATCATCCTTGAGTGAACTTCCAGGCATCCTGCCGGACTGTGGAGAGGGTATGCTAGGGTTGTCAAGCCCTTTCCTGGACTCGGAGTCTACCCGTTCGAAGTTACGGGGCTGCTTCGATAGAAATGGCACAGAAGAAGGGTTTGAAAAACCATTGATTGTAGGATTCTTTGATAAATTACTGTCTCTCGCTGCGTTTGAGCTAGGAGAAGGCCGAGTCGGCGCAGCAGACTGAGAAGGACCATTTGTGCTTGAATGGTCATGCGTATGAGATAGGACAAAGGGGGGTGTCTTCAGAGCAGGTGGTGAAGGCCTGGTGTCATTGGGGCGTGACGCGGATGGCGCTTCAGGTGGAAATTTATCGTACCCCATCAGCGGGAACCCCAAGGATGTCCAAGGTGATGGAGGGCGAGGACGGGTGGCCCGTGCTTCATTTCTGCGACTTGTGTTCTCAGTATCAAGGGAATCCAACCCCCGAGCCTTGCGAAGCAAAGCGAGACTTGGAGACTCCAGAGAACTCATCTTGTCCCAGAACTCAGCATAGGATTTAGGGGAAGGAGTCGAGATAGTTAGGCGAGGATTCGACGACCTTGTGGTGTCGTCTGGGGCATCACTGGGCGAATCAGCATTCACGGAAGAGGGTAGTATGCCTCGGAAAAGGGTTCCTGGTGACGGGCTCTCCAAGGGGCCAGGGTCAAAGCCTACGGGGCTGGCGTCACTGGAAAGAGGGCCTGTATGAGTCGTCGATCAACCTGAGGAGGAGAGGATGGCATGCCTCGCTTCACTGAGGACAACAAAGCGGGCCTTTTTGGATGACCCATTTCTCTCGGAATCGCAGGCTATTGAGACCGGGGATCTCAAGCCCTCTGTTGATTGAGGTGGGGGTGGGTGCGATACCGAGCTTTCAGGGAGAAAGACTACCGGTTCCTGCACGCCTGACACAAGTCTTTCGGAAGAAAATGGTTCTTCAGGTGGCTGGCTAATTGGTGTCATGGGACGCGCAGACGCATCGTTACCGTCATTTCCTGCTGTGGCTGTATCGGGTGAAATTTCTATGCGAGTCGATACCGCTACGCTTGATTGTGGAGTTGAGGTTAGTGTTTGTGTTGAGATGTTTAAGTAAGTGTCTACAGTTGCTAGTTAGTAAGGCAGAGAGAACGATGAGGAATACGTGCCAAAAGATGGAGTAGAACCACCCATATAAGTCATTCTCCATTGAGGAAGGTCCCGTCGCTTTACAGGCTTGTGCGTTCTGAGGTGACTGTCAAGATGGTCCGAGAGCTGCACAGTGTCGTCAAAGAATAGCCGGCAGTCGTGCCAGGGACAAGCATAGTATCCCGACGTCATTTAGCTCAGGTGAGTCTCAGAATGCCTCAGGGCTGACTTGGGACTTTGAAGTAGGAAGCAACACACTCTTCAGTGGCTGTGTTGGCCATTAGAAATCTAGGCAACAACGGCGGGACGTTTTCCTCTGCAAACAGTGAATATAGCATCTAAATAATGCTGTGATGTCATTTAGGGTTGGGTAGTTTGGAATTATGTAGTACGCCTCGGATTTTACACATGCTTCATTATCAAGATGGGTAACACTGGAAACAGGCTGGTTTGTTCCAAATTGAAAAAATGGAAAAGAAAAAAGAAAAAGAACAACAGAAAAACGATACCTTTGGAAATAAATCCCCGATCCGGCCTCAGGGACAACTTGAACAAGGTCAGTGCTCCGAGAATTTAGGTTGAAAGCATACGGCAGTTGCCGAAATAAAAATTTACCTGCATGTTTCGCTGTTCTGGCTCGGAGTCGCAGCGAAAACGTTCTCAAAGCCAAAAAGTGGCAATCAACACATAGCACAATGCATCGGGTTGTGCTTTGAGGAGAGAAGTGCATCGAATCCAGTTCCCGGCTCCATATGGAACGTGAAACGTTGGGTTCTTTGCAACGCCACCGTCCTTGTTCCCTTGTTCCAATCCTCCACTCTCTCGTATCATTGTGGCCCCAGTTATGTGCACCCTTTGCTCGGGCGGCCCGAGATTAAGTCTTGGAATCACTTCTAGGTTTCCACTCAACTGGTTTGATGGAACCTATATGTTGTATATATGCGTTGGATGTGGCGAACGCGTCCCTGTGCTGAAGGAGCGGTATTGTCGCCGTTGTCCCTCTCCACCCACACATAACTTGAAAAGAACATAAATTTCATCCTCATTCTTGTTGAGGATAGAATTTTGAACAGAATTTGTGTCTTGGGTGGGTTTGTGTCGCCCACATGCGTCATATCTCCATTCGCCTTCCTGAACAGAGATGGCGTTCACGTTGGTGACGCGATAGTCCCTAGTCCGGTCTCGGGCTGTGGAATGGTGACAACGGTGCTAGTGGTCAGGCCGAGCCCAGGTATCCCCTCACAAGATGGCGAGAGGGAGTAATAACAATTGGGTGGCTGGGGTATTGCACTTCAGCATGTAACGTGTTGATCAATCACATTGTCAGAAACGGCCGAAAATTGCTTTCAGAAGCGTGCTCAGACTTTGCGATGTAGCAATGACGAGGCATGGGATTCAACGATCGGTTCATTGGAATAAAAATGCGACTGGAGGGATATCCCCGGACATTGACCCTACTCCACGTTATCACAAGGAAGTCTGCGTACTGAGTCTCTATCAGCCTCATTCTCCAAACCCCCGTTTGATGAACCCAATTACGTCTGTCTCAACTCGGCGAATCCGATGAACCTTCGAGCACAACGCTGATATTACGCCAAGTCATTAAACCAAAACCTCTCGGCGTCCGTGATGTGAGCGATGCGATTCCAAAGAATCTGTATCGGGGACATCGGGGAAATTAAGATTAAGTCCGCGGGATCCGACGACAAGCCTTCGTGATAGGCTCCAGAGCGCGTTTAAAGGCTCCTGGGTAAGTTAGGTAAGTGAGAAAACCCATCAGAGTTACACACTCGTGCCATAGCGCATCAGGACGGGATTTCGATGGGCTTTAGGTTGGAACCCAGCCCACGGTGTGGCTTACCGCTCTGCGGATCCCCGGAGTCCATGAATCGATTGCTTTATGCCATGCTCAGATCACAAGCCGTCCATTGGCACTATTCACTCGGACGACGCGAAATGATCTCTTCACACATGGCTGCTTGTGGCTACCGCTTGACTTCCGCCACTTCGAAGTGCATGCTGTCACCGAACTTGATATCAGTTCTCGCGCAGCGATAGGTGGCTAGCTAGCTGCTATGGGCCGGTGCTGAAATGGGAGATTCATGGCTGCTACTAAAGGAATGAATTGCGTGTGCTTCGCGGTGAACACTGCTGCAACAGCCGTGGACCGCGCATTGTCTACTCGAGCATTATCTCTTGTCCTTGCCTATCCAATTTTTGTTCTCAGTCCATCAATTCGTCCTGTCGACCACGCTACTGAAGCAGAGAATTGATGGTCTCCTTGCAGCGGGAGGCGACACTGTGGTTCCACTTGGTGGCAGTCAATGTTGCGTTCGTGCTTCCTTCCTTTTGGGCTGCTACTAACAGCGCACTCTCTATTTTTGTCAGGGTCAAAGTTGGTCACGACATGTATTAAGTCGAGCCAGTATCTCTTTTATGTAAGTCTTGGCCATCGTGTAGCGTTGGCGTTCGGTTCTATGCTGCGGTGCGGCCCATTCAAGACGCTGCAGTCGTTAGTCTCATGAAGAACCTTGCAGGATAGATGACTTAAAGGAGATTGTTAGCGACGCATGGGCACCGTCCTAGATTGCTATGTCGCCGCTCTAGTCCCGTCATCGCGATTACGTGGGTGAGGAGGGGCCAGAGAATTGCTACTACAGCAAACAGCGCTTGTGGAGTGAAGCGTGCCTCGGTCCTCAGTTAACTTATTGTGACCGTCATCGATTCAACCAAGGTGAGCCTGCCGGGCACCAGGGTTGATGTCATCTAGCGTCTCATTTGCTGGTGCCATGGCACGGAGGACAGCAAGAATTGTGAAATGCTATTGATCGCTGTAGTCCTGCCTGGTGAAGGCTGGGAAGACATCCATTGCACACTCGGTGGGGGAGGCATATGATTGTCGACCTTCCTGTCTCAAGGAAAGCAATTCTAGAAGTTGGTGACTGGACCTCTGTCTGAACGGCACCTTCCGACCGCCCTGTGCAGTCGTTATTGAGGCTTTAGAGGCATGCGAGGCGGGACACGTCCCAGTGCGTTGCTGACATGCTTCGGAAAGAAATACCCCAATAACATCAAATCCTTTGTCATCTCGAAGGAACTCGTCGCTTGATTCCTTCGGCGCCATCAGTCTCTCCGACCGTAGAACCCTGCATGACTGTGCTGTACACCATAGTTCTCAAGGAAGAGAAGGATAAGTTGGTCCGAAACGTATCGGAGTGAGTAGGAGCTTATCCATGTGGATCAGCACCGTCTTCTGGTCACTAGCGGTGACCATGTGAGGATGCTGGGGAAATTGTTCGATGCTAGAGCCAACTGATCAAAGGCTTCCGCGGAAGGATAACGAATAGCCTATACATTAACTAGACTTGCTTCTCTCGTCTCGGGCGTTGGGAAATTTCGCACGCTAATTTATATCTTATATCCATATGGCCCTGCGCTGCATTGAGGTCTTCAATAAGGATCCCTGCTTTGCGGAGGGCTGGTCGTCTGTCAGAAGAGGCTGACTTACATACCATTCCACAGATCCTATCTGAACAAATCCAAGAACCATTGAGGCGTACACGCATTTCCCAATGAGCAGATAATTTGCTAGGTAGAAATCCATGAGAACAGAAGGGGTCGATGTTGTCATCATGAGTGAGCAAAGGCACGAACCACCATCAGAGCCTTAAACCACGACATTTCAGTTGGGTGTGGATCTGAATTCGAAGGCCGATGGCTGTACAAGAGGTCCTCTATCATTACCCTAAGTTTCCAATGCATTCCCCCTACACAGGGTTCTCCTTATTTGCGGCCGAACTTGCCTCCACTTTCGTGCCCACCTCTCCCAATCAGCTCTAGTGTAACCTTCGTCTATTCATATCTTGCTCGACTCGGTTCGCTCTGTTCGCTTCCAAACCCCAAACCCAGAGTTGTGACCACGGAGCCGGGTACAAACTTAGGGGGTTCTGCTTTCATGTGCAAGTCGAGATCGCTAATAAAGAGCGTGAGGACACTGAAAACTAACTGCGCCCTTAGTTATGGTCGCCTGCATCGTCGCTTGTGTTCTCACTCACACTGACTCTGCTGACTTCTTGGATGCTATTCACCCTGGGTGGCTTACCTCAGTGCAGCAGCATCGAATGGTCAGTCTATAACGTGGTACTTGGACAGCACACAATGATCGCAATGCAACGGCCAAATACGACTTTTTGGGAGCGACCACCATGGTTGACGTTGGTCCTTACGGCAATCAGCGTGCCGCGCCGTTTAATGCATGACACGAGCAAGGAGTTCGTCCTCTTTCCCCTCTTGCATTCTTCGATTCATCACTTACGATGTCCGGCAGCGCACCAAAGTCAACGGGACTAAGTATCAAATTCAGGTGGGTATGCCCCCAACGCAATAATGTGATGGAAGAAGGGGCCGTGCCCCCGTGTTCTCGCACCCGGACTGGGACTATGAGTACGATTTTCGACGTACATTACCTTTGCCTTCCGTCCAAAAGGAATTCAAGCATCACATCGACCTGCAAACCTTCGATGACCAAGGAGTAGATGTTCCTCGGGAAGCGATAGAGTTGTTGTGAAGGGCCATCATTGGCACCGCTTCCCTTCATTTGTATCTGCTCCATTGGATGGGTCTGCAGATCGTCAGGCAGACTAATCTGATCCCTGAAGAAGCCATCAGCACTCCTTCGGCTTCCAAAAGAACCTTGCCTTGTTCGTACTCCATTCCAACGGACTTGGAATACTCAATTTCAGGTGCAATCTGAATTCGTGCACGGTATATTAAAAATCCAGTCGGAGGTGACACAACTCAAGTTGCTGGTGTTCCTAGCTGGTGGCCACCTAACTCACATGGCTCTGATAACCTTGCCTTGTCGCTTTCGTGGAAGTGATTTAAGAGGACATGATCTTCTGGCTGCACCCGCTTCCCAAAATGTTGCCTGTTTGTGAGGAGGGTTAAAGCCGCAGCGTTTCTCACCACTTTGTAAAGCTCTCCGCCCCTATGCAGCTGAGTCATCATCAAATCCGCCACACTGCATTCGGTTCAAAGCTGGGTTTCTGGATCTGGATCCAATGTCCTACGGCGGGGTGAGTGCTCTTGTGGGCTTGAAGCTCCGCCTGTACTCTAACCGCGGTTGCGATTCACAAAAAAGTTCTTTTCTCAACTGATTCCGCGGGCGTTCCACTGAAAAGCAGGGTTTCCTCTGCTGATATGGGTTGGTTAGGGTTTGGGTATTCTTCCTGAGACATTCTCCACTACACGTTGTTGGGAGCCGAC